CTGACTTAGCTCAGGCCCTTCAGCATTAAACTCTATATGCAGGATTGCCTGGGAGTAAGATCTCTGTGTTCACCCGCTCCTGAACACTCTTTCTAAATCTCGCATCCTGACGACATCCATGTTTTGCCGCAGGACATTGGCAGCCTGACATCCATCCTGCGAACCACCGGCCTCGGTGACGTGAGCCCCCTGACCACCGCCATAAACATCATTAACGCTGACATCCTGGAACGGTTCTTGCTACCGCCTCCCGCCGATGCCATCTCCGGTGTCAACTTCACTAAGCCCTGGCCCAGCATGTACGGCACCGTACAATACCCACTGGCCGACACGCTTCTCCGCCTGAGCGCTGTGGCGGCCAATATCTCCGCACAGCTGAGTGACTTGCAGACGATGAGTAGCCGTACTGCCGTACTGGCGCAGTACCGCGCTATCACGTCATGGGTGTGCTGTGGCATGGGCACTCAGCTGCTGGCGGTGTGGGTTTGCGCAGTGCCTTGCGGCTTCTTGGCATGTCTGGCAGGTATTAGCGCCCTATTGGTGCTGAAGAATTTGGAGAACATGCCGGATCCCAAACCTTGCGGCTGGATCTGCTATAATCGGAAGGACTTTCCTCCGCCAGGGGGTTGGGCCCCCGAGGGCGGTGTTGGCCCCTCAAGTAATACGGATGCCGCCCGAAAGCGATCCCCGCGTTTCCCAAGTGTATTGCTTTGGAGGCAGGGTTTGGGCTCGGCATTTGGCGGCTTCAGCAACATTGGTTCAGCATTTTTCGGTGACCGGACAGCAATTCCCGACCAGAACATGATGAAAAACCCGCTCGGGTATGGTGATGCCAGCGAGCCGCGCGGGACAGAATTGACAGGTTCGCCATTCCAGGGCGCGTTACCGCTGTCTCCCACCGGCGGCAGCCCATTTGGGTCTCCTCTGAGCCCACGTGGCATTAACCTGGGCCCCTCAGCGCCCGGCCCTTACAACCAGCCCCCTATGGAGTACTCTCCGACCCGCCTGCCGTTGTCCATGGGAGCGCTGCCGCCCACAATGATGATGCCGCAACCCTACTATTGAGGTCATAAATACTGTAGGCCGAACTCTCAGGTCAATCTTGACAGCCTCCTTCGTTGGTGTGTTCTACTCAGTTGGGTTTGGGTTACTTTTATTGCTATCGTGTGCCTTCTTCTGATGCCGGTCTTCGCGGGGTCCCCCTCGGCGGCCCCGCAACGGCGGCCAGCCGGCGAACCCCAACAGCGAGCCATGAAGCAATTCAGCCGCCGTTGCGGCTGCAGCTGCTGCCAAAACCCGAGTGCAAGCCGCAGCCGAAGTTGGAGTCGAAGCAAGAGTGAAGGGAGTGGGAGTGGGAACAGCGGCAGCGGCAGACCAGGGGCGGCAGCCACAGCAGGAGCAACAGCAGGCGGCCTGTGCTGCGGGCGGTGCTGCGGGCATGCACGGATCCTCAGATAGTCTGGATGCAGGAGTGGAGCCATGACACCAGGGTGAGCGGAGGAGGTTTATTTTGTGTGTCTCAGGTGCCAAGGTGCATGAGTGTGGGCTTGGTACAGAATGTGCTTACAAAAGGCGCAAGGCGTGGTGCCATTCTTATTGAGCTACAGGTTCCAATGCGAGAATAGTCAGGAAAGCAAGCTCAGTGCGTTAGAAAGATCGTACACAGCAATAAACATTCGACAACTAATGTAATGCTCCTGCTAATTCAAGCTCTTCCAGAAATGTGGCGGGATCGAAAAACCCCGAATGATGGGTTGTGACGGAAGTACGACAAAGCGCAACGGATTAAGCGAGGCGAATTCCGAGGCGGACTCCAAGGCGGATAGGAAAGCGAAACAGTGTAACGGTGCATGCTCGTTACAACTAAAGTGCGCAGCGAGAAATAAGCAAGGGACGTGAGTAATACACAAAACGCAAAACGAGGAAAGAGGAGGAAAGCAAACGAACAAAGGGACCCACAATTAGACACCAGCTAATATACCGCATAAGCAGCAGACGTGATTAGTTAAAATGGCTGGGGTTTGCCTGGCCTTCAGCGAGTCAAAATGCTAGCCTAACACGCAAGGCATCCAATGTCCGTTCTCTTTGGTGATTTATACCCTGCGGCGTAATTTAAAAGTCTCTGGTCGCAGGACATAGCTATATCGAGTTTTGATTTAATCGCTCTGAAGCTTGACCCGGGGTTTCAGATTTGGGTCTTCAGACCTGGCAGGATCTGGAGGTCCACGTGTTTAGATCTTGGAATTTGAAGTAGTTGGCGCTTCAGCATTGCCTGAATTGAGCTGAATGAAATTCGTGTTTCTATTTATTTCGGTTGGCCCGGCGGGCAAACTGAACGTCAAGGCTTCCCGTCGCCTGGAATTACCGTCTCCTTGCGCCTGTTCCCCCTCGTGCTCTGCGGCATCTCTCTAAAAGCATCCGCAGATCCAGTTCCGCCTTCCCGCTCAAGAACACCAAGAGGAAGGTTTACAACCAGGACGCATCTCGCGCGCCCATCCCCGTTGGCGTCTTGCTATGGCTACATTCCCTACCGCTAGCCGTATACGCGCCGTTACCCGGGTTCCCTTGCCTCAGGTTTTGGAGAACATCGTGCACCTGCGTTTTTTGGGGTACAGAAATCCCCTACCTGGCTACCGCAAGAGGGGCGTTTTACATTTTGAAGGCCATAGTGCCTGTTAATGTGCATTTTGCGGTTTCGGGGCAGGTGCGCATATAAGCACGGATGGTGAAGCCTTTCGAGGCTAATGACGGGTACATTGTGTAGGGGGGGTAGGGCCCGCGGACCTAGACCAGTGTCCGGGTTGTGCAAGTCTAATCCAGTAACGTCTGTAAACTTTAACTTTGTCGTCTATAGGTTCACCCCGGAATAATATGATGGACGGTCGCTGTCAATTATACCAGGGCACAATCTATAGACGATCAAAACATTCACAGGCCTAACTTCTAAAACACCTCTTCGTACTCTTTCCTCTGGAAGATGTTAGTGATGCCCGCTGCTACTGCTGCTGCTGCTGCTGCTACGGCCGGTCATGGACAAGCATAAGAAGAATGGCGTCACAATCGCCAGACGGATCAGGCAATTTCCGCCTGCGATCCTAATTATTAGGAGGCTTTACACTTTACATCGGCTAGGCCTGGCATTTGCTCTGGTGACGGTTCACAGGCCGATGCTAGATTCCCCCAGAGATTGCACCAAAATGATATCTTGTGTGCAGGGCCGCTTGCAGGGCCTAACTGAGAAATGAACAACTCGTTTGAGTCGTATTAGGGTGTGAAGCAGTGCTGTCCCTTCTGCCGTACTGTACTGTTTGGTTTTCTCGAAGGTGTTTCAAATACTGTAGAGGGATAAGAGCACGGCAGGCGCCATCTGCTTCAATCGGCGCTCGTCCAATGGTTGACGGTTGCGCATAGAGTAAATGCTTCGAGATTCTCACCTTAGGACAGTGAGTCACTGTCCATCACTGATCATCAGAGGTCAGCAAATCGGTTTCCACGGCTGCGAGAGGGCATAATTTGGGTCAGAAAACCTAAAACAAATTCTTGGGGGGGATTCTGGCGTTGAAAAAGGGCAGCATTCTAAAAGGGCCGCAATAGAGGCTGCAAGCCACATCTTTTGGTCAAATTTTGGTCATTAGGGATCCGCAGCCGGGGGCTTAAGCCGAATTTTGGCTGTGGTACGGACCCACAGTACCCGCAGGATTTGCCGACCTCTGACAGTGACATTGTGGGGATGATACAGCTATTTCGGTGTGCTTGCTAATCCGAGGCACGCTTACTTCCACCCTAATCATTGGGTATGCATGTTGGTGAGCAGGTTTTGCGTAGGTTGACACGTGGCATGCGGCCTGGCCAAATGTTGCAGTTTGCGGAATGTTATGGTCAACATGGCTAGATAGCATGGTTTGCAAGATGTGGGCAGGCCGCGGCGCTCGATCCGGAAATGACGAAACGGCTAGATGCAGGGCCACAGGGCGTATGCCTGCTAGTAGTTAGCAAGTTGGGCAAAATGATGCCATAATGTCTTTCAATCATGGCTAGTATCTTTACTGCGCGTTGCAGGTCTGGTTTTGCTTTATTGCGCACCTTCCACGGCTAATAGTAACCAACATGGCAAACCTAAAAGAAGACATTTTTGGGTTCAAATATTAGCAGCAACACTTGTAAGCCCCAGCGATCTGGAAAAAAGCTTGTTAACTGTCAGGCCAGCACCTATCGGAGGTGACCGATGCTGTTGAGCGGTATCAAGGGGTTGGGGAGGATGGCTGATACAAGTAGGCGAGAATGGTGATCAGGGAGTACTGGATGCAGCATGGACATGATTGTCAGCAAAGGCTGCAGATCTTGGAAATGGGTGCAGTTTGTAATGTATCGCAGTGACCAAATGTTCTGGACTCTTTCAGTATGATGCATACAAAATTTGTAAGGGCGTAGGGTGCTTTCATCATGAGTTTTGCTGTCATTAAAAGTGTGGTGCCTGTACTTGTAAAGGACTTGTACGGTACTTCATAAACCGGGCATATTGCATACGCCTTTTCACATTCCACAATTCTCAGTGATAGGACCGCTCCTACACTGCAGTCTCCATGTAATATACATGACAAACCGAGAGCAATGATCTGGTTTGGGGGGTTGTGACAAAGACCGCCATGGGGCTTTCCGAGGAGAGTTGCCCTTCTGCTCTATGGAAGGTTCGATATCTACGTCATGTAGCGCAATACGTTGTGAATGGAAACTTTGGGATTGCCACTGCTCTTCGTTCAAAATTCTTTTGCAAAATTGCACTCCACTGTAAGCAGCCGCTCCCTTACGCAAGCGCCGTATGTGTTCTGGCGTTCGCAGAAGCTACCCTTTCTTCCGCGGCCCGCAACTCCTGGCTTCGATCCAGTGGGGTGGTCCAGTGCTCAGTACAAATCCTATACAAAGGCGACCCTCTTGTCAGCAACAGCTATCAACATAGCGTTTATTGGAATTGTGGTCTTGCTATTTCTTTTTTTCGCTCTATGGTGAGTCCGAGTCAGAAGTTTCAAAGCGTCTGTCACAGCATTTAAAATTTGCCCTTGTTGTATGCTTCCTTTGGAAAACGCGAGCTCCGCAACAACCGATTCAAAGCCTCTCTGATGCATATGCAGGCGCCTGCGAAGTGGGATACGTTTATGCCGTTCGATGCTTTGCAATCCCAACACGCGCTCTCGTCGACGCACGAGTGTAATATCGTGGGCAATAATGCATGATCCTTGGCTTTTTGGTCACAAGGTAATAGTACAAAATGATGCGCGCAGTGGCACTTCCGCGCTTTGGAGAGAGGGTGGGGAATCGAAACACCCGTCCGTCCGGTGCAGATTTGTTTCACGTTCTTTGCTGTTGGCTGTGTAATCCTTGCCATAAGCGGCCTCGTTACTTTACCGCGACCTTCTTTACAAGCTGACGACTTGGCGGCGCGCGTGGAGGCAGCGTCCTCCTACGGGTTATCTCTGTTGAAGGTCTCAGACGGTTTGCTGGGTTCTGCGCAAAGTCTGCGGTCAGCCTTGGCCGATGTGCTGATGGCGATACAGCTGGAGACGACGAACAGCTCCTTGGTCCAGGATTTTCAGGTGCGGTCCTTTTGGTTTTACCTCTTCTGTGGGCCCGGGCACCACAGACCGCCTAACAATGCATTGAATAGGCGCGCTCTTCACGCTACAGCTTGTGGATACGGGCAACCAGCTGTGATTATTGCTTTATGCACAGCCGCACAGCTCCAAGTCCCAAGCACAATGGCCCATCCATTCATAGGGGTTGAGGCGGTTTCTCGCACACGCCCGCACCATTGAGTGTGTTCAGCATATGGGGCAGCCCAACTCCCAAAACTCGCTCACAACCTGCATCTTTGTCCACAGTGCACGTCAACACTGTTGGACTCTGGACTGGAGTTGTCAGACGTTAAGCTTGATCAGATAGGAAGAGTCGCATCTGTGCTCAATACCAGTATGGTTCCAACACTTGTAGCAGCAGCAGAGCTGGTCAACGCCACAATGGCTCCAGCACCCTGCGGAGCCACGCCGTCAGCAAAGGTTGTGATGGGTATCCAAGATTTGCTGGCAGAAATTAACAGTACAGTGACAGCGTGCGAGAATGCCGTGATGGCGTTACCAGCGACCCGACTGGCTCTGGGCGTCAGCGATCTCCGGGTCAGAGAGTTGCAGGTAAGACATTTGGTTGAGGGCACAATGCGGCGTCCCATCTTCCTCTTGCCCTCTGCATCGTTGCACGCTGCGCCTTGTGCGGTCCACAATTTATATTCCTCATGCAAATTCTTTAGAAATTGAAGCCTGAGGGAAATTTAAGTAAGGGCGTCCGGACCCTGGTTGCAGTTTTGTGTGGCCGACTTGGGCAATGACCCTCTTCACGTGACGTTTTCAGCATAACTCAAACTCGCCAACCAAGGCTGTGCTTTGTTCCTTTCAACATGAACCCCGCAAATTGGTGCAACCATGCTTTATTGCCGTACATCTCTGTCGCCGTACCTCCTCTGCCTTGTCACCTTCAGGCAGCCCAGTCCGCCATGAACCTGTCCCGCTGGATCTCCGCCCTCGATATGATGTCCGCGAGCGTGCAGACCCTGGACGCCGCGGCGAATAGCCTCCTGTACAATCGTCTTGGTGCCGCGATGCAGGCGTTTGTCGAAGCCGCGCAGGCTACAGTAGACTCAGTCAACGTTCTTGAACTTTCCTTGGATGCACTTGATAACGTATACCTGACCGGCCAGGCACTGCCCCAGGATCAGCAGCTAACCGCAACGGGTCGGTCATGCACACTGTCGTTATTGCAGCAGCTAACCAGCTATGATTCTTCCATTTTTCGTTTCAACACTACCTTGGAGCGTAGCGCTATTGACACATTCACCACCATGGCAAACGCTATAGAGCTACTGTATCGTGTCGACCCCGCAACCACAGCGGCGACAACAGCTGCGATGGCGGGGCGGGGGACTAGCGCTGGCAATGGTACGATTGGACTACCGTCACGTCTGGCCGCCGTACCGCGGTGGGCGACGCACCTGCTCAGTCCTTTTGAGACCATGAACGGCACTGAATGGAAGGCGCTGTGCGGCTATGTACAGACGATGTTGACATATGAGGACAGAAACGTCAGCAAGCTGCCTGACATTCAGCCGATCCTGGTGCACCTGTCGAATCTGCGCGGAGCTCTGGCGGCGCTACAGCAGCCCGCCGACGGCGTGCAGGCCACGCTGTCGGCCTACGTCAGCTTGCCATCGGATATCTTGTACGGCTCCCTGCGCACAGCCGTCAATGTTGCCAAGCCCGCCTTCAGTAACGCTAGCGCCATGGCTGGATTAAGCTTGTCGGGTGACTCCGTCTGGTTGAGAGGCATTGCTAACAATACGGCTTTTGCAGCTGATTTCACTCCGGACGGCACTGACGCCACCCTTGGGATGTCTATGAATGACCGTCTGTTATCCATAATGGGCAACATGTCTGATCTCACACAGTGGCTTACCGACAAAGGTGTTGGTCTGGGAGCCCTGAACGATGTTATGGCAGGCCTGGAGTTTGTCCTAACAACCCTCAACAAGGCGGAGACGATCCTGTTGTCGTCCGGATATAGTAATGGCAGCACAATGCCGCAGCCGTCGCTGTCACCGCCCAGTAGTATCCTTTACTCGTCCCCAATGCCAGGGCCGCAGCCGTCAGCCTTCCTGCAGCCACTCCAGCAGTCTATGCAGCTGGTTGCCGACATTGTGTCAAATGGCGTCGCTGGCGTCAATGACCTGCTTGATAATGCACTGGGCAAGTCGATGCCCGATATGCCGCCGCTGCCTCTGCAGCCGCCGTCAGCCCCACCGTTAACAGGACGCCGTCGTCGGCTACACCAAGTGTCCACTGCTGGTCCCAACGCAACAGAACTCCTTAGACAGGAACTCGTACGGCGTCTGGACGGCGCTTTTGCGGCGCTGCACAGTGATACCGTTCTGCGTTACTCCAACCTTTTTTACTCTACCGCCGTCACAGTGTACAGCCTTCTCATCGCAACATGCCTGCTGCTGGGCCTGGCGCTTTATTTCAACTTTCCAGCGGGAATTGCGGTTGGCCTGGGGATACATGTAGTGCTGTTGGGGTCAGTGCTAGCAGGCGCCTGGGCGGCAGCAGCTGGCATGGTAATATCGCATGATGCGTGTGCCAACATCGACTCGCTCGTATTGGACGCGGTCTCGCCCTCATCATCGCTGTTTCCGCTGGCCCGTTATTACCTTCAGGTATGACGGACTGAGGGACAGGATGTGGCAACTGGCTGTGTGCAAGTTGACAAGGGGACTAGAAAACATACCGTCTATTAGAGAATTCTAAAACCAGGGCCCAAGGTGCTTTGACTAAGATGATGAATAGGAATATGGGCCGTAAGGATAAAATAAGACTCCGGCTGTCGGTCTCTATTTCTTTTCCTACTTGATTTGTCTAGACCTTGTATGGACTGGCTTTCCTGCATCTACACGCACAGTGCAGCTCGGTTTAAAGAAGGCTTCAAAGACTGTTACCAAGAAATTGGAAACTACGCGATATCGCCACCTGTGCGTACAGCTCTCTCTCTGTTTATTATGGCGCTGCTGCATACATAGATTTGCCTGACTCCATCTAAATATCCTACATGTGCAGCATCCCATTATGATACGATTGTGTTGCCCTACAACAATCTTCCATCCTGTTATTAATCCCCATGGCCGCAGGGTGTTAGCACTTTGACATCGGTGCTCCGGACCACTGGCCTGGGTGATACGGTGCGCCTGGCCGCAGCTGCCAACCTCCTTCACACGGAAATCCTCGAGCCGTTGCTACTGGGCCCCACTGACATCGGCTCAGCTGTGAACTCCTCCACACCCTGGCCCACCAGGTTTGGCACTGTGCAGTACGCGCTAGGTAGTATGCTGGTTGGTCTCAGCGGCGTGGCGGCCAACATCCATGCGCAGCTTGCTGAGTTGGTGGCAATGAGCAGCCCGTCTGTCGCAATTGCGCATTACCGTGCTGTCACGTCGTGGGTATGCTGTGGCGTGGGCACCAAGCTGCTGGCGGTATGGATTTGTGCTACGGGCTGTGGCCTTCTGGCATGGCTGGCGGGGCTTAGCACGCTACTGATTCTTAAGAACTTGGAGGACATGCCAGTTGGCAACTCCTGCGGCTGCACGTGCTACAACCCGAAGGACTTTCCAGAGCCAGGGCGCTGGCGCCGTAAGAGTGGAGGTGATGTTTTAAGCATGTTAGGCCTTGAGGGTGGTACCCGAAACCCTGCTCCACCCTTCCTACCCTTCCCTCCTCCATTACGTTGGTTCTCGGACGAAAAAGCTCTGGTCCAGAAACAAGAAGTCCTCTCGTCCGATGGCGGCGCCAGTGCCACTGGCACAGCTTGTGTTGGTTCGACTGCACGATGTGACTTGTCTGATGGCCCGCACGGCTCCGGCAAGGCCAGACAACCGCCAGAGACAGAATCGGCGGGTCCGGTGCACCAAGGCCCCTTGCAGTCGGCTCCCGCCTCCGGTGGGAGCAACGAGTCGGGGCGCCCGTGCAGTGCACGTGGTAAGGTGGCAAGCCCGTTGGACGTTGTTCCTGCAATTTTCTGGCACAGGCCCGGCTCCAAAGTAAGCATGGGCACAGAAAGCGGACCTGTTAATGGCCCCGCCAGCCGCAATAGCAATGGCAGCGAGTCAGTATCGCCGGAGCTCCCGAGCGATGAATCTCTCCCAATCCAGCCGCCATTAGCTCTTCCTTCGACCTGCTCATCACGGACGACAGAAAGCACGTTACCACCAATTTAGTGGCATATAGCCACGTAAGGGTCGGCAACCTAGGTCATTTGTTAGTGCGTTGTCTTGGGCATGGCGTTCTGTTCGCGTGGACAGGGTGTTGCCGTTCGCCATCGCATTTTTTCATTGTTGCATGGACTTTTGGGGCAGGCTGGCCGAGCTCTAGATGCATGTGATCGCAGGTGCAGAAGGGCGCAGGCTCTTTATCCGGCGCCCTCCGTACAGCTTTCCTAGATGCGTTATTTTTTATTAATAGTGTTTGATTTTTACGCTCGAAAGGCGAGCATTATGCAGCGTTGGTCTACCGCTGCAGAGAGTCGATTGCTTTTACGCAAGCGATGTGCGCAGGTGTGCGTGCCATTGCCGGAAAGCATGACGGCCCTGCCCGTGCAGTGTGCGTGGTGATGCGATTGCCACTCGTCTTTCCTTTGCTTTTCTATTATATATGGTTCATACATTTATGGTGTTCTCATAATTGTATAGAGACTTCGTCTGCGAAACCCCTCGCAGCGATGTACAGAGGCCATTGCACAGTGGACCATACAGTACAGTAATAAAAGCTCACAACGCGGCTTTGCTATTAAGGCGTAATTCCTGGTTCTGTGCCAGTGGTGTATAGTGTAGAAATGAAATGGAAGACTGCTTAACTTGAGCGTATAGCGGGATGTTTTTGAGTGTATTATGTGGGGACGAATGGGTCATGCAGGCATACCCGCGGGGGAGAGTTATCCAAACTTTGGGAATCTGACCCACTGTAAGCTCTACAGTGTCCTTGGCATAAACATCTTTCGGCATAGGCGTACTGCAACACATACCGGCACATTTGCACTCTGCATATCCGAAAGATTACAGACAAACAGCCTCATCGATGGAATTAGGTTAGCCAACAGATTGATCGCCGAGCGCATCAGTATTTTTAGGCACCGCTCTCGCAAATACTGCAGCACCGCCTACGCCACCCTTGAGTGCCTGCCCTCAATCCGCATTAGGAGGGCAGTTCCACACAAACAGCCAGCCAGGAAAACGCTAACCTCGAATCCGCGTAGACTCACCTGAACTATATGGTGATTGCGCTGTTCCTGGCTCGGCCCCGTGCAATGCACAAAACCAAATCCATCGCAGCCACCCTCCTTGCCAACACTCACCCCCTCTGCGCTACCTGCTCATCATGACTCAGCTATGGCCCCGTCTCCCACCCTGTTCCGCATTCAAGTCCTGGCAAGTGCCTCTGTCAGGTCCTCCATCCGGCGGGTGAGGGCCTTATAGCGCTCCTGCAGTTCCACCTCCCGCCGCTGAGCTGCTGACAATAGTTCCCCAAGGGCCTCCAGGCGCTCGGGGGCAGCGTGCAGCTCCCTCTCATGTAGGGCCTGACGCGAATGGCGGGGTGGGGGTATCGTGGCGGGGACCCGGGGACAGGGTTTAATGACGAAAAGTGCCACGGAAAAGTAGCAAAAACAAAGTACCGTGAAATGCGGCGATACGATAGCCAGAAACTAAAAAGTAGCAATGGGCCTCGATATCATCGCATTGCCGTACCTCAATCATTAACACCCCCGTCCTCCTGCCTCACGAACCTTAAAACACGCCAGCTCCTGTGCTGCATCTCGGACCTGACCCCACAGCTCCCCAATCCGACCGGACAACTCTCCATGCCGCCGCTGCAGTCCTGTCAGCAGCAAACCCAGTTTGGCTTCCAACTTGGCGGCCTTGCGCGCCTCGCGCTCCATGTCCCCTCGTACAAACTCGAACTCGCACTAGGTATGAAAAAGCGGGGGCAGGAATCAGAGACGCAACGCGGATGAGGAATGGGGTGCAGCAGGCAGGCCGAAAGCTGTGAATCAAGAATCAAACATGAACTGCAGGTCAACATCCTTGCCGCGATATGCCGGGCAGGGCCATGAGTAGGAGTAGGGGACGCAAGCTACTTGGAGAACCTCACTCCGCTTCACTTGACTTGCCAAGGGACGGTTGGTTGTGTAAGTGTTCGGCCAGTAGGTCCAGACAGTCCTTCCTTGTGTGCTATCTCATGCCTGAGGACGCTGAGGACGTTGCGATACACCTTATAAGAAAAAATGTATTGCAGAGATGGAACGCCCTAAAAATGCACCTTGATGGACTCGATTCGATCCACATTCGTTGCAGAGGCAGCTCGCTCATAGCGCTGGCGGGAGGGCAGGTAGATGAGGTCCCGGTGCACTGCCAGCCAGACGTCCAGGTAGTCCGAGGGGGGCAGGGCTGTGTGGTCCCAGGCCTTGCGCAGGAAGGCAACCTGGGCCCCCGGTGCACAAGTAAAATGAGGTGGACATTGTGCGGACGGTTAGGTCGGCTATATGTGAACATATTAAGTTACTCATCCATTAATGACGACAAGGGACCCCCATCAACGGCAGAGGTTAACTCGATTCCATGTTGACTATGTTAAACCTTAAAAGCTCTTCCACTGGATAATGCAGACATCGTAATGGAGGCACAGGCGTACACACAGGTGCAAGTGCGGCGGCTGCCACATGCCCCCAAAGCGTACCTCCCGCTGCACCAGTTCGTCAGCTGCCTTGAGCTCCTGCAGGTCAAACTCCTCCAGGGGCCCCGAGGGCCCGGCGGGGCGGGAGGCTGGACCGGTGGACTTCTTCTTGGTGTCGGCCCTGGAATGCAGTACGGTGCGGTGAGACGCCCTTCAGTGGATCACAATCAAGATCCTTTCAGTAACAAGGTCCTTTGCAGGTCGGTCAAAACGAAAGCTTTGGAAGCTCTTTGTCAACACTCTACACACGGCCCCTTCGCTGTCCCTCTCTTTCCAGGTTTGCTCCCCTCCCCAACCGCCAGCCACAAACACACCCCCGCGCCCCCATCTGCTTATCCCAATCTCTACCAACGAAAATCCTCGAGCAAATGTACTTGGACCTCTTGGAGCTCCAAGCCCCAAACCTGTCCACGTGTGCACATGCCTGACATCCTACCCAAACATGTTCCTTGCAAGGAGACCGCCGTCCATCCGTCCGTCTGCCCGCCGGGCGGCCACCCACCCCCAACCATCCGCCCCAAACCCCACCTGCTGTCCTTCACCGGGTACTTGTTAGCGTCGTGTGTGAGCAGCGCCGCCATTTCCGCCGCGACCAGCTCCTCCGCCCGCTCCCGCAGACCACCCGCCGCAACCCCGGCACTCGCAGCCACCTTGGGACCCGGCAGGGAGTCCACGGACAGTGGTCGCGGCAGCTGCCGCTGAACCGCCTGCAAGCAAGGGTGCAAGAATCCGTCAACGCAAGAGAAGAGAGCGGGAACAGGGAATTGAACCGCCAACGCTTCTGAAAACAGAAGACACTAATTCACAGCCACCGGATACCAACCCAGGAGGATTGGGCAAGATGGTGGATCAACTGCTGCAGACGTACCTTAGACTTCTTGAGCTCCTCCAGTCGGCGCCGCTCCTCTTCCTCGCGGGCTTTACGTGCCCGCGCATCCGCCAGGTCCTCCTCCATCTCCTCCGCGGGTGCTTCCTGAGATTAGGAATGACGGGGAGCGGGGTCTGAGAAAATCGAGGAACGGAGAGGCTGGGGCGTGAGGAGCAAAAGAATACATGGCAGAACGAACAAGTGCATGCAGGGATGGGTCCCAAATGATGCAAGGCCGCCCGTATTTCTTTTCCTTCACCGCTTCCACACCAAGACATGCGCGGGACTGGAGAATCTTCCTTCCCCACTCAGCCGTGTCATAATGCTAGCAGGATCCACCTGTCCAACCCTACGTCCCAAGACGACGCCGCTAAACGGCCCGCCATCGTACCTACAAATTCCTCGCGTCCCCCAACCCGTCCTCCTCCAGGCTTTCGTATGGCTCGTCATCCTCACTTTGCACTCCCTTCTTTCCTACGACCTTGCGACCTTCCGGCCGGGCGCTCTCCTCCCAGCTCATGTAATCCATCCTACGGCCTCGCATGTCGCCACGCCCCTCTCCCTACCTGCTCCACCTCCGGCACCTCAAACGCGTACTCATTCTGTGGCGCCGGAAGTCCCGCCAGCCGGTCCCGCAGCTCCCCGCGCACCGCCGCCTGCCGCGCCGCCGCCGCACGCTTATTACCTCCAGACATCTCCATCGCCGCCGCCATCACATCCGCCTCGTTCAGACCCAGCTCATCACGGATGACAGGCAGCAGCGGCGTGGCGCCAGGGACGGCGGAGCTGCCGCCGCCGCGCAGCGGTGTTCCCGCCACGGATGGCGTGGCGGCAGCGCCCGCTATCGCCGGTACGATACGCGCACCGGTGGCGCCGCCGCCTCCGGCAGCAGCGCCGCCACGCACCGACGGCGTCGCCATCGCTGCAAGAGGGTTCGGCGTCGCCGCCACTACATGGCGCGGCGTCACGCCAGCAAAATCCATTGACGCCACGTCCACGCCGGTATCGCCTCCCTCCAGAACCGTGCCCATGCCCTGTAACCGAGCCAGTGCTGCGGCCTCTGCCATAATGCGATCGCCACCACCGGCGGCGCCAGTGCGCGGCGTGCGCATTGGCGTGGCGCCGGGCCCCAGCCGCGGCGTCTGGCCGTACTGCCCCAGCAATGTACGAGTGGCGTCGCCGCCGGCTCCCTCCTGCACAGAAGCCTCGAGGGCGCCGTCTACTCCAAGCCTTGCGATTTGCTCCAGCTCGGCCTCACTGACCTGCATTTGACCAGGCCCACGGGAAGCGGCGTTCCTATACTGATGGTAGTGGCGGCGAGGTTAACAGTACATGGCGTGTAATCCGACACATGTGTTGAGGCACCGCCAAAGTGTCCATTCTGTATGTTCACACAACGAGAAGGACGACCAGCGAACTCATGTTGCGCGGTGTTTCCTTGGCAAGCGAAAGACATGGTGCATTACGTCCTTCCGTGCGTATATCTGTTTTGCACGTCGTGCATTTCTTACGTTGTTGGCATCATGTTAGTGTGCATGTCTGTATAGGGAGTCCCGACCTAGGCCATGAAGGTCCCTTCAAATCTCCCACCCAGCCAATCCGATAATGCCCCTCTTTATCCCAGCCGGCCACATTTCCAGCAATTCTGCACCTATTACCAGCCACCTAACCCGACCAGCTGACCCAATCCAGCTAGCACCTAACAGCTCCCTGCAGCTTACCTCCCGCCCTCCACCGCATTTCCCTCCACTCCTTTTTCCCTTTTCCCACCATCATCGCGTGCCCGCCCGCCCTAGGGCACCCCCACCTGTGGCGCCGGCAGCATGAGCTTGCCCCTCCTCCGTGCGCCTTGCTGGTCCAGCCCCATGGCCTGCGCCACCGCCCCTGGCGCGTCGTGCATCTCATTAAGCTTCTGACGCTTGATGTCCTTTTTGATGAGCGCCTCCTCGATGTCCTTGCGGCGACGGCCCTCCAGCTCCTCCACAGTCACTGGACGGAACTCCTGGAGTGCCGGGCGTCCGTCGGAGTAATGAAATGAGCGTCATGGTAGAGACATGGTAGGGACTGATAGCGACTTCCAAAAAGCAAGGAAATAAGCGACATGGAAAGGACGTAAGGATTTCAGCTGCGTAAAGCAACAGACGTGCAAAGCACCCAGCGATCCCGGGGCGGGTGGGCGTGTGCGCGTGTGCGCATGGGGATGGGTAACAGGGGTATGATGTTATTGATGGGTTGCATGCGTTGCATTCGGGGTAAGGTTAAGGGAAACTAAGGGGGTTGGAGGTTGTGGCGGTGGGGTTCAGGTTTCACGGAGAGGCGATCAGAGTTGGCAAAGTGGGCAAGGACAGCGCGGAGGACGAACGAGGAGAAGCGGAAAAGGGACCGCCCGTCGAACACCCCAAATCCGCGAACCCTCTGTACCTCACCAGCTCACCAGCCCGACCACCATAACAAGCACAGCACATTCAAATGACACGCAGCGGCTGCTGCGCCGCCGCACCCCCTACCCACATCCAGCCGCCGCCCCCCTGCCCCACCTGCTGCATGCTGCGGGTGACTTGCTCCTCCTCCTCAGTGCTGTAAAAGCCAGCCTGGGAGCGCAGCAATGGAAGAGGCGCAGCGTCAGGAGTGGGAAGACGAGTCCGGGCGTCAAGGAGGAAAGAATACATGGCGCATAGACCGCCAGAGAATTGACGTACGGCACGCAGCGCTGTGAAACGGGCTAATGGTACAGGGAGGACATGCAGGTGACCATCACGCGCTGGCCAGAGACAAGCCGCACAGCACAGCATAGCCCGTGGTCATGTAGTGTGGTGTGGTGTGTATGGCACAAGAAAGGCGTGAGATACGTTGCTGGCACAACCGCAGGAACGCGCGGGTATTCTCAGCTGCTGTATGCTGTGAACACCACCGACCGGAGCCCCTTACAAAGTGCACCATTGTGCAAGGCCCTCCCCGGCCCTTTTCCCCATCCCTATTTCCAACCTCCTCCTGCCCTCACCTTTACCTTGCTTCGGACTGCTATCATCTACTATCATCATTCTACTTCGAAACGCCCGCTTCCCTTTCTCATCCCTCCAATTCCCCGTCCCCTGCGCAGTCCGCAATTCTGGAAGGGAAGGAAGCCCTTCCACAGGCGCCTTCTGAGTCCACCACCACCCACCTGCGGCTTGAGCTCGAACGGTACCTCGGCATTGTAGTCGACGGCACGCGCGTTTTTGAAGCGTCCACGGACCTCAATACCCGCCGCCTTCAGCTCGCGTTTCTTCTGCAACTGCGCCAGGCGGCGGGCCTCCTCCAGCTGCTTCTCACGGGCCTTACGCTTGGCCTTCTTACCACTGCGCAAGGGGGGAAGGACACAGGGTTGCACCGGAGCAGTGCGGGTAGCGGGTGGGTGACAGGTCACGGAGAGGGAAGTGAAATACATACATGCGGCAGGCGGGCGGCTGGCAGAGGTTAAGGCCTGACTTCTACTCCCGGAGTGTCCGGGTTCAAATTCGGCTGCCGACCCCTCGGGTGTTTGAGGGGTGTTGAATTAAGAGGTGGCCCCCCATCTTGTGGACGGTGTAGGACGTGATTATATCAACTTGCGAGCTGACCAGGAACTAAGTCAAGGCGCCGTTGATCCGCTAGATTTGGTTGGATGCTGGTGGTGAGTTGCTTAACCCAACGAATACACTCTGAAGTCGGATGAGGTGAATGGATTAGGGTGCCCCTCTCGCAGGGGAGAGCAGGGAACTGCCTCGGGAAAGGGGCCGCTGGTGAAGCTATACCACCCTGTAACAACATACATGCACTACGGATCAGCTGGCTGCCTACGGGCTAGATACGGGAGAGACCTGAGAGCGGGAAGCCGATACGCGATAGGCAGGGGAGAAGGGGTGGGTTGGGGCGGGGCGGGAAAGCAGGCCAGGTAAGGAAGGAACAACGGACCTGGGTCCTTCCGTCTCTTGAGGTACGACCCCGACGGCGGGCACCAACCACTCAGGCCTCTGCTCTGCATGCGACGATGTGGGTCTCTGCCGATCCGTCATGCACTCACCGTGTGTTGGCCAGACGAGCCCTGGCCTCGCTGAGCATCTCCTTCTCGTCCTCATCCATGTCCACCGCGTCCGGCCGGGCGGGCTTGGACTCCGGATTGGGGTCGATCTCACCGGGCCGCAGCCGCCGGGGGTCATCGCGGGGGTCATAGTTGACGTCCTTCGCGACGGCCTGTTACCACACACGAAAAGGCGTAACCAGTGGCTATGCGTGTCGGCTGTACATGCTCAGCCACTTCAAAGCGGCAAAAAAACTGCTTACCCTGCCGAGGGGCAGCTCTGCAGCATCGGGTTTCCCGATAAAGGCGACTGTGGACCATCTGCTGCTACATCAGCTAGAAAGCCAAACCTGTCTTTCCCCTGACCATCTGCGTTAGCAATACTCCTCCCCCGAACCACTGAAACCCGTACATATTGCCCAAATAGTTTCGATTACAACTGCTATAGCAGCCTCAGCCCAACCTGTCCTCCACCGGCCCCACACAAGCCAACCCATGCCCACATACGTCTCATACCCTCCTTCCCTACCTCCCGTGTCGCAAATCCCAACCCTGCCCTGCAAATCCCAAATCTGCCCAACCCAACCCCATCGTGTGCATGCTCGGTTAACGCCTGCATTCGCTTGTGCCTTTTCCCTCATCCCTGCCCAACCCTGTTCCTCGCTCGCACCTGGTCCAGCAGCCTCTCGTACCGATCAAGGCATTGTGCCGGGGTGCGGCCCACGATTGGCGCAATGGTGCGCCACTGGCAGGGCATCAGCTTGGCCAGATGCAGCAGCTTCTCGTCCTCTTCGCGAGTCCATTCCGTCTTCTTGATGGAAGGATCCAGCCACTCGTACCTGTTTGGAAGCGGGATGCAAAGAAAAAATGGTGGATGGAAGCTCAGGTACAAAGGCCTTAAACCCAATAAGCCAATAAGCCCTGCAAATCCGGGGAATGCAGCCCCCGATAAAAAGAGGTGCTGTTGCCCGGAGGCCCGGGAGGCGAATGAAGGATCCCGTGGCGGGAGGCCGAGATGGTGGCGCCAAGAGGGATCCAGAAGAGGTACAAGGGAAACGCCACGGTGCAAAGGCAGGGCCCAAAAGAGGGGGAAGGAAAGAGAGCTGCCTATTAGGGCCAAGGTGCGCAGCCAAATCAACCCCTCTGCCAAGCCCAGGTTCGCCGGTGGGACTTGCCAGTGACCGCACCCTCAAACCAGACCCCCACAACCCCGTCTAGGGGGGAGCTCGGCCCTCGTAGAGCATATGACGCCAACAGGAACTTAAGTTGCTCGTGTAACTCAGCATGGCGTCCATGAACTCACCATCGGGCTTTGCATTGCTTAGCTGACTTCCGGACCAGCAGCGACGATATACGCGCCCATTGATTGAGTCCATACTTCATAACCGCCGCTTTAAGAATCTCATCCTGGTGTCGCGGGCAACATTGCGTCAAATTGCAGGTCTCGCCAAGCCGCCTACAACCTTTTGCCAGCGAGCGAATGCTCACCTCCGTATTCTTCCAAACACCACCCTTTATCATAATCCTCATGGTGCCTGCTCTCTATGCTAAAATGGCCGGAGGCAACAAAGTGTGGAATTGCTCTATTGGGAAGAAGGAAAACCAAACCTCACTAATAGGGAGGGCAGATCTAGCCTTGGGGCAAGCTTGCAGGAACGATGACAGCGCTACACGAGCGAAGACAGATGATTGCGTCTAACACGCATGGACTTACACCTAATGCTAGTCATAAAACAATGTTAGAAGCGATGCATCTGAGTTTGTCACGCGGACCACGGGAGCTTGTCACTTGGGCCGGCATCTAAAAGCACGACACCGTCGGTAAGACAGTGACAGTTTCTTGCAGGCCTGCACCGATGCGGGAAGTAGCTTTAAAAGTTTGAGAGATTAGAGCATCGGTAATATAGGACCATATGTAGACAGGCTCGCCTGTTATCGTTTCCTTGTCGTGTTCACAATTTGGCGGTTGCCGGGTGCTGGACCAGAAGGACTATTGTAGCACTGAACACGGTGTATACGTGAGCTGGGTGGCTAAACTCACAGGCGTTATGCAGCTGCTGGAGCACTAGATAGTCCGTTGGGCTGTGTATTAAAATGGCCAATCAAAGGCACCGGACGATGCAGCAGCGGTATTTCTATTCCATTGCTGCGTTTGCGGTGCTCGCCGTTGCTCCTACACGCTTACTGGCAGCCGAGGAACCTTCCCCATTAAGGTCACCACGGGAGCCAGCAGACGAGCTCTACGAACGTGCTGATGAGATCAGGCAAGGCCAGCTCCGGAGGAGACTAATCGCACCCGTAACGCCATAGATTTTGTGTCTAACCTGTTCTCGAGGGACACATCACCCCTTACCCTGTCTTCTCCACAGGTCCAAACGGGCGCCTTCTTGGTCAGAACAGCAAACAGCAGTAGAGCTGCTGGTAGGCGCCACTGGCTTTCGCAGCGCGCGGCATGGCAGAGCCTTCCCGTTCAATGGCACGCTGCCGTGCCGGGGCAAGGCTGAGTGCGGCAAGCAGCGGCAGCAGCAGGAGCAGCAAGACACGTCGGGGGAGGTGGTCCTAGAAGGCCTGGATCCCCCCGTCAGTGTCTCAGCAAGCGCCCATCGAGGGGCCCTGCGGGAGCTCGCTAAGGCGTTCCAGGTAAGCGAGTCTCTTGCTAGGGCTCAAGCCCCGTGGGCTGCCCAGCCCCTAAGGGGCCTTTGCGAGGGTGCCCCGCTGAAGCTGCAACGGGGCAATAATGGTGTAGCGGGGAACTGCAAACAGCAGGCGTCTGAGGGATCTAGCGGGCGTCCCTCGCCCACATCCGCTCTTTTATTCCGGGTTTATTCCCTATGGCAATGACACGCTCACGCAATCTCTAACAGCGGGTGGGAGGAAACGCAAAGGACATGATCCCTCAAAAAATAATCTCTCTCGCCCCAGCCTTCCCTTCTGCTTTCCCTTTACCTTGGGACTCCCAGGTATTCATGTTTGTGCCCGAGTTACAGGCCCCGATCCTCTTATCGGTTTTCTCCACATCCTTTCCCTCTACATCCCCCTTTCCCGTGTGCTTGGGGCCCTCGAAAGCCCGGAGTGACTCGCGGTGGTTTACCCTTCACCCCTGGCTGCTGCTGCTGCTGCTGCAATTGCTGCTGCCCCCTCCCTACCCCAAGGACGGCTGGGGAGTGGCTCAGGACATGCGGCTGGCGCTGCAGCTGTTCCGTGCAGCCTCCGATCGGGGGGACCCGGAGGCGCAGGGCCACATGGGGCTGAGGTACTCCATGGGGCTGGACCAGTTGGAGAGCTGGGCGGCTGAGGGGATTATGGGATTCGGACAGGTAAGTGAGGATGGATGGATTGGTGGCGCGAGAGGGGTGGGAAGTGGAGGAAAAAAAGGCGGCCGATTGCCGGCGGAGTGGTGGGTGGCAGGAAATGCTGCCGGGACCTAGGCTGGAGAAGGGATAGGAAGGCAGGCAGGTACGGAGGATTGGAACTGGCACAGGGAATGAATTCCGGAAAAGCGCATTTTGCAAAGGGTTGTGCTGTTGTGATGCTGAAGGGTCGTGGTAAGCGGGTTGCACTGTTGGTGGTGGGTTTGGGGGCACAGACACGGCACGGGGGTGGTGTATAGGGCAAAGGTACTCACTGACCGGCCTTTAGAACTTCCCAACAAACCGCCGTTATTAATGCCTGCCACCCCGAATCACCACACGCACCGCCACCAATCCATTGAACCTCTACCATTGCCACCGCTGCCGCGTTGCATTCCACTACCCCAGCTGCCCGGTCGACCGTCCCTCAGGGCCCCCTCCTGGACCGCATCAGTTGTTGACCCTTTGCTTCGTGCGTACGATCTCCCCTCAACCCATTTTACCCGCCCCCCTTCCCCCGGCAGCCTAAGGGCCCCGAGGCGCTGCTCCACTATTACTTTGGCGCCCTGGGTGGCGACATGGCCTCCCGCATGGCCCTGGGGTACCGCCACCTAATGGGTTTGGGGGTGCCGCAGTCCTGCTGGACAGCAGCCTCCTACTACCAGCCGGTGGGCGCGCAGGTGAGGGGGAAAGGTGGGTTTGAGGGGGTGGGCGGGTGGACATCACGGAAGGCTCCCATCAGGAGTGCCGACAGGGGTGGTGCAGCGGACGAGGTTAAGGAGCACATGGGGACAAGGAATGGGCTGCTGGGCGTGAGAAGCGTGTGAGAGTGAGAAGGCGCGTGTGTGCTGGGCCCCCGGGTGCTGGGGCACCCAGGTGGTCCATGTCCTCTTTAAAGTGCACATACATACATACATACATACATACATACATACATACATACGCATACAGCTGTCGTCATCTCCTTTCCAACTGTTGACTACCTTCAGGTCAGCGATCTTGCAGCGGGACTGGATCCCCTGATGTTCCCGCCAGTCGCGGCCGCTGCCGCCGGAGCCGGTGGCGCCGCCCAGGGCGCCGGTGGCGGCGGCGGTGGCAGGGGCTCCTCCCCCTCTTCCCCCTCCGCCGCTGCCGCCGCCGCCGCTCCCTCTCCCGGCGGGCGGCCTCAGTCCCGCAGTGGCTCCCTGCCTCACGTGGAGCGCATCCGGCTGCACCTGCAGGCGGCGCAAGGGGGCATGCGCAGTGAGCGGCACCGGGACATGGTGCAGTACTACCAGCACTCGGCCGACAGGGGCAACACGGAGGCGCAGACGGCAGTGGGGCAGGTGGGCGGAGGAAAGGGAAGTGAGCGGTTTAGACCGAACAAACAAGACGAGGGCCAGGGGTATGGGTGAGGGTGCGGAGGTGAGGTGAGGGGTAAGGGAGGGAGGGCTCGGCTGACGCTGCGGTGTGCAGGTCTGTCACAATATATATAGTAACCATGGCAATCTTGCTGCGCGGGACGAGAAGCCAGGGGCCCTTCTGCTGTATGAAACTCCCCAAACTCCAGGGGCGCGTATCCTGTCCGCTTGATCGTCATGTGTACGATATACCGTACAACGGCATGGGCGAAACCCTGTCACCACCGCCAGGTGCTCAACTACGGCACTCTAGGGATGGACCGTGATCACGCCGCCGCGATGTCGTACTTCAAGCTGGCTGCGGAGGCTGGCGACGCGGACGCCATGGCGCACATTGGTGCCATGTACGCCAACGGGTACGGCACCGCGCAGTCGTACGAAACGGCACAGGAGTGGTGGGCCAAGGCGGCGAAGCGGCACAGCGGCACGGCACTGTTCGGTCTGGGCTACCTGCACCTTACGGGTCGCGGCGGCGTGGAGCAGGACTACGAGGAGGCGTTCAAGTACTTCACAAAGGCGGCCGAGCCACCGCAATCAGGTGTGGACAAATTGAGCTTGCATGTAGGAGGAAAGAGAGTGTCTGAAGCAGCCGGTACGCGAGAGCGAGACCTAGACTAGACAAGAACTCACCCTCCCGCTCAAACACATACGCACGCACGCATGCCCACATTGAGACACATCTACCCAAACACACTCTCTCTCACACACACACACACTCATAACCGTGCGAAAGTTGCTTTTGTGCTCTCCTCGCCAGCTCCCTGTTCCCTGCTCAGATTATGATAGCCATTGTGGTTGTCGGCCCCACTGCGCGCAGAGGCCCGGCCTGACGCCTGGTTTTACCTGGGCGTGATGCACCTCAAGGGGTATGGCGTACGGCGCAAGAGTGTACAGCGGGCGCTGACGTACTTCTCCCTGGCGGCCCAGGCGAGTCATCCTCTGGCGCAGTACAACGCGGCCGTGATGCATCTGGCGGGCAAGGGAACGGCACGGTGAGTTCTTCGTCTCATAAATTAAAATATCGAATAAATAAAAGCCGCAAGAGCCACAGCAGGCAAAAGGCTTTCGCAACAAGACGGGGCGATCGCATATCCCACTGGCAGCTTTGGCCATAGGTTAGCAGGTGATGTCAATGTCGAGCGAAGCCTGAGAGCGAGGGGTTGCGGAAGTTGTTGCTCGTAGACTCCGGCGGCAGTAGTAGCTAGGTACGTGACAGCGAGAGGAGCGGCCCACGGTAGGGGTAGAGGTAGCCCCCCTAGATGGAATGTAAACCCCAGCAGCGGGGTAGGGGGTAGGGGGCCGTCGACCGGGCTTTCGTCACCGCGCTTGCCCCCACTCACGACCCGGCCCGCTGCTGTCGGCCTGTAGTCGTGTACGTCATATGCTCCCCAGAACCTCCTTTAACGCCGTACGGCTGCCTCAGTACTGCAAGGCTGGGTGACCTAGCAGGTCCCGTGTCCACCCGCCTTGAATCCCGTGCTGTCGTGTTTCGCTTCCTCCCCCATTGCCAAAACCCTAATCTGCAGCAACTGCAAAACCGCCGTAACGCTGCTCAAGACCCTGTCCGAAAAAGGCCCCGCGGCAGCTTCCGTACAGCTGGGCCACGAGCACTTCTTTCGGGGCCGGTACGGCCTGGCGCTGCTGTCGTACTTGCGTGCGGCGGACCTGGGGTTTGAGGTGGCGCAATCCAACGCCGCTTGGATGCTGGACCGTGGTTATGTACCCGGTGAGAGTTCACACACACACACACATACACACACACCCGCTGCACACAGGTGCGTCTCGGTCCATGTACCCTCTCCGTGTGTGTCCTCACCGCGGGTCCCAACGGGGCCCGCATTTCAACCCGCTCCTTCTCTATTTCCAAACCCCAAACTCCTTATTCATGCATTTTGCATTTCTTTTTCGCCTCAGGTGCCAACAGCAGCGAGCTGGCCTTTACCCTGTTCAAGCAATCCGCAGCTCAGTCTAACGTGCACAGCATGCTGTGCATGGGTGATGCCTACTTCTACGGCAAGGGCGTCAAGCAGGACTGGGTGCGCTCCGCCGCGATTTACTACGAAGCATACCAGGTGCCAGGGGGAAGGGAAATGTGCAAAAGGGTGAAGGGGTATAAGGAAACGAAGGCCTTGGAGACGCGGGAACGAGGGCTCGCGGAGGATACCGAGGGCTGACGTGGTGCACCGGATTTCCCAGAACAAAGGAAAGATCGTTTGCTTTGAAAGGCTGCATTGCATGGGTCCCTTCATGACTCCGTCCCATGTGTGGGAATGCGTCGGGATCGACCGTATAGCCCATCCGCTCATCCGTCCGCTGCTCCTTCGCTTACTTGGTCCGGGTGACTCCTCCGCACATCCTGTGTCTGGTTCCAGCGTCCCACTACTACAGCCGTTTGGGTTGGTTGAACCCGACCGCTCCTTGGCCAGCTCTCCGCAGCCCCCGCCGCTCCCCCACCTCTGCATCGCCATCTCCGCCGCCTCCGGCTGCACGGGCGGGCAGGAGAGGTGGCGCTGGAGGGCGTCCAGGCGGGCTCATGGGCGCCCATGAGGGTTAGAACTTAAATAGAGACCTTCTCCTTTTCCTCCTGTGTTTCCTCCTTGGTGTAGCATGGATGCATACGTGCGCGCCTGCCTGTACATAACTGCCATAATGGTCCAGTAATACATCTCACATGCACTTCGCTATGTGTACTTGGCATTCGAACAGGCTCCCACAAGTAGAGGTGCAGTACTCGGGGTCAAGTCTCCGGGTGCAGTCCGTGACCGTGCGACCCCTTGACCTCGTCCAACTCACCTGTACGCCTTTAGTGCCCCATACCCGTTTCGCGCTTATGGTGTTGATCCACAACTTTGCTCTAGCTCCCTTCTGCTTCAGTTCCTATATGATGGTGATGGTGATGGTAATAGTGACGGCGGTGTTTTTTTTCTCCGTCCATGTCTTCGGGTTGTCCTACGCGGTATCCAGTTTCTCCATGCCGTTTCTCTCACCGCTTTCCACGTACACTGACCACATTACCGCGTGACCCTGTGGCGCTGACAAGCTCACAGTGCCATGCAGCTCACACTCCCACACTCCCGATAGGCCCCACGGCACGCGCCACCCACACATTCAACTCAACCATTCCAACTTTGTATCTTCAGGAGCGTTCCGCGGAGGCAATGTTCAATTTGGGATTCATGCACGAGTTCGGTGTGGGTGTGCCGAAGGACCTGCACCTGGCCAAGAAGTTCTACGACATGGCTGTTCACACGCAGGTGATGCAGAGGGAGAGGAAAGGGAAGCGGGGAGTGGAAGCTGTGAAAGTGCCCGGGAGGCATTGGAAAGCGCGAAAATCGTCACCGTTCCGAACTGGTGACCCCGAATCCGCAGCATTTGCCACTGTATCCTTTCGTACACCCGTGCTTACCTCTTATCCCTTGGGGTCAGTTCGCGGCCTCGTTTCCCCTACATACACACGCCCCCCACACACACGCCCTTACCACCCGCCTACTCACTTTGACCCTACCTACGCAGCCTGACGCCTTCTTGCCGGTAGCCGTGGCGAATGCGTGGTTGCGAGTTCACCGTTGCTGGGACGCGCTGCGGCCCTACCTACCCATCTGGCTATGGAGCAGCCTCTTTGCGCTTCATCCACCGCACACCAGCCTTTTCGGCCCATGGGTCGCTCGGCTGCAGGCGGCGTTGCCTAATTTAGCTCTCTTCCACGCGGAGGTTGTATTCTGGCGCTGGGTGGACCTCACGGGACTGGGCTCCCTGGGGGCAATGGTACGGCAGGGGGATGCCGGGGAGGGCGCGACGCTGCTGGCGCTGCTGGGGGGCTTGGCGCTGGTGGTGAGGCTGCGGCGGCGGCGTGCCGCCGTGCGGCTGCAGCAGCAAGAGGCGGCGGCGCGGCTGCTGCAACAGCAGCAGGAGCAGCTGCTGGTGCAGTTGGAACGGTTGGGGGTTGAGGTAGAGGAGAATCGGGATAGGGAGCGGGAAAGGGCGGCGTCGCACGGGCTGGCGGCTGCCACAGTTACGGCTGTGGCGGCGGCGGCAGCGGCGGCGGGAGATGCAGCCATTGGGTTGAATGGCAGTAGCGAAGCTGTTATTGATTCAGGGGCAGCGGATGGCGGGGTTGGTTTGGCGGATGGGGCAGGGCGAGGGGAAGTGGCGGGGGAAGCGTCAAGGAGCGGAAGCGGCGCAACGGAAGAGGTGGTGACAGCGGCAGCCACCAGTGGCGGCAGCCTCGAGGAGCTTTCAGCATCAGAAGCCGGTGCGCCAGCAGCGGAAGGCGATGCGGCAGCGGCGGGAGAGATTGCAGCAAAAGGGTCGATTGTGTCGGAGTGAGTAAGGTTGCATGGAGGGCGTGATCCGATGAGGCAGCAGAGCGGCACAGCATGGGGTAGCGCAGGGCACGGTGCGGTTGCGGTTCGGGGGAACGTTGCTGCTCCCTTTCTTTGCGTCCGCGCGCCTACCCGTCGCTCACCCACCGGTTCCCCTTACGTGGTTGGCCTCGCATGTTCTCACGCCATGATAGGTTTTACTCCCCCTGAATTGAAAGGGGAAGGCGCCTCTTCGGTGGGAGGCCCCCCGCCGCCGGAGTGGTGGTGGTGCAATAAAGTTCCGCAGAGCTGCGCCTAGAGCGCGGAAAGGGCAAGTGGTGTTGTCGCACCCAACGGGTGCGAGCTCAGACGACGGCATAACGGCCATAGCGGCCATAACGGGGTACTTCCTCAATCGAGGCGTCACTTTTGGGGGGGAAAGCCAGGGGTTGTGGTGAGTGCTATTAATAACTGCTGCCGTGGCATCCATCGACGGCGAGTATTCCTGAAAACAGGAGGCGTTACGGTGCACGGCCCTGGGCAAAACTCGCTACTGATATAAGAGAGAGGACCTTTCATGGATGTACCGCGTCTAGGCCCGTAGAGTCACGCGCGTCACCCAACTCAAATCCTGAAGTCGACCCGGCTCGCCAGTACTTACTAATAAGTGACCCCTTGTTATTAGGGGGATGCACCTAACTGAGAAAAGAAACAATACCGCAAGAGCCCAGGGTAACGGTCAACATGGGGACAAGGCCCGTACAAAACCCCCCAATTAGCCGGTCACCACCATCCCTCGTGGCAGTCACTGTCGGCCTGAGGCGAAGATGCGCACAAGGGACAGAGAGACATGATTCGCAGGCATGTTCAGGGGTGGCAGCATGTCCATCTAGGGCAGCTAAGTCCCCCTATCCCATCTCGCTCCCCATCTCAGCCCACCTTGGGGTGGATTCGCCTCGTATTCGGCAATGCTGCGACCTGTGGCCCAGCAACACGAGCATCTTAGTTCACCTTCATTCCCATCCCAACATGCCAGCCGGTATAAGTTACGTGGCTGGGAAAGTCCCTGAAACCATCCGTACACCCGCTGCGCTCTGGAGCAGCTGATCCGTAGGACGGCTGGCTCATGGGTCGATGGGGAGCCAGCAGTGCACACCCACCAGAACCAACTTGAAAGCTCCTGCAGCGCCTCCAGTGCACCTGCACTCTAGCGCCAGTCCTGAGGCTGACTGGGTAGGATCGGAGGGGGGGGCCGGCCAACAGGCTCAATATACCATGCTGAAAGAGATACACACGTCTTAATCAATTTCCTACTGTTGCTGATCAGTATGAGGTATATGTACTGTGTCTACTGAGTGCCGGACGCGGGGAATGCGCTAAAATGGCATAAAATAAGAGCGTGCGCGCGCTGAATGCGGGCTTGCTTCTTAGATAACACTTGGCCACTCCCACGGGTTGCAAACTACAAACGGCAGAAGCACTCCCCTTTTGTCGCACACCAACGCCACCTTGCGGAAACGGTGTCTGGGCTTGACGGGTGCTGCACGTGGAACCGGTCTTTTCTTTGCGAAAGGGTGCTCGACTTTCCTGGAGCCGTCGGGCTCCTTAACCTTTAACCTTTTGGCCTGGTCGCAGCGAGAACCACCTTTCCTCCAACTCCATATTGATCGCGACGCTTGTGTAATGTCGATAGTTTTCGGACCCATGCCTCGGCTTTCGTGGATCTCTGGTTCCCCGAGCCGAAAAAAGAAACGTAAAAGCATTGTCTGATCAGCACGACATGCACTTGGCCCGCTGGCGAGGCACTGCTGTGGAATTCTCAAGCAGCTGAGAAGGCTTGAAGACTGACATGCGTTAAGGCCGTTGAGTGAGCCCACCTTTCCCACCGTCCAGTTCATGTGCGCCATCCACGCAAGACCCATCTTCTATTGAGCACGCCGCACTGCCGTTATCAGAGTTCCTATCCTCGCATTCCAGCCCCGGCGGCTGTTTGTTTTTGCATAAACTGACACCAAAGCTACGTATCGTACAACGCGACCCATCGCGGCTGGATGAAACTAAGCCAAAAAAGAACATTCGCTAAGACGCTAATTCCTTTTTTGTTGGACGCCGCACCAAAGAGCACACGGTTAGTCATCGTCGAATGAATTAACAACCGCAAAACCACCGGACACCTTCCCTTCAGACGCAAATGCGTCCTAGTTTCACCCATCGTCGCTCAATCCAAGAGTGCCTTGGAGTCTCCGCTATGCGATCCGCTACCTTGCAACACGCACTCTTTGGCATCATGACATGTAAACAACACCGCCCTTGAAAGCGGCCAAGCAAACTCAATTTCATCGTGCGGTAGAAAGGATGCACAGGAGCTACGTCTTCGACAATGCAAGATGTCCTTCCTTCGATAGCTCTACGTCGTGGGTCGATACATACAGCTGTCGATTCTGCCCAGTGCCGAATCCTCTTCAGTACAACGGGCTAAACCCAAGTGAGCCCTGACAAAGTTTCAGGGGCCATAGGTCCGTATCACAGATGAACTAAAATTCGTGACTGCAGGACACATCCAGCATCTGCGCGATGTTCACAGGGTCCCACCACTGAAATGCTCCGCAACACACACAAGCAGGATACATTATCTATCCTGAAATTACGACGCCCCGGCATCCCTTGCAGCGCACAACTTACCTTCCAGCCAAGCGCTGCAAGTGCTCCCCACCAGGCAACCTTTTATCCTAACATGCAGAAACAGCGCCGTACCGCGCCACTGTCACCGCCGTACCGCGCCACATGTGTAGTGCGAAACAGTGACAATGCTTGAAGGTGTTTGCTGCTGCAGCACGAGGACATGGGAAGGTTCTCTGATCTAAATCAGGGCACTCTGAAACCACGGGGCGCTCATGTATGGACCGCGCTATTCAGAAGCCCCTTCCTCGCGGCGCATCCGCAATGCGAGCTGGAAGTCCTTGGGCCTGTGGAGCACGGGCAGTGCGGCAAGGACAAGAACGGCATGAGATGACTAAACGGTGGTTTTGGAGGACAGGGCGGCCAGGTCGGCAGGCACATCAGTGCTGCCCGAAAAGCCTAAACTCGCAGACAGGTCAGCACCTCCTAAATTGATCCGGTGGTTCCGCTGATTCACATCATGGTACATGGTATTATGAAACAATTGCCATTGAGCCCTGCCCTAACCCATACTGACACAAGCCAGACCTCCTCACTACCCAACGGCGTGAACAGAGGACATTCCAACTTGGCAGCCACGGGACACGGGCAAGCAGCACAAGTTTTTAAAGCAATCCCCAGATTACGCACATAATGGTGACCCGCTTGGCGTGGATGGCGCACAGGTTGGCATCCTCCATCATGCTGATCTGTGGATTCCGGACGAGCCGGTGCAAAGAAGCACGGATGGAGGGACGAGGACGGGGGGGAAGCAGGGTAGCGGTGAAAACCAGGAAGGAGAGTCATGGCCAAACCCTGCAAGAGGCACGTTCAAGACTCAGTGCCGCTGACTGACGGCAGGGGCCTAGGGGCCTAGGGTGTAACGCTCAGGGGCCTAGGGGCCTAGGGTGTAACGCTCAGGGGCCTAGGGGCCTAGGGTGTAACGCTCAGCTGTGCCAGGGTAAAAAGAGCCAACGTTGTGACATTGCAGTCTTCGCGGCAAGGTTAAGACACGCATACACCATTAACGATGACCCCCACGGCATTCACGTAGGCATCTACGTGGACGCCAAGGGAGAACAATCCTCCACGCATTTGGACATTGCCTCGGGTCAATCGAGCACTCTACAGAACGTAACCCTAGCACGTCTGACAATAGTCCCGCAACCTCTTCTTTCAATGCGCTTACCATGTACGCCTCAGCCGCCTCTTGGAGCGCCTCCAATGCATCGTGCTGCCAGCGGAAATCTGTCTGGCCGCCAGGCGCACCCTTGTTCGCAATCTTCGGTGCAGGTTGGCCAGGAAGCGTAGGGGTCAGGGACCACCGCTGCTCAGCTAGTTGCTGCAAACAAATACGTACCTCACGAACCAGCCTCTGGAAGGGGAGCCGCCTAATTAACAATTCGGTCGACTTCTGGTACTTGCGGATTTCCCTGGAAGGCGATGCGGTTTATGTGAATTGCAAGGAGGTCAGGAAGTTCGATGTACGTACCTGAGGGCCACAGTTCCTTTGCGAAATCGCCGCTTCGGCTTGGCTGGTTCCTGCGTCACGGGCTTCTTCTTTGACTTTTTGCCCTGGGCGCCCTTCCGCTTCACGTTGGTGGTCTCCACCGGCTCTTCCTTAATCTTAACCAGTTTAGGTGCTTTTGCAGCCTTCTTAAGCATAGCCTCTCTCTTCTTCGGACCGGTGTGGCCCACGTACTTTCTAGCGGTTTGCTTTGTGCGCGCCATAGTCTTATCGTAAAGACTCTTATGCAATTTGGAAATGTAATCGTCGCTTTACAGAAGATACAACCAGTGATGAATGAGCATCCTACGCTCGGAACGCGCACTTATAGCTACGACGAAAAGCGAAAAGCAACCAGCGTTGCTTCTCAAAAGTGGTGAAAGACCATATTGCAAATCATTCCCTACAGTTGATGATGCTGGTCACGCACAGGACGCGCAGCATGTGGTCGCACTGTACGGGCAGTACTTGTGACCGTTTCCGACGCGGACCCCAGAAAATTATTGGGCGCCAACCAGCTGCATGTGCAAAGTTCTTTGTTTGACAGTCAAAACGTGCACACAGGTTGCATGCATTAAGTAGGTCAGGTTATCCTAGGCTGTTGCAGGGACCATTAGTGTCAAACGTTCATAGCTCTGCTTCTTGACCAGGCGTCGGCCCTCGTTATCTGAATATAGCTCATTTAATTGATATCTCAGTAAGAATACGTTTTTACTTGGCAGTTTTCCCTTTTGCGTGTTCCGAGCTGTTTGGCTCAACGTCGTCAGTAGTGAGTCAGGGCGGCGGCCAAGAAGCCCTGCGTGGCCAAAGGGAGCGCTGGTAGTTACAAGGTGAATAGGCAGCAGGTGCGACCGTGGACTTAGGGACCGGGGGAAGGTGTCGAGACGGCGGCCGCGTAACGTCTTCTTGTGTTGCAGCTCTGTCGGCAGCGCGGTGCGTGAACGGCATAACAGCAATGCTTCATACACACGAGCATTTTCCTCGCCCGAGAGACATAGCTGGTTGGCATCCAACTCAATAGCGTCGATGGAGAGTTTCGGGCCCACAGTCGCACGTCACTTCTATATGACCTGAACCCCTAGCTGCAACCTCCTTCGTGCAGACATGGGACCTTAGGTTTTTGTTTGTGGTAATTCATATCTGCGCGGTCATCTGCCTTTCCGCCCACCTACTACCGTGGCGGAAGAAGGACCTAGTTGTTTAAATGGGCTGACACGGGATAACCACGTAGGGCTGTAGTGGATGATTGCAGTATCTGTCCTACTAGCGCTTCACTTCATCCGGTATGTTGCGCGCGTCGTTGGGGCATCGAAACTCGATGATTCACACTGTGTACCGGGAAGCAGCCTGAAGGAACTGGGATAAACAACTTGCACAGTAGGACATATATGCATGTTTTTTGCTGCGCATGCAAGCACAGCTTATCTCACGTGTGCCTCGGGGTGATTCGCGCAGCTGAACGGGCGTCCGCGCATCATGTCCGTGGAGACCGAACTGCTGAATGAAAAGCGGCGACGGTATCCCCTGGCAAAAGTTAAGGGCGGCTGGACAAATGTTGAGGACCAGATATTAAAAAGGTAGGGCGTTACAGTGTGAATCGACATGTCGGAGGGACTCGGCACCTGCCAGTGGCACGAAATCGCTTTTGTATATAGTGTTTCATTCCCGTTCCCTTACCACTGGCCGATCAACCTGATTCTAGGTTGGTCGATGAGTTTGGCGAAGGAAACTGGAGCGTCATAGCTCGGCACCTGAACTCGGCGCTCGGCAAGCCAGCTGAGTCTGGTCGCATCGGCAAGCAATGCCGAGAGCGGTACAACCACCATCTCCGGCCCGACATCAAGAAGGTGAGGTCGAAGGCTCGGACGCTGTGGCCACAAAAGATCTGTCCCTCCGTGCCCTCCAGAGCTTTACCCTTGACTCCCGCGCCCACGTAGGACGCCTGGACAGAGGAGGAGGAGGCCCTCCTGGTTTCGGCGCACCTCAAGTTCGGCAACCGCTGGTCTGATATTGCTAAGGTCATCAAGGGCCGTACAGAGAATGCCGTGAAAAACCATTGTAAGTGCCTTCATGCAGCGCTGGCTGAGCAGTGGAGATGCTTTGTTGGAGCGACTCGCTCCTGGACTGCACCCAGAAACTACGGCCCAATTAGATGGGACGTGCAGCCTGCCGGGGCTGTCCGTTATTCCCAGCCTCTTCTGTCTCTCTCGCGTGCACACGTGCTGCCAGAGTCCCTCCCGTGTAACATCCTCTTCCCGGTTACGTACAATTCTCTACGTTCGCGATCCGTCTGTTCACGATCCGTCCGGTTTGTGCCCTTCGCACATACGCTAATCCTGTGCTGAAAGACAATCAAAGTGGCGTTTTCAATATCCCCTGACTTCCATCGCTCCTACTGCATTCGCTGCCCTTATCCAACCCTACCAGGGAACGCCACACTGCGCCGCAAGGACACGGACAAATGCGGCAGTCGCAGCAACGGGCCGCCCCAGTCCTGCGTCCTCAAGGATTACATGATTCGTATTGCGCTGCTGCCTGGGCCTCCTAGCGGCTCTGGGCCGCCTGGCAATGCAGGTGGCGGCGCCAACAACGGAAAGCCCTCGTTCAGCTGCTCCCCGACCCCTTACACGGGCTTGGCGCCGGGCCTCTCTTCCTGTGTAGCAATGGAGGACGCCGTGGTGACGGTCGGTGGCGGTGGCGCGACCCGAGTTATGAAGGCGTGCGAGCTGGATGCCCCTTCGGCAGTACGGTGTGCTGATGACGTTCTCACCAAGCCAACTGCGCCAGGGCACGTAATGCAACGGGAGCAGCAACAACCGCCGGTTGCCAAACGCGCTGTACGGGCTGGCTTGGACAAGCGGTCAGCTGCAGATGACGCGGCCACTGTCGGCGGCATCACTACGGCGCTGCCGTCGGTGATGATGGGTGGGGTTGGGCAGGTCGCAGGCTCCTCGCCGTGCTCGTCGAGTAGCTCACACGAGGGGCTGGTAGCGGCCCATCCTCGCCGTTCCTTTGATGCCAATGCACCGTCGTTGCCGGCGACCAGCAATGCCATTGCTGCCGCCGCTGCTTTCGAGGCCCCAGCTCCGGTACGTAAGCGCCCTCGCATCATCACCTTTGCCGCTATCGGGCCTCCTGTCGCCGTCGCCGCAACGGACGTGCTGGCTGCTCCCGCCACCGCTGCCGCCCCTGCAATGCCCATGAGAGTCCCGGGTCCTCAGCTGCGCAGCAGTAACGCAACTCATTGGCCCACGGACAGTACACCCGCTGTCATGGCTACCGCTGTGCGCAGCGTTGGCGCCGAGGCCACAGCCCATTACCAGCCACACCTGCTGGCGCATGTATCGCGTCCGGAGGACTTAGGCCCCGATTCCCACCCGCTGGCTTCCGGCAGCGCGGCCCTCCACCTCCATGCTCCTTCTAGGCCCCGCCAGATCTGCCGGCGGGGACCCGAGCGGCAGCCGGGGTGGGCTACGGATAGCGCAGAGGAGAGCGCCCATGGCAGCCCTGTGTCGGAACGTTTTGAGCGCTTTGAGGAGGTTGAGGAGGAGGAGGAGGAAGAGGAGGGTTGCGATGGCGGGGAAGGGCGGAGGACGGATCGTCGGGAGGAGGTGGAAGATTGCGGTGGCGGTGGTGGTGCTGTTTCTGACGGCGCGGCGGTGTGCAGTGAGATCCAAGCGGCACAGATCATGCTGGCATTGAAGCGCCTTGCGGGGTCTCTGTGACGAGGAAACAAAGCAAGGAGTTGGAGAATACGGCAGCACTGCGGGGCTGTTTCCTGATGGCAGAGACGCCTAACAGCGCAGTGCATTGCCTCTCCTTTTACTTGCTGCGGTTCTACTGTGTTAAGCAGCAGGTGCGTGAGGTTGGATTGATTTTGACAGCAGCTATGCTAGCCAGCTGCACCTTTCCTATGCCGTTTTAAAATTTGCTGCCAGCAGCCTATGTGAAACGGCCGATGTTTGGATTGTTTGGATGCTATGGGTTATGGTATGGACGTATGGGTACTCATACGGCCATATGGGTACTCTCGAGGATACGCCGGCTTGGATACGCAACACTGCTCTACGACCTGCTGGTTTTTGGGGGCGGACAAACAGACAGAACCGGACGTGTGCTGCAACTGTGTTGGAGCCGAGGCATCGTTTTTGCATGTCGCAGCTTTTCGCCTGGCGTTGCTAATGCGGTCGGTCGGGACGGAAGCCTTCTTCCAGTGAGGAGGAAGATGTGAGCGAACGCTGCATGAAGGCAGGTTTGATTTTCGTCGGCGCCGATGGGAATTCAGCAGCCTCGGCGTTTCGAGCTGCCGAACCCCAATGTGCCTTCGGCTGCACTGATATATCTCAACGATGGGGCACGGCCCGAGGGTCCTAATGCCAGCAGGTGCAGGGGCTGTGGTGGCGGCTAGGAGATGTCCCCACACGTACCCAGGAAACTTTCCTAAACTTCCTTTTTCGAGGGCCATGTCCATGGCTCCTTCCTCAGCGCGCGGCACCTTGTGTGGGGACTGCTTTTCGCTTTTCGTTTGATGTCCACAAGGGAAGACGATAAAAGCAATCATTCTGTTGATACGATCTGGATCTGGATCCGGATCTTAGAGACTGTGAAATTGGCTTTGTTTTCGAGTGCTGGACCCGGACGGGATTGGAGCAGCGCGGCCAAGGTAACGTATCAACGTATTCACCGAGGAGCTTTGCTATGCTGTTCGCTCCGTTAACTCTTAAGAAGCATGTATTCAAATTATCATGGCTTGCTGCTTGCTTATGGATTGGGAGGAGGGGGGGTGGGTGTTTGTCGTACCTGCAATTGTGACGATGTGGTGTTTTCGAATGTTATTTTCATTCTCGTCCTCGTAGTTGCTGTCGCTTTTAGGGCACAGCATCTCATTCTCTGTACGTTGCATTTCAACATAGGCTTAATTAGCCGCTTGATAGATTGCAATAATTGGTATATGTGCTATTGTTTTGTGTATTTGCGGTGTTTGGCTTGAGGTGAATTTGGGGGTTGCTTTACAGTGCTCTTGCTTTCTCTGGGCGAGTGTTGCCAATATTAAAGGGCCCGGGCATTCGGCTCGTGGCGCGGAGCCGGAAGGCTGGGAAAAGGCCGCTGCACCTGGGATGGGAGGAGGAAGGAGGGCCATGTGGGTGTCCACACAGCCCACCTTGGGCAGCCATCCGCGTGGGGCTGTGCTGAAGAAGGCCAATCTAGTTTTGCGGGTTTCTGTCTAAAGTCATGAGTGGTACAGAGCGTCAGGAAGGAGTTGCCGCGTGGTGCGGCGCGTCACAAACGCGGGCACGAGTATAGCGATTTGCATACGAGTGAGTGAATGCGTTACAAGCAGAACATCGCTGATGCGTGAAAGTAATCATTGTTCTATGTGCGTATGTGACAGTGATGGTTTGTAGTTCTGTGCGTTTTTGTGCCGTGTCTGCGCATGGTTGGTTGGTTGGTGGTCCCTAGTGTGAATGTCGAGAGGTGGCATCATGTCGTCTTTGCGACTCATTGACTGCTGGCTGGCTGTCTTGCCGTAGGCATTCCCCTTAGAACCAACAACAACGAGAACTAGAAACAGCAGTAGCATCACAACCACGAACAACCACGACCCGCCGTGGAGTCCGAGCACGGGTATGAGAGTTGGACGATGCTGGTTTATGACGACGCGTGGTTTATTTTTACGTGCAGCAGGTGGAGGGATGGATGGATGGATGAATGGACAGTGCAAAGGAGTGACACAGATAAGGCATGAAGGCGTTTGATGGTGATTAGGGCAGCAGCAGCGGCGGCGGCGGCGGTACCAACAGAGCAGTAGCAGAATGCAGTCGGCAGTGCCAAAGCGTGCTGACAATCGCGGGCGGATGTGTGTAGTAAATTCCCCCTTATTTGTATTTGCGTGCCATGATGGCACGACGGCTGAGACAAAAGGTTTTAATGGGGGCTACGTGCCGATGCGTGGCGGAGGCGTGCCGCGTGTGGTGACGTTACTGGTGACTATGTCAGCTGATGATGGCATGCGATAGTCGATCCAGTTGGCACTTTCTAGAAAGGCGGGTCCTTCACAGTTCAGGGTGGTATTCTGAGTGGGGTGGCATGGCATGTTCTGGTGGCTACAGCGTATTGCGCGGACGGCCCCAATTGGACGGTTATATTTTTTGGGGCCTCACCCTTTCCCCAAACAGGGGTGGCAAGCCGAGGGGAACGGCTCGACGCGGCGTGATGGAGCGACTCTCCCATTGTGTCGTCTCTTCGCATTTCTCTGTTTCACTCAACCAACCTGTCGCTTTTCTTTGCCCTTTACTTCCTCATTTTTTTTGCATAGAGATTATATCTGCTTTGCGTGCATTTGCCTTGAAGACGGCAGCTGTGTAGTCTTTTGATTGGCAGAGAGTCGGCATACTCAAACCGGGTGTGCATTAGCCTCCCAGCCGCATGTATTCTTAGAGGTCTTCGTCAGTGGAGATTTGGACAAGACAGGTGTGGACACTACTGCCGGGGCTGAGGCCGCCGCGTGGACTGTTGCAGTCGTGTGATGGTGGCATGGTCACGGTCGTGGGTGCGCATTCGTCGTCACAGCATCTTGAGCATTGCGTGGTGAGGGTGCCGTCTGCCTATGTGCATGTGCTGCCTGCGCGGCTGTAATTTGCCGCGGCAGAAACGCCTCAATTGGCGAGTCGTCGTCTGACAGTGTGCTTTGTGCGCTTGGGTTTAGTTCCGCAATGCTCCTTTGGAGTGCTCCGTTGTACATGCGTATTCTCACGTGTTTTTTGATGCAGCTTCCGAATTGAAAGAAGTAGAATGGTAGCAAAAGAGATATCTTTTATTCTTTTGAGTCGTCTTTGGTAGGGGCGGATATAATCTTCGTATGCGTTTCTTTGTATAGATTTGGCATTGGTTGGGCAGAGGGCCCGTGCGGTTGGAGCGGGTAAGCGGTCGCCCGAGGCGGACATTACCGCGAAAGGCGCTGCATTGAGTTGTGTGTGCGTAGATGTGTGTGTGGCTCGCATCTAGCGACGGCTGTGACGCAATCGGAGATTGGTACGCGTGCGTAAAGTGCTCCTTCCGGTGGCCTGGGGCCGATCCATAAATGGTGGTGTAGCGGAGTGCGACAGTTGCTGTGACGCACATATCGCCAACATATTTGCCAACCAAAGGGTCTTTAACCGGTGTATTCTCAACAGCGCTGTTGCTGTCCGCTTTTCGATATTGCAATAATTGCTTTAGCAAGCAACGGGGACCTTTGCAGGAACTCGCTGCAATATGGCAGGCAGAGCAACTGAGGGAAATAAGTGTCATTTAAAAACAGAAGTAGTGTTGCACCGCACCGGCAGATTTGATTGCTATAACAGTTTGTAAATTTTACATCAATTTACAGTTCTAAGCCATACGCCCCGGAGGAGGCAACCTATCTACTGCTTATCCCTTCCAATGCTGAAAGCACCCTGATTGCGGCCATCCAGCCATCTCTCGTCATTCAAATGACGACTTAAACGTCCCTGTACACCGGACTAGGACACCAGCTAGGGAAAGGCCTGTCGGCGTATATGTACACCCTCGCCAACCTTGATGTCTGATCGCCAGCACTGTGCTGAGCCCGGTCATAGCCGACATAGCATAAACCGACAGAACCCTGCCCAGCGCATCATTAAAATCCACTTGCAATTCTTTGCAGGCTGCCAACACGTCATACCAGCATCATGTCCACAGTACTACATGTTGTCGGGTCCCCATGTGGGTTCGCTGCACCAGCGCCAGCGAGGGGCGCAGTGGCGGGTAAAACGGCGATCAGTGTATAGAAAACAATTATTCCCACACGATGAGCACAAACGCACTGGCTGTCATCGTCCTTGCCGTCGTCATTATTGTTGTCTGTCGCGGTCCCCCCTAATCTTTTACCCTGAGAAGCGATGGTTAGCACCAGCGGCCTCAATCGGCCTGTGCTTCAGCACGTTGCAACTTGCAACCACTCATCGAAGCACGCGGCCCTGCTTCCCATCCAACCCGTGTCCCAGTTCCCTACTCGAAGGCTAGCATATTCCCGCAAATTCGGATTTGGGTTTCTTCCGGTCCTGTTTCTCCGGAACGCGACAATTACCACCAAGCAACGTCTCATTCCCACGCTCTGGCTGTATCTACTCCATAAACCCCCTCTACACCCAAGGTGACCTTTCCTCCTCCTTGCCCCCCAAAAAGAGACCTTGCGATGATGTCCTTCCGGTCTTTCCGGTCCTTCTGGTTCCCATTCTGGTTTCCCCCCGGCATATCCGCGCACACGCTCAACGTACGCACACCAAACGCACGTCGTCGCTGCTCTACTTCCCAGGGGCGCCCAATCAGCGCAGAACACAGGACAAAAAAATCTTGGGTCATATGTCTCAACAAAAAACCGTCCTATCCACCTACCTCACTACCCTCCCGTGAAAGGTCAGGGTCCGTCTGTACGGCAACCCCTTGCAAGAGAAACGAAACATTCGAGGATCATGTCCAGGTCGCACCTTCTCGGCCAGATATCCTACAGGTCGAGCACTAGCTGACCTCTCCAACTAAGATTGATCTCCATGGAGAACTAGCCACCACAGCGAACATCGTTGGACAGGTTCCTTCGTCACTCGGCGTCACCGCCACCGTCCGCCACAGCGGCGGCCTTTGCTGCCTTTGGCCTCTTCCTGGCCTCTGCCGCTTCCCGGGCACCCTCCCGACGCTCCCGCTTCGTTCCCTTGTACTTGGACAGCCCCAGCGTGTCCATGTTCTGCTTGGGCATGTAGATGCGACCCACCTTGCCGTCCAGAGCGTCCGAGGACACGTTCTTCTCCTGCAGGACAGGGATAAGAAGCGGCAGCGGCGACGACGTTTTACGACACGGGTTTAAGAAGGAAGCAGCGCTGCGGCCACAGCGCCGAAGACCTGCGAAGGTAGACGGGCGGAAAAGGTACCCCTTCCGGGCCCTGAGCTGCCGCTCTGCCCCTTGCTCCAGCTGCCACCTCATCCTGTCTGGTGCCTCTAGACACACCCACCCACCTTTCCCTTTCCCGGCCCTGCCCGCTTTCCCTTTGTACCTTCTTCTTCCCTAACTTGGGCTGCTTCATGGCGTCCTGCTGGAGGTCGCTGGGTGGCAAGCGGTAGCGACGCACGCTAAAGGCGACGCGCGGACCCATCTCTGTCAACGCGACCTTAGGGATTCGGGTGCCGCTCTTCTTGAAGCGGATAGAGTACTGTCGGAGCTGTAGCCGCGTGTCGCCCTCAGCAACTGCAAAGGCGGGAGGAGGAGAGGCGGGACGTAGGGCGGAGCGGCGGCCGTTGAACAGGACCAAGACAGGCAACATGCACAGGAGTGGAAAAGGTGTTGCGGGTTGCAGAAGGATGAGGTGGGAAGTGAGCGGCATCTGAGGAGGGCCCGGGGATCCGGAGCGCCGAGCATAGGGATGTGAACTGTTTTCCCCCTTTGCAAGATCTTATCTCATCTTGCCATCCTGCAGATCCGCAAAACCGCTGTACTGGTGTGGTGCGGTCGACCTACCCGCCATGAGCACCCGATCAATGCCCGCCAAGTTGATCTTGTCCACAGGCTCCCCGCGGAACATATCCAGCAGCAGCGACTTGGCCAGGGCCAGGGCAGGGACGCTCTCGAACTTCTCGCCCACGAAAATGACGCAGGGCTGGGGGTGGAGGCGAGATCGGGGTCCGTAATCGGGGCCGGAACGGCGTTGCGGAGTCCTGGCGGCGTGCGGATCGGCGTACCTTGTTTCCTAGCTGGGCGCCGGTGCCGGCGGCGCCGAAATCTCGAATGGCTTTGAACTCCTCCACACCAAGCTCTAGTGCATCATAAAGATGAAAGTCAAACAGCCGTCCGATTACGACGTTATGTGGCCGCTTCTTCGAATGGCTTCCCAAGACGAACAGCGGGCAGTTATTGCGACTGCAATAAAACTCCAGACTGGTTTCGCCGCCAGGCTCGAACGGCCGAATATTTTCATTCTTTCGCGTAAACTTTTGTGCTTCTAGCTGCAAGGCGCGGAAGTGGAAAGCTCCGTTAGACTCCGCTGTCGGCCATGCGAACTAAGGAACTTGTGACCTACCCGCTTTAATTGGTAAAGATCCGTAAGCACATCCTTGACGATTTGGCTGGTTTGATTTCCATAAAGGAAAAGTGCTCGCTTCGCGTCTTCAATCTGCAAGGCGTCAATGTGGCGGCGGGCTGTGATTATCTAATTCCCCGATATTAGTTCCAAACGTCCATCTACGGTGATGATAGGCAACGTGCAAAAAGGAACAGCCAAAGGCTCCATGTATGGAAGTGCAGCATGCTTAGGCGCTCAGATATGTCAGCATATTGCGTTCAGCGGGCTTAGGCCCTCGCACAAGAGGTGTCAGAAAGTTTGGCTGCGTTCATCATAGCGCCGAAGTGATGCAAGTGATGCAAAGGTGCAAGCTGTTCAACGACACCCAAAACCGCGCTCACCGCCTTCGGTGCCCGGCTTTCTAAGAACCGCTTTCCCCTCCGCGTCTTTGCCTTCACAAGCTTTGTTTGCCCAGGTACAAGTGGTGTTGCATCTTCCGTCTGCATTTCTCCTTCTGTTCAACCTGGGCCGTAGCCCACTTTCTTTTAAAATACAAACCTGCACCACCAGATAGAGTAGATAAAAGATGTCTCTACGTTTGGAGTGAGAAGATTATGCCAGGGCGGCGCATATGTATTCGCAAGATGGGAGGCCCGCATGTTCAGAGGGCCGTACAGGTAGTTTGGCCTGTTTCACATCGCTGGAATAACCCGACAAAACGTGTGCCTAGATGCGAGCATAACATCTGTCCATATGCATTTTTGCAAATCGTTTGAGCCACCTTACCCATTATGTCGGTCCCGATGAGACGGGTCACCTCGCTGCGAAAATCTACTATCAACTTAACCGCGTATCCATCACCTGTAGTACCTCTCGTTCCAGCCTTCTACACTTCATTTACAGCGCCAGGCTCGGCCGGTGCTATCCCAATCGGCACCACCCGCTCGCGCTGCTTGCAGACAGCACCGCTCTCCGCAGCACCCCAGGAGACCCAAACCGTTTCCCCCGAAACTACAATGGCCGATACAGCCTTAGAGCTGGAGGCGCAACGCGTTAGGAAGCTGGAGGCGGAGGCCATAGCCATGCATGAGCTGGCACAGCGGCTTAATAAAGAGGGCCGCTTCGAAGGTAAGCACCCTGTGAAAGGATGCGGGTGGAATACGCCGAGAGAGCCCGGCGAGCGCATGCCCGGCAGCCGAGGCGCGACCAGGGGCAAGGCGTAATCGGTGGGATGTAGAGATCCGACCGATTAATGGAATTGGGGATCAGCCACACTTCTTTCTTGCGTACCTTCGTTCTCGCGTCTGAGTTTCGGCAGAACCCGGTCGTCCGGTTAAAGATTTTCACATAGTAATGCTGTAATGTGCTCCCCAAAACCCTTCACGTACTCCCGTCCTGTCCCTGGCACCTATGGAACATACCCACCATCACGCGACCGTCCTCCTATCTTGTTCGCTCCTACAGAGGCCCAGGCTGCCTACGCGTCCATGCACCGTTTGGAGGACGAAGCTTCCGAGCTAGCGGCCCGAGTGGGCTGCGTGGCGTGCGTACTTGGGGAACCCAGCCAGGACCAGGACCAGGTGAGGACCAGGACCTGGTGCAGTGTGAGGCTGGTTGGGGTCTGTAAGGGGTCAGTGACTCCTGCGACAACCTCTCCCTGCGGCCGCCGCACGCATATTTGTGCTGCGCATCACTCAGCCACCTAAGTCCTCCGAGGAAAGAGGTCAAGGAGAGAGGACGTGTAGCTCATGCAAAAGTGCATTACCTGGTCGTCGACGCAAAAAACGCGGCGCGCTTTGGCAACTGGCTTTGGGGTTGCCGGGTCAGTAGTAACTAGAAAGGGAAAACACATGCAAACGGCATGTGGGGTTATATGATGTTCTAGTCACCTTCAACACGGAAGCATTTGCTCTTTCGTCTACAAGGTTCTTTGCTGCCGGCCCAAGACGAACAACAGTTTTTCGGTTTCAGCTCCAGTTCCAAATGCAGTTCTCGTTCATGTTCGTTCATTCCTGTCGGAGCAGGGATCTGGGTCCTTCAACATCGTCCAGGCTTTAACTGGCCGGGCACAATTTGCTACCCCGCTGACCAGCGGCCTAAGGGTCTGGACCCTGGATCGCTTGCCATAAGGCCCCAACAGAAGCCCGTCAAATAGCCCCCATCCTGCTTTTGTTAATTTCGAGAGCCTTCCTCATCCATTTCCTATGTTCTTCGCCTTCCTGCATCTCCCTTGCCCTTCTTCAGCCGTCCTTGTGCACTCTGGATCCTGCAGTACTGGTGCCGTATGAGCAGTTGATTGCAGTCCCGCCCTGGCGTTCGCTCTCATCCCCTGGCTCCGAAGCCCTGGAGGCGCGCGCTCTCGGCTGTGTGGTGGGATCAGCCCTGGCGGACGCGGCAGCCATGGGAGTGCACTGGGTGTACGACATGACGGTATTGGACGATCTTGAGCAGGATCGGCGGCAACAGCAGGTAAGTCGTACGATGCGAGTGGCCAAGGACTGGGATGCGCGGAGCGGGGCTACGATGGCCTGTGGATCTCGGGAAAATGCGGGTAACTGTTGCTGACCCGCGCTAAACCGCGGCCACGACACACCCACACCAACACCTCTGCTCTTGCGCCCACTCTTTACACCGGGCTGGCACCCTTTCCATACCCCCGTGCCGCAGCTAACGGCCACGGCCATCACCTTGGATGTCTCTCAGTCCGTCTCGCCCCCGTCATCATCCTCCGCCATTTCAGCCTCCTGCCTTCCGAGCCACCCCTTCACGTTTGGACTGGAATTTATGGATCCGCCCAGAAGCCCCTTTTATTCGTACACCTCCGGCCGTAACTCGCCGTACGGAGAGCAGACGCTAGTGCTGCTGCGCAGCCTGGCGGAGTCAGCCGGCGGAGGCGGCAGTGAAGACGGCAGCCCTCGCGGCAGTGCCGTCGCTGGCCCCGTGGGTTTGCACTGCGGCCAGTACGCGGCGCTGTTCGCTCAGACCTTTGGTCCAGGGAGTGGTTTTGATGGTTACCGGGACGTATCGACCAAGGTACATAGCGGCCTTGGGGGCCGGGCGCACGAGCACGTGTTGGGGTCTCGTGCGGTGTTTCTTTGCAAACGTGTCTTTGAGTGCATTTTCTGCAGCTGTTATAACTGCTGGGCCATGCGTACACTGCAGGCGAGTACCCTCGTTGTGGCATCCTCGTCAGGAGCACGTTCTGCCGGTCCTGCCCTCGCATCGTGTATGCCATCCGCCTGCTGCTACTGTTGGTTCGGCTGCTCTGGCCTCTGAGCTTCCATTCCCTTGGCAGCTATGACTCGTAATCTGATGAATCTGTTGGGCAATCCGATGCAGGGCTTTTTGCGCAATTACAGCCGCGGCCTCCCACCTCCGTTGTCGGGCGCTAACGATGCCCAAGCGAATTGCGTGGCCAGGCTCGCCCCGCTGGTAGCGGCATTTGCGGCCGGCCCCACCGCCGCCTCTTCCTCTCCTTCCTCCTACCCATGCGATGACGCCACCGAGGGCAATGCTGCGGCCGGTAACACTGAATACGGCACTGCCGGCTCCGGAGCTGCTGTCGCTGACGTGGACGGCGGTACGGCCGACCCGCTCCTCCGATGCGTGGAGTTGGCCACCCGTGTAACTCAAAACACGGTGAGGGCGCAGGTCCGGTCTGCAGGGCAGTGCTAGCTTGTGCGGATGGATGCCAGAAATTGGAGGTGACGGGTGTTGGGATAGATCCGTATCCCAACACGGATGGCGGCGGAGCCGTAACCCGGGGAATTTGGAGGGCTTGTGGTAAGCAGCAGCGCTATTTGGATAGCATGTAGATGCCCCCTATGTAATATGTACTTACATACAAGATACAAGTTGTGTGGATGTACATGCGATGCCTCTATCTCTTGAAAGTTGGGTGACAAAATAGCAGTTAACACAAGTGCTGCAAAGATGCATCATTTACGACGAAATGTACCGGAACAGGACGCGGCAGTGGCGTGGGCAACTGCGGGTGCGGCGGTGCTAGAGCAGTTGTTGCTGGGCTCGACAGCGGAGGCAGCTGTGCGGCATGTCATTCATGACTTAAGATCTCCCCAAGGTACGGCATTGGGCGAGGAACGTGGAGGGGCCCCGGGGATTTTTGCATTTATGTTTGCACAGCAGCAGCTGTGCGTCGGCGTTGGGCACACTCCCACTCGTCCCTGGCAGCTAGCATACCGATTGGTCTTGCAACATTCGGATGCGAGGGAAGCACTCAGGAGGCTGTGCGGTCTGCAGTGTTGTATTGCATCATACGGTATTGGTGGTGTGCCCACTGCCGCGAAGTCTGCATGTGGCTTAGCCGCGGCGTGGCTTGTGGCCGTGGCTTGTATGATATCCAGTCGGAGTTGGTTCGTCAACAGATGATTCGGTCGGCGGGTGTTCTGAGCAGAACCAATGAGGATCCGCTGCATGCTTTGCCGACGCTGTCCCCTGGCAGCCGCAGAACCCCTCCGTACGGCCTCCCCCCTACTCTCCCGACCAAACTCCTCTACTCCACAGGCCGCCTGGCGCCGTTCGTGTGGGGAATGGGTTCGGAGATTGCGGGGCACCTCGCTCGCGCCCTGGAGCTGCGGACAGAGCCCGTACCTGTGGCAGTGGCGGCGTTAGGACGCAACTGCCATATGCCGAACGCGCTTCAGACACCGCTGCACGTGGTCCTGCACGTGGAGGAATTGTTCCGGAGGCGGAGCACTGCCGCAGTCGCAGCCACCAGCAGCAACGTTGATGCAACCGCCGCTGTGGTTGGTTTTACAGATGATCGCGGCGTCATTACGAGACCATGTCCTGCTGATGCAACTCGCCTTTCCAGTGGTAGAAGGGATTCCGGGAGAGGGGGCGTCGACGCACGTGTTGCGGCCCTACCGGCGGAGGCGTACATGTGGGGTGTGCGGCTAGCTGTGCGTGAGGGAGGCTGCTGCGCGAGCAGGGCTGCATACGCGGGGGCGTGTTTAGGGGCGATGGTGGCAGGTTTGGGTCCGGAGGGAGCAGTGTCACTGGGCCTGCCGGAGGATTGGCTGGGGCTTTACATAGCATCGCAGCAAGTGCGGACATGGGGGGAGACCTTGGTTAAGGCACGGAGCCAGGTGGGGAAGTGAATAATGGTACACAAACAGGGAGGTAAGGCAGGCACGTATCCATTTGTAGCTGATTGAACACGTCACCAGCCGTTCGAGGGTGTGGTTCAGGCTCTACATGAGCGGCAAATGTTGCATCAGTATCAATGACGGCATGAGAGGTTAACAAGCTGAGTTCTTACAAAATAGGAATAAGTAAAGAAGCACTCATTTATTCTATGTCACGTGTCAGGTTCGGTGCACGAACGTACGAGTCTTTATGGCACCTTATCGGCCGTCCATTCCAACGAAACTGCTAGCATGCATACGTTCTTACTAACCCAAACACACAGCATAGAGAAACCAGTTTCTTGAGCTGATGTGTTACTGAACACATCGCAAACACTGCGCCCACCGACTACGGGCACAACCCTATACGGAAATCATCTGGTCTTCCACAAATCCAGGCAGCATTTCACCCTTGCCTGACCTGAAGACGCGGAAAACAGACGCCCAGTGCTGCAACCTTAGCCGTTGCCCCAAGACAAAACACAGCCAGTGAAAACCACGACGGCGAAAGGCACATACAACCCGAACGCTCTCCTGTATTATCTAGCTGCCAAGATGGAAACGCGGTAAATGAAAAGCAGGAAAGACGTCCTGTGACAGTCATGGTTCGTCTCGTGGAACTGTCCAGAGCCGCGCATGCCACAGACCACAGTCCTTGACGACTTCTATGATGCACTTTGGCGACACGGATGTGACCGCAGCAGCCCTGCGTTGCACTGAGTTCAATCCGACCCTCCCAATTGTGTTATCTACCTTCCCTCGTACGTTGGTCGTGCTGGCAGGGTTACATACCATCTCTGGACAACGAACATGCAGCACAGGAGCCACATGGATGGACCTAGCCAGACCACTCTAAGAGGCAAAACAAGTTGCCTTAAGCCGCCGCCGACCACGTCATCTAGCTTACGATGACGAAATGGCGCAGGACCCCAAACCTGTCAACAATTTGTATGGCGACCGCCATGAGGTTACGCCGCGTGCCTCCCATGCCAATCTGTCTGACCCAATCGCAGCCTTATTTATTTAAACCCGCCATGACTCAGAATAAGCGAGAGACACGCACACCTTCACAGACACAGATAGACGCGCACACCTTCTTAAGTACCAGTACTTCAGGGGCTCACCAGTGCCCATACGCCGGGCTGACGACTTGCTGCCACGCTATGTCCCCACTGCTTGATAGACTGCTCGGTCCGACTAGTGCTCCTTGCAGTTCCCGTTCCGGTCTTCGCCTCAGGGCAATCAGCGACCACCGCAGAACCTGGCATGCCATCTTCCTGCTCAATCTTAAGCTAAGGCTTTCAAAACATTTCCCTCGCCATCAAGGCTGACTAATAACGTGCCCGCTGCCAATTGGGAACCCCGCTTTGTGGCCACGTCACTTCCCCGCTGCGTAACCAATTGGCGCTCAAGAAATGTCCCTGCATCGGCCATGACAGCTGACAGGGGACAGTGCATATGCCCACATAAGCAAACATAGAACCATACATTGCGCTAAAATGAGCAGCCGCACAGCAGCTCACGCACAGCCTTATCGACCCGGGGTTCTCGCAAGAGCCATGCCGAAATTAAGCAGAAATTCCCGTCACTGCTATGCCATAACCATTGGCCCGTTCGCTACACCCTGCTCCGTTATAACGTAAAGACAGTGTTTTAGCAACTGCACTGCCGCTGCTCAGTCGGTGCCACCATCCCGCCGGAGCCTAACCCGGCATCAGGTCCTCAGGTTTGAGTCCGCCGAATTTAGAAGCGCATGTAATGCCCGAGTAGAAAAGCGATGATGGCCGCAAGCAAGATGATTGCAAGTGGCACCTGCGGCTTGGGTGCCGCGGCCGCCTGTTGTGGGGCTGCAGCGCCAGTCTTCAGCGCAGCGCCTTGCAGTTGGAAGCTGTCAAGCTGTCGCCGAAGCTCATCGCGTTCACGCTGCAGCCTTTCAACCTGTCCTTTGAGCTGCTGATTCTCTACTGTTGCAGCATGCAGGTTGTCCAGGGCGTTGCGAACCCGTGGGTCAACGGCGGGCTCAGCTGCAGCGGTTGGGGCCAGCGGCAATACTGGTGCGGCAGGGGGTACAGCTGCACTGCGCACGGCGGTAGCTTCGTCGTCGGCCTCATTCGCCTCCGGGACGGGTGACGGTGGGGCTGCCGGTCCCTCGATGGTGACCCGCAGCCGATACTCCTTGAGGTCTTTGCGTACATCCTTGTTAAACGTGTCTTTTTCAATCTGCTCCGATTCTCCCAGCACGGTGGTTTGAACCATGAACTTATCTTTGCAATTGGCGAACTCGGCCGCGTACTCTTTCTGGGCCTGCGGTCAGCACGCCTCCTCTTTTATCCTTTGCATAAGCTCGTTCCATGTATCTACCTCATGCCATGAACCAAGGCAAATCCGACGCCCCCGAACCGCCATACAGGAACCCCCGTCTACAGTCCTCGTGCCACGAGGCAAGACAGTCAAGAAGGGGCAGGCGCCGGAACGGCCGCTTAATACATCCTTGTGAAATAACAGGACGAAAGGTTGAGTGCATACCTGCATAATGACTTGGATGCTCACGTTGGAGCCAGATTCCACCACTCCCGAGCTGGGCCGCACGACATACTTCTTTGGCGCGGTAGTCTTGATCTTAAATGCAACCCGCTGGCTACTTGGATTGTTAATATTGATGGTTGCTAGAAGCTGCTTGTTGAGTTGAAAGCGGAAGCGCAAGTCGCTGGGACTAACCTCCACATCTGGGCCCGCCATGCTGGAATATAGCTTTTGCTTTGTAACTCTAGCTGCTAATGGAGAGCTGCTAAAATTCGATATGAGGCGACGCTGCTGACACGAAGATCAGTCAAAGCTAACCCAACGCTTTTAAGACGTATCGGTATAAAGTACTAGACCATACTGGTAATGCGAGCTGTGCAGGCCTATGAAGCAAAGCATGCGCTTGGTGCAAGTACAGCATTCTGGGCATATTTGACAGCGGCATTCTTGTACGTCATATCACCATGGGAGTATGGGCATGAAACATACGGTTTTACAACACAAATGAATACATGGTGATGTAAATACTATTTGACAGAGCGTTGCCATTGATCACCTTGTCCCGCCATTTTCATCCCGCTATCCGACACCCTGCTGCCCGAATATGGGTCCTCTTTGGCAACGGTTTCCCGCAGCATTTTACCATAATATGTGGCCTAACGCAATTTCATGTTAAGCGATCCAGACAACGTTTTTTACACCTAGGGCTAATGCATTGCACTTGATGACAACCCAAAGCCACAAAGGATTTGCGTACAGCAAAATGTATCTACTGACAAGAAATTGTTGTATGGCCGGATTGGGGGGCGTTGGTGGTTTGGCGAACTGCAGCAAACACTTCTGAACACCGTCGGAGCGGTTCCTAAGGCGGCCTGTCGTTGCACCGAAGGTATTATGCATCGTAACATGCGTGGCAATAGCGCTAAGAACGGTGGCCAGGCACATACGTCCTGTTACCGCTTTTTGCTGTTCTGCCGTAGTCTGTTGTCTAGTCCTGGCGCGGATGGCGGGTCTAAAAGCCTTACCAGTTGGATCAGCAACGAAGGTTTGTTGAGGCCTGACAATGTTCGGTGCATTGCTGAAAGACGGTTCAGGGTCTAACGCAACCACTGCGAGTAGCTACCACAGCTCACAGCCGAAACCATTGCGGTACACACACCCGCACATATACATATCGCCGCACGGGGCAGCCACACCCGCCGGCAAATAGTATGATCCCCGCTGCACGCTGCCTGCGATCAACAATCTACAAGTCAGAGGTATATGTGACATAGTTACTTGCGGATAAACCATTTGTTAATACCCTCCGGGCAATACAAAGCTGGAGAACAAAGAAGTAAACCTTGTGAAGGGCCGCACTCGGTACGGCAGAGGAGCGACCACACACAAGGACGGAGGCCATCCATACCACCAACGCCACGACCCGCCCTGCCTCAAAAGTGCTGTAGCGCCATTACACCGGCCATGCATCAGATGCTGTAATGCATTGGTCTCACAACAAACGAGTGTGTCCACCCGCGGGACCAAGACTAGATAGTGACATCCCTATCGTGATTGCATATAGCCAGAATAAAATTTTCATAAAGCATAGAATGAAAGCAAAATTCTTTTCAACAAACTTGACCAAGCAGCGTATCAATTTCCTCAACTTCCTCCCGGCTTGCAAGCCTTCCAAAGAACCAACGCAGGTACCGGCATGTAAAGGGGGGGTGGAGCAGCCGCCTCTACCCAGCCCACGAGGCAGATACCACGACCAACCCTACTCCACGACCAACAGATGCCAACCGAAGGAACAAGCGCCGTACCAGCAAGTACCCAGGCCTTGACGACTCGTGTAGCTCTGTATAGCTCTGTTAGGCCCTGTAAGCATGTGACCATGGCGTTTGCTGCTCCTAAGGACAGTACGCGGGGCTCCTTGTGATCTGGCAGATGGTTAGCCCCGTGAACCCTAAGTGCGCATAAGGTTGACTGAAATAGTGCCCCAAGTTGCTCGGTGGGCTCCAGGAGCTGCACTGTATGGGTAGGTGTCGCCCTACGCATTACACCTCATGCTTGGCCTGGTGGTGTGGTAGTTGGGATGTGTACAGAATCACAGTACACCTCTCTAGTACAGTAGAGCTTAAGGCGTATATTCAGCCAAATTTCCACATTTGTATTGTATTTCATAACCTTATTAGATTTCAAGTACAGATTTGTCGAGGAATCCTGCTTTTTCCGAGAATGTGTACCTGTGTACGTCCCCTCGTGCACAGGTGGTATTGTTAGGAGAGAGAGCGCCTGCAAATGTTCCATGCTGCAGTACTATGGTACTGCAATTTGAAGGTCAAAAAATCATCGACCCGCCATCTTGAGGATATCCTCTCTGCACCCGCGATGTGGTGGCAACACCACAACCAGTGCCGCCGCTATGAACAAGCAGGGCAATATCCGTATACACGATTTAAGGGGACACTGTTCAACCTTGCCTGCTCAGACAACCCGCAAGCTGTAGACCAAGAGGTGGAATGCCTTGGCCACAGCCACATCCGGACACCCTGCAGCTGCACTTTGCAGGAGCACACACAATCTGTACTGCTCTCGGTCAGGACGCCATACTCCATATGCACAGCAGCCAGAGGCGGGCATGAGGAGGCGGGCATGGGCCCGCCTCCCACTTCCTTGCCCCCCTCTGAACACAGCCACCAGTCATCTCCCCACCCAGTTTGAACTCTTACTCCCGGACATCAGTCTTACAGCATAGGCTACACCCTCCCAACAAAACACTTTCTCTTCTCACGAGCTCAAGTCACCACAAGCATTTTCGTCTCCAACAGAGGAAGTAGCTCTCCAGCTGTCAGGCCCCCTGGACAGGTCACCTTCCCCTCTTCCTTCAACGTCGCCTAAGCCCCACCCCCACTCCTGCCGCCCACATTCCTTCCCAATCAACAAGTATCCGTCTATCTCCGATATCTGCTTCAATCGTCCGTGGTTTCGTCTTATCCCCCACCCAACAGCACTTCTGCCAGTCGTCCTCTCCATCACACTCTATGCCTACTACCCTTCCCCTTCCTTGCCCCCCGCAACGGACATCACGCCTCATCCCCCTTCTCCCAGTCCTCCTGCCGCCAGCGACGCCGCCAGCAGCGGCTCCAGCGCCCCCGCCAGCTGTGTGAGCTCCGCCAGCACCCCCAACTCCTCTGCCAGGCGGTCCCTCAGCGCCCCCAGCAGCCGATCCACCGCAGGGGCCACTCCCACCACCTCCGCATACGTGTCCAGCAGCCGATGACCCACATTGGACAACAACCGAGTATACCTGGGAGGAGGCAGATGGAAAATATGAACGACATGTGTATGGGGTTATGGAGTTATGGACATGGAAAAGAATTCCTGTTATGTATGGAGTTATGGAGTTATGGACATGGAAAAGAATTCCTGTGAAGCAGTGCAAGTCATGCCGGAAGCTTCATGACTCAGCCAGGTTCAAACGGATCAGGCCCAGACACGGGTGCTGGGAAGGAAAGGGTCTGGGCAAGAGAAAGGAAGGAAGAGGGTGGGGAGTGGCTTGGAAATGCATCAACGGGTCAGCTACATGCTCTTATAGGCCGGAATCCCCGTCGTGCCAGAGGCTGCAGGAGGCGGGTTGCAGGGGTTAGTTAAAAAACAGCCATGGGAACTGGTATCAGGGGCCGCCAGGGTGCAGAGGCGGGTAAGGATGAGGACAGGACAGGCAGGAGCGTAGTCCACGCACAAGCTCCAAAAACATCATCCACACACAAGGCATAAGAACACACCCGTATACATACAACCCTAAGCTGTTCCCTTCCAACACGCTCTTCACTTCACATGCACGTTACTCTCGGTATTGCCTTCTGACTCTGACTTGTGCTCAAGGCCTCCGTCCAACACGTATACATACCGCTTATCTACATATCGCACGACCAAGATATAAAGATAACATAAAAACAGGAAAGCTCTCCTCATATCTTCTCTTCGTGACTCAGTTGTTACTAAGGAAACAAGCAGCAACCTCCCGCACCTGGGCTCCGCCATGTACTTGACCAGGTGTCGCAGTACGGGTCGCAGTCCCTCCGCATCCCGGCCTCCAAGGGCTGCCCCCAGTCCCCCTCGAGCAGCGAGCTCCTCGAGCAACGAGGCAACCACCTCGGGCTGTCGCGTGGATAGGGCGGAGTCCAGGGCGTCACGGTACCTGAAGGAAAGGGCGCCGTACAAAACAAGATTCAAACGATATGCAACCAACTTGCCAACAAATCCCAACTGCCGGTGTCCAAACAACTTAGGTAGGCCTGCTTGGGTGTACATGGGTGAGATGGCGGAAGGAAAGACGCGTGAGGCGATGGACGGCAGCTGGGAACAAGAGAAGGAAGCACCGACTCAGGAAACACACAACCGCGTTTGGCCGGGTGGGGTCCAGGAGCGCAGGAGGGCAATGAAGGCAGATGGTTGAGGAAACCGCCACGTGGACGGCAATGGAACCCGGACGTGGCCGAGTAGTTAGGCCACAATGATTATGGGCATGGTTGGAACCAAGACACACACACTCCAGAAAGTTCGGATCTTCAAAAACCGGGTGGGGGGATAGGAGGGCTACAAGGGGAAGTAGGTGTGTAAGGCTGGAGTAAGGGGAGGCCGGCAGACTTAAGACCCCTTAAGAAACCCTCCCCTCACAGAGGACTCCTCCCGCCTCCGACGAATCCCGCCAGCAGCACCCGTACATCACCTGAACTGCCGTAGCATCTTGTCGTACGGCTGCAGCCTTGCCTGCCGCTGCTTTCGTACCCTGAAGTCTGTTGCTGCTGCCCGGCTATTTTGCCCGCGGATGAAGTAGCGGTAGTTGGCGGCAGTAAGTCTTGGCCGGTACCTACAAAATGGTGGACGGTTGAGGCGTGTGGTGTATGTCGTGTGTTGTGAAACAAACTAGGTCGCCTACACAAAGGCAGGGGCATAGCAAGGGCCGCAGAACAAGGGGTAGATAGACACCAAAGGTTGGAAAAACAGGTTGAAAACTCTGCATTACATCATAACGGACATACATACATATTAAGGGTTTGGCACCACTGGTAAGGCGCGACCATTGCCCCCGGGAGATCCCGGGATCGATACCCGTTAGGGTCAAAAATCCTTCCGATGGTGGAAGGCATTGCGCCCCTAGTTGATGGACGGTGGTGACCTGGGATAAAGTTAACCTGCGAGCCGACCAGGAATGGAGTTGCGCCGCTGTCGACCCGGCAGATTCCGTTGGATGCTGGTGGTGGGTGCGGAACCTGAGCGATCCACTGAGAAGTTGACTAGGGTGACTGGATGAGGGTGCCCCGAAATACCGGGGAAGGCAGGGTTTCGCAGGGTAGCTGCCACGGGCGAAGATACACCCCCCTGTTTCACACATCATACATACACACTGTCATGCCACGTACTTCGGCTGGGTTGGTTGCCGTTCTTGTGCCACCGGCGCTGCCGTCCTGGGTCTTGCGTGCCTCCTGACTGACAAGGTGCCATCCGCGAGCCCCACTGCCAGCAGGCGGCAGTCGGGAGACAAACCCATGCTGAGCACCGGGGCGGGGTACTTGGTCGCGTGGGTCACCCGGAAAGAGTCCAACTCAAAGATCTGCCGATGGAAGGGGTTGAGGACAATGGGTTGAGGAGGACGGAAGGCTCAGGGGAGGACGTGGGGGGGGGGAAAGACGAACCACAAACGAGTGAAGCTGCTGCCAGGGCAAGAGTGTACGTGGGGGGGGGGGGAGGGCGTGAGGTGGAAGAAGGCGATTGGAAGAGGACGGAAAGGGGGCGAGAGTTAGGGAGGCGGGAAGGCGGGCCGGGAGGGACGTTACGGGGTTTGGCCTTCGAGTGGGAGGTTGGGCAGGGGGGTCTCGGGTGACGCAAAGGTGTGTCCCACTTTCGCTTTTGCAGCAGCGACACCGCGCATCCTAGCCCTCCGCCCGTATCCCCGATAACTCCGACATTATTTGCTTGACCTCTCCTTCGGCCCTAATTTTCCATTCCCCGGCCGAGCCAACATCTCCCCTTCATTCCCCCCTTCCCACCACGCCTTGCTTCTGGCACGACTTGTGCGTTACTTCCATCCTGGCGCCGACACACCAAAACGCGCGACTGACCAGTCCACCATCCACTTTCATTTTCCTTGCCCCGTCTTCCCGTGCCCGCCCGCCACCGCCTGCGGCCGGGCCGGGCTCCTCCACCACCTCACCTTCACATGACCGTCCAGTGATCCCGCCAACATCCTGGGCGCTGCCGCCGAGTCGGGTCCCGCCAACGGTGACAGTCGCACACACGTGACTGTCTTTTGGAAGTTTTCTAGTCGCTTGATCAGTCGGCCCCCGCCCAGCAGGTCCCACACACACAGATAGTTGCCACCCGCAGTGACAGCGAGAGAACCTGTTTGCCCGCAGGGGGGGAAAGGGAGGGGAGATTGGTGGAACGGGGAATTGGACGGATGTGAATGAGGCTGAGATTTGAATTGAAGGGGAAAAGGAAGAATATGCAAAGGTGAAAAACCGCCGGGTCACGGCGATCTAGTAAAAACGCGGATCGCGCAGCGGCTGCACGCGAGGGAACGGGCTAGTGATGACAAGTGCGCATTGCATTACTTCAACCAAACGAACCTGGCGGTATGCTGGCGGAGGTTCGGAAGGCAAGATGCAACGCCACTCCGTCCCCCCCTCCCCACGCACCCACTTACATACATACTAACACACATGAGCACATACATACATACAAGCATACCCGAGGGAAAGAACGCCACATCCTCCACCGGCGCCCCATGATCCAGTCCCAGTACGGCAGTGTTGCCTGTCCGTATATCCCACAGCTTGACGCAGTGGTCGTACCCTCCCGTGGCCCACATGTCGGGTGATGTGGGGCTGGCTGCTGCTGCCCTCACGTAGTCGCGGTGGCCATCCAACCGAAGGACCTGAGAACCTGAGGTCAGGTCCCACCACCTAGGGAGTGGGAAGAGTGGGAAGGAAGAGCGGGAAGGGTATGGTAGGGAAAGGAAGAGATGGGAGAGGTGGAAATTAAGTTGGTGGGAGGAGCCGCTCGCAGTCCATCAGAATTGCCAAAGTGGTTGTTTATTGCGGTTGGCAGCCAAAGCTCCTACCCCCCCTACCCAAACTCTTAACACACACGCGCAGTGCGCACCTGGCCGTCACGTCATCGCTACCGGACAGTATGTGCAGCTTGTCCGCCCCGAACCTCGCCACCCGCGTGGGTCGCTTGTGCGCTTTGAACTGCCGCAGCACGGACCGGCTGTTGGCGTCGAACACCTGGGGGGGGGGGGGATCCCAGGGGGGGGATCCCAGGGGGGAAGGCCAGGGCGGGGGGGTGAGGAAATCATGTGCAAGGAAATCAGAAGTGAGCTGCCCGCGTCCCAAGCGGGATGGGGAGAAAGTCGAGGAGAGGGGGTCAGGATACCTCAGGGAACAGGGCTCTATGAAAACACGCATCGAAGCTCCTGCAGTACTCTTCATGCGAGTGATTCCCGGCGACGATATTAAACATGTCCCGAATGTCCGTCCGGATCGTCCGAAACATGATCCTCTCCTAGACATGGAAAACAGTCCGTGGAGTGGCGAGTGCAGGGGTTTGCCTAGCCGTCAGGAAAGAAGACCCCGCACGGGTCGGTTCTTCCCAAGGGTGAAGGCAATGGAAATACTTCAGCTGCACAGCGCAGATATGTCCAAAATTCCCCCAGGAAGGTGGGGAAGGCACGTCCCGCTGTGGCGTCTTGTACGACGTGTGGGTTTCGAGGCGGCGTGAGCCCGGCTCTTTTCCCACACCTCTTCCGGCGCCCCCCCCCCCACCACGGACCCCCAGAGGCCTGCCCACCTGCACGATGCCATCCTGGCCCCCCGCCACCACGAGACGACCGTCCGATCTGAAGCAGCCTGAATAGGCAATGTCCTTGAAGCGGCTGATGGTCCGCCCGATCACGGCGGGTGCTAGTCCGTTGTAGAGAATGACCTATTGGGTTGGGAAGGGAGGAGGAGGAGTACGCAGAGGACCGCCGGTGTGGGCGGGACTTTATATTAACTTTTAAAAGTGAAAAAAACAGCAGAAGCCGATGTTCAAAGGGGCAGCTGCTGAAGGGGAGGAGGAAAGGGGGGTTACCAGGAGGAGTCCCAAGCTGGACAGAAGAACAGACACGGAAACATGTGCGGTGGTGGGAGAGTCTTTGGCGGGGTGCGGGATGAATGGGGGAGAGGGGGGCGGGAGGTAGAGGAGCGCGCTGTCTGCTTTCTGGGCGATGGAAGCGGATCCGGTACGGGCAGCTGCAGCCGCAGCTACAGCCCTGGAGACGGCAATTGATGTGCGATTCCCGTGCTCGCAGGCCACAGCCTTCAAGATCTGCTGGGCTTCTGCCCAACCGTTACTACTGCTGCTTCTCCTGCGCGTGCTACTTCATGCGCTGTAACAGCAACTCCTACACCGACTTTTTAAATACCCCCAAGGTTACGCTTCTCCCACCGGATTGCAAGTTCTGAGCTGCCTTTCCTTATACACAATTTCCTTTCCTTATATTTTCCAGTATACACATCAGAACCATTTTTTTGTGTGTGACCCAGATCACGGTATGGGTCCTCCGCCGGTGGGAGAGGAGTGCACCCTCGAGGCCAGGTGCGCATTTCATGTGCACCAAGGAGTGTTCTGACACCAGCGTATCCGGCGCAAGTGGTGATATGCCATAAAGAGTTCCTTCACTTAGCCCCGGCGGGGCAAGGCTCAGCCAGGCAAGCACTTACTCGTGTTGATGCGGTCACGGCTAGGTTGAATGGGTACTGTTGACAAAAGTCGATATGGCTGACTGCGCCAAACTGTGTAAGGAAATTGAAGATCGAGGGGTGACATTTGCAGGCAAGGTAAGGGTATGGGTATGGGTTGGCGACATGGCATTAGCGAGGGGAAGTGACGCATTTGGCACCGGAAGACAAACATCGCTCATGGTGCTGGGCAAGGATGGAACCACCATGCATACCTGTTTCGCAATTATGGGGGATTTAAATCGTCGCCAGTACTTGCCCTCCGCTGTCTCGCGGATGCTCCGTGGTGCATAAGTTCGAATTTGGAGCTTTTGGTACTCTGCCGGCTCATACTCCATTTTAAGATAGCAAGGTTTAAAAGCTTAGCTCTTACGGCGCAACAATAGCGGGCCGACCGCCGCCGACCTAGCGCACTGCAGGCGGCCGGGGCTCTAGCATTGGAAACAAAAATTTATCACAAGAGGAACAGGTCGCAGATTTAAATTAAATTGCGCGGACGCATGTAAATGTCCTTGGAAATGCGTAAGAATCTAAACCCTTTGTCCTTCGAAAAAATACTTGGGGATAGTTAACAAGTAAACCTAAGGGCGAACTTCTGTAAGTGATACCCGTCACCTTTGGTGGAATGAAGACGTTTGTTCGCCATAATCTGTTCGCTTCCTAACCACCTTGGCGGTTGTCGAGCACTGGGAAACCACTACCGGACTGTTATCAGAAACGGTCAGGACCACGCGCTGAAGTGGCGGATCGTATTCGTGATGATGTACTTATTATTCCATATTCACATTATAGAATTCTTGTACATCACATACGACGATTATACAAAGCCACCGCTTTACCGGATTGACTCTCGCGGCTCAGGGCAGGCCCAAAATGACACCGGCTTCGCAAGGAAAGAGATAATACTTTGTTTGCAACCTGTATTCCGTTCCCTTTTGCCTTGAACCTTGCGTAACCTTGTAGGAATCCAGCAAGCGTCAGCGCGGAATCCCTCAATAAGTTGCTCTCCTTGACTTCTTGCTCTCATCCTCCCAGCAGGGACGTACCCATGCTTAGCGTAAAGTTACTATCGCCCGTGCAGTACACCAAGTTTCGGCGTGGCCGTCACAATGGCTGCCGACGACACCATCGCTGCTGCAACAAGACCGCAAGCCTACTTACGTGCCACTCGGCCGCAAGCCACGCAACGATCAACTGGCCGCACCAACCAATCACCGTAAAAAAGGCCATTATGGATCATATCAATGAATCCTAGGTTAATAATGGACCCCGAGGAAAAAATCGCTGGCAGACCGCATTCGACACCGACAGAGCTCAGGCCCAACTTACTGCACCTTATTGCACCTCAACTTATACTCACACGGCATACACTAAAGCCAGCCCAGTGGGGAATGATCCCCACCGCCAACCTTTTCAAAACCACACCGCAAGCACGTGTTCCCAAGCTGGATGCAGGGACAAGATGAACAACTTCCAGTGCCATACTGTCGTACAGCTGCAGAATCCACATCAGCGGGATATGGACTCCTTCCTGGGGCCCCTCTCCAGGTGCCGCCTCTAGGCTCCTGAAGGGCGGCCCAAGCGACCTGCGGCTTCATCCTGATCCCGCCTTCAGTATCGCAGAATGACGTAGAAGGCGTGGATGATCCCTGCTGGCAAGGAGCGGCAAGGAACGCGAACGCAACTAACCATAACCACAACTGTAATCAACCATAACTTACCACAACAGGGCATAATCGCATCCGCATCTGCAGCTGAAGCACCCAAAAAAGTGCCCCTCCTCCTTTTCTTGAGCCTGACCCCGTGTTCGCCCCACTGCCCTGACAGTGCCTTTCCTTTCCATCTAACAACCCGTACACGATTCAGCACCTATAATCTACGCTCACCCGGGACGTAGCCTATCAGCGTCAATAACACGTTGATCCAAAAGGTCCGATTGAGGTGCTCAGTCTCCGTCAGCACCCCCAGAGGCGGCAGGATGATGGCCAGGATGAACTTGCCTATGTCTGGGGGCGTGTGGGTTGCGGATGGGGTGCAAAGGTGTTGGTGGACAAACGACAGCTTCTGGATGGCACAAGGACCGCGTTGGAAAGGGGGAGGGGGCCCGCTGGGCGGTAGGGTGTAGAGATCCCCCTTCATGCAGGCTGGGCAGAGTGTGTGGCAGAAAAGGACGCCAGCTAGAACCCCGCTGGGTGCCTAGGTCCTCAACCATATTCGCTTCCATCCAATTTTCCGTACATCCATTTTTGAAAGGATGGGATGGGTGGGAATGGCTGGAGCCACAGTTAGAGCGGATTTCGGTTGCGAGCAAGAGGTGAGATGACTGGCTGAGACATGGCACGGCTGTGAGCCCAGAAAAGGGTTTTCGATTGGCCGCGGCGGCCGACTCACCTCCCCACGTCAGTGCCATGGTGGCTTATTTAGGAGCCGGTTTCTACCTCGGTTTTCCTGTTTGGGGGTACGCGGCTAGGCTGGGCGTCGAGGACTTTAGACCTTTGGGGCTCTCCTTGGGTTCTGGGGCTCGCTGTAATACCTACTACTGCTACTACGTTGACAGTCAAACAGTGCCAGGGAAGACGGATTTCCACGCCCTGCAGTCGTGTGAAGCTAGGCTGCATATAACAGAGGACTCTCTGACCAGGAAAGGAATTACTTAGTAGCTCTGCAACAAAGCTGTGGATAGCTGAATCGGTGCTCAATGGCAGGGAAGCCTGCTATTCGCCCACGAAGACGTGGGATCTGCATACGAGACCCAAGTCTGACGACGCCGGATGACCCACGGGTCGTTTGCAGCAGCTTCCAGGGCTTATGTACTTACGATCCTAACAATTCGCAACCTTAGGCTTTGTGATTCCCCAGCTGTGACCGTATGGCAGCCATACATAGTGTGCACGAGCCGCTAAGATACCACGACGGCGTCGTCTTTCAACGCCTGTCCAACAGGAGCTGCTTGCCATCTTCCGATTGGGTTCCACAGGATGCGGGAGATGATGTGAATGTGTGAAGGAGAGGGGTATCGATTCACCCGTGGACGCTAGCCAGGCAATCCTTAGCTTGCCCCATGTGACTCGGGAGGCCCTTTATCGAGGAAGCCGACACCCGACTTGTCCTTTTCATGCTGATTTCCCATCCTTATTTCTGCACAGGGGAAACTCTTGGTCGGCTTGGAGATCACTGTAACCGTGTCTATCACCACCGGTCTCCATGAACGCACCCTCTAACGGTCAAGGTGTAGTAATGCCGCCCTTAGTCCGGATCGATTTTGGAACACTCCAGGACACTGTGCCGCGCGCCTCAGCATGTCTGCTCTGTCTGTCGAAACAAGTATAAATGCATGACGTTGCTTCACAAAAGAAACGCAGGTGCAGGAGAGAATTCCCGGTGTGAGGCGGGGTTCGTTGTGTTTAGAGTTGATCATTTGAAGATTATTGTTTACACAGTGCGGGCCCTTTGTGTGCAGACAGACCAGTTCACGTCCAGAACGGACAGACGCTCCCCAGAACGGCTGAAGGCAAGGGGCAAATGTCACAACCTCCATGGCATGTTCCTAACAACGAACTCCAATATACGGGCAAGGTGCTAGTGATACCAACACAGGGCTCCTTACGAATTCCACCTCGTCCATTCAACCCCAAACACACCTAACGGGAGAGAGGCTCCAACAACCGTTGCCATGCAAAGCAGCGTGCGAGCCCCGGGTCCATTCTCGGAGTCTACTACAACTACTACACATTAGCTTAAGAAGCATATGCAACTGGGGGCTACATGAGGAACTAAGTAAACGACCTCACCTGACTTGTGATTCGCGCTTCCGTACAATCTGTACAGCAGGATTTTCCTATACCGGTGCGATCTGATACTCCAAACATACGGCGATACACACGCACACATCCACTTCGCGGGTGCTGTGACAACAGCAACTGTCGCCCCCCATGTTAGTGCTCTTTAATTAATTGCCAGGATTTGTATGGCGGTGTGTCCGAGCACATACGAGAAAACTCCGGACAACATCGCTGGGACACAACACATCCCACAGCCGATGTTAAAGCACAACCGAGCAGCACAATTATGCCGGGTGGAAACAGCGACTAATTAGCACAACGACTCAGCTCAAAGGGCCTGAAGCAGCCGCAGCCAGCGCAACGCGTCCTAAAAAACGGCACGACACGCCCCGCCACACGGCCATTCCTGCTGAACATTCCATACCGATCTCACACGTAACATCGTACATGCATGTACGGCGGTATGGACATTCGCTTTAATCTGCAGCGCTGTGTGTGATCCGCGCGTGCTTAAAAATGGCTTGCGCGTCTCCGTCAGCGCTGGCGTGCAGAATGATAGAAGAACAAACGACATCACGAATGCCCTCCGATGAAGCCAACAAAGCCAACACAAGATCGATGGAGCTTGCATGGCTACTGCAAGCCTGTCTAGTACCCGGTGGCTTATTCTTTTATCATTGTTATTAGCAACCGCGACATTAATCCCAACCGCTAAGAACTCGGAGCGTGTCTTCCATAGGCTCCTATGCTCTTGTGCATAAGACATAAAGTTGGATTGGAACTATGACTTTGGGACTAAAACTAAAGTGCATGACCAAAACGACCAAAACGGTGTGAAACATACGAATACCCCGTTCATTCGAGCGAAAATCAATCATTGGCGCGAGTTTGGGCATTACGTTCGAGCCCATCCACGTGATGTGACATGAAAACAAGCCTACTCTAATGTGAATCAAACATGAAACGCGGGCAAAGCTAACTTGTGAACACGGTCAAAGCTAACTTTTGGCAGGTGAAATGGAAGACACGACTGCAAACCAGTGATGTGGACATCAGAACAGTAAATGGACAAGTTGTGACAAGTGACAAGTTGTGACAAGTGACAAATTGTGAAAAAATGAGGATGCGCCTAGCTACTCATGATGATGCAGTATGCGACCACGACAGATATGCGCAGCCCTGAAGCGCGCTGCACCACCTGTGACCCATGGGTCATCTCATGCTACTGAATTGCTCGCAAGTGCCGGACTGGCCATACAGATGGATGACGCAATGCATGGCGTGTGAGTACGATCAATGCGTCCTCCTTTCACGGTCCTCTATCTCCCTCACATTTACGGTGCATTTGAAGGGTGGGTGCGATTTGGGGTCTGAATATCATACTTGGCGCGCGGAGATAACGCGTCAGCGACCGCATCGGTGCTCTTCCTGCTCTCGCACCGCCAAGTCACCACGCTAGTGTGTTCCAATATCATCAGCTATCTTGCTCCAGGACATCCGATAGTGCTTCTGTGACAGATGGGTGAAGGGTGAAGGGTGATGAATGGGATCAAAAAATTAAAGAGATGCGGCTATTTTATAAGCACATATAAAAAATGTAGGAGGCTGTGGTGCGGGCGACGGGTTGAAGACATACGCGCAGGTTCAAGTGACCCTAACGGCAATTAAACCCCAAAACCTAAAATCCAAGTTCAACCAGGGCCAACCAAGGAAAATAACCACAACCTCAATCCGGCCGAAAACTGATGGGCTCTGGAGCTGAAGGTGGAGCCGTATTCCTACCCCTTTGAAAATGTACTACACTACCTAAGTCCCGCTGATATGTATGCGTGAGGATGCCATACCAACTCACGCGGCTGCGAAGAAGGTGGCGGTGGGGCTCTCAATGCTGATTCGGCCCGTCGAGCCCCAAACCGCAATGAGGTCAACAGGCGCACCACAACACCCTCCAGCAGGAGCAGCAACCACACGAAGGCCGCGTCCATGGCCAGCGCAGCACCCCAGCCCTTGTGCCGTGCGAACAGGTACAGCGCGTGGGCGATGCCTGCAGGAGCGAGGGAATGCACAGGGCTCGACATCGGTTCCGTCGGCGCCAGCACACCCGGGGAGGAGGTCCAGATGAGTTGGCAGTGAGGAGGGTGACAGAGCGGCGAAGTACGCAGCTGCGAGTGGCGCGGTAAGGGGAGGTCCTCAGGGGGGTTAATCGGAGGGGATCACCATGTACACCATCGCCCGACAGATCGACAGACCGACGGACCGACAGGCAGAGAGACAGACAGATAGACAGGCAGATAGACAGGCAGGTAGATAGGCAGATAGACAGACAGACAGACAGGGGTATGCGCACCTGGCATGAAGCCGAAGAGTGTGAGGAAGAGGTTGAGGCAGAGGTCCACGTCGGTGAAGTCCGCCGCTGCAGGGCCCACGTAGATGTGCTTGATGGCGTAGCTGAGGAGGCCAGGCGGTGCATACATGGTGGCAAATATGGGGCAGGAAGGAGAGGGGCAGTGGAAGAGAGTGGGAAGTGGCGAGAGGGAACACGGAGGGGGGACAGGGGTAGGTGAGCTGGCAGCGGGAAGCAACAGCAGGCGACTCTGAAAGGGCGTAGCCGCAATAGCAGTAGCAGCAGTAGCAGCAGTAGCAGCAGTAGCAGCAGTAACAGCAGTAGCAGCAGCAAATACCATTAAAAATTTGAAGGTTGGTGGCACCTGGCATGCAGCGGACGGGGGACAGCGGGCATCAAGGCAGGGTCAAATAGGCCATCACCATACTCGTCAGTTATCATCATCAGCATCAGCTTATCAGCAGCAACACGAGTTGTACTTGCGGCAGGAGCCCAAGACCAGGGTACGGCGTACCAAGAGCCAATGCTGCTAGGTAACATCTGGGCCCAGGGTTAAGGTCGACGACACCCGCAAACCCAAAAGGCAGCTCATGCAACTGCAGGCTCTGGCAGGACGGGCCTGCAGCAGTGCGTGAGGGACACTCGCTCGCTCGATTTGCTCCCTCCCTTTCAGTGCTGTTCGAGACATAGGGGACTCGATTCTGTCAAGGCACAGTCCCGGCGCGCAGCGTCTAGGGCATCATGGCAGCGTCCGCTTGGCAACAGCAGCAGCAGCTGCTTCTGAATGTAGCTGAAATGAAGCGGTCTTTGGAGAGCCGCTAGTACTTTTTGGGTCTTGTTGAAACTGTGCTGGGAATGGGACGCGACACGCTAGAGTGCGTTTCCCTCTCCAGGTTTACTGACCCACATCGTGCACGTTTGCGCGGGTAGGCATATTGGTCATCGCGGAGGATTCTTTCAATAGTAGGACATCGTATCCAAGAAACTCCGAGGGCGAGGAATATGGACCCCGTACCTGCCGGCGGGCGGCATTATGAAGCACAGCAGCAGTATCTGTAAGTCTATGTGCCACATATGAATTGTTACGACAATTTTCGTGGGATTAGCCTGGGCTGGCCTGCTATTCCCTTACGGCGGTTGATTCGCTACGGATTAGGAGGTCTTTGGAGCAGTTTGGAGCTTCCCTCAAATTTCTCTACCTTGAGTGGTGCAGTGAACTAGTCGAAGGATAAGTCCCTTAAGTTTGTTGTTGTCGATGTGAGGGTATATTTGTTGGGTTCTGTGCCGTGCTGTGAGAGCTGCCTCGGATTGTAGCAGCCAGGCCAGAGAGCTCCGGAGGCAGCTAGGAGGCGGCCTACATACCGTCCTTGTGAGGAAAGCACTCTGCGTGCTACAAAGGCAGCCATGTTTCGTAACCTGTAATTTGCAGTCGGATACCGGGGTTTGCAGTGATGGGCATCGGGCCATCGGCCATGCAGTCGGCCAGGCACGATTGAAGTCGTCCTTGGTTGCGGCGACCAAGGACTCGAACAGATCAGATTGGCCAGTCTGACAGTAGGCAGGAACTTTGTCATGGGCAAGCATAATACGTAACCTAGTCGACGAAAGCCTAGACACTAAGGGTTCAGCACTGGTCTTTGTCTCGAGCGTGCGATGCGTGCTGTGAACTGAACCAAAATACGGAATGGATTTTTTTGCCCCAAAAAATCTTACCAATATTTATCTAAGGTACATGACTTTCATTTCCATTTGCCTCTATTACGTGTGGCTGTATGTTATGTGTTGCCGGCCGCGGCAAAAGCATGGCAGAAGCTTCTGCTGAGTGTCCTTTTAAAGTTAAGCCTTCACTAAATCATTAACGTGATCTTATTACTATTTAGGCTGATTTTAAAATGGACTTCAGCTTTGTCGATAGCGAGCCTGCTGGGTGAGCTTCCTGGGTGAAATTTAAGTAATGCCTATGCTTATCTACAACATTAAAACAAAATCATTCGAACCTGCCTCAGCCGTCCGACAGGCCAGCAACTGCCCGCGCAAGGTCAGCCCGCCAGGCCCCTCCTCCAACTGCCCACGTGGCAGCAAGTCCAAGCCGCAAATCAAGCCAGCGCCCCCACCATCCTCTTCCGGCCTACGGGGCTACTTTCAGCCGCCAGACAGCAGCAACAGCAGCAGCAGCCACACGCGCCATCGGAAAATTCCGGTAAGCGCAGCCACGTTGCCGCGAATCATGCAACATGTGTACTGGGGAATGAATCGGCTGTGGACTCGGCTGATTTCCAGCTGGCTAGCGGGTCACCCGAAGTCGCAGAGAAGGAAGGAACCCGGCATCCGTGGTTAGGGTTTTGGGGTGGGGGGAAACTGCGGGTATGTGGTCCTGCGCCGCGTCGTGCTCCGAACCCGCAGCTAGATGCAGTATTGAAATCGACGCAACCAATGCCACAGGCCGACACTTCAGTGACCCTGCAGTCAGCAGCAACCCCGTACGGCCGTACCAACGTATGAACGTACAGAGCGTATGCCAGCTTGCCGCCAGGCCACCGGGATAGTGGGCAGGGCCCTTGCTCCCTCCCTGCCTCCCTCCCTGCCTGTTCAACTGCTCCCTGAGATCAACCCCTCAGAACGCCCCCTTGCATTGCCGCCGGGTCGCCACACCACCCTTCGTTTGATGGTTCGTCAACCCCCACCCACCCAATACGGGATGTCGGCGATGGCAACGGCACTGGCGCCACCGGTACAGGGGCCCCTCCACAGCCTGCGGGAACCGCCGCCGGCCCTAGCCATGGACCTGGACCTCCGTCTTCCTCCTCTACCTTCCCTGGCGCACCGTGGGGCCAAGGGGCACCTCCTCCCGGGTACGGCACGGTGCGGTACGGTACGGCACAGTTGGGAAAACTGTTGCGCTGGCAGGTTTGGGTGGTCGGGTCGAGTGCGGTTGTAGCGTGTCCTGTGAACCACTCCGCAGCAATAGCGGTCTGTGTCCTCTTATCCTTCCGCCCACTGCCATCTGACCATCTCAATTGTCTCTCGCGCCATCCCAAAACTCCCAGCTCCCGTTGTTGCTACTGCTGCTGCTGCTGCGGCTGCTGTGTGTGCGTGTGTGTGGGAGGGCACAAGGGCTGCGTGCCAACAACCGAGTGATGTTATTCGCGCTTCAGTTCCCTCCCCGCTGCTGATCCGAATGCCCCTGCAGGGCGGGTGCTCACCAAGGGGGTGGTCCACCCTGGACTACCGGGGGGCCAGGGCCAGGGCCAGGTGGAGCACAGGGCCAGGGCTGGGGTGGCGGATCTGGAGGGGTGTATGGCGGGTTCAGCGGTGCTACTGGCGGCGGTGGAGCGGGTCCTAGCGGTAACGGCAGCAGTGGTGGCGGCAGCGGCGGCCCGCCACCGGTGCAGTGCCACCCACCGGCTCCCAGACCGGCGGGTGGGTACGTGGTGCAGCAGGTGGGGCCGCGTCTGCCCGTCCGTGTGTTGGGTGAAGTGAGCTTCGTTGCGGTCCATGACACCGCGAGTGTGTGGGGCGGAGGTAAGGGTTGACGTTGGGGGAGAGAGGGGATATGTGGGATTGGGGAGGAAGGGGAGGAAAGAGAAAGCTGCGCTTGGTCGCAGTACCACCTGTTGGCCGCCCCCACTTGATTCGTGCGGTTACGACCCCTTTTCCCCTCCTGCCCATTGCTGCCTGCGCTGGTTGTGGTGGTGGTGTGTGTGGGGGGGTTAAACCCACAGCATTCCATGCGCGATCACACGGCCCTGGGGATTCCTTACACCCCCCACCTTCACAGACGTTCTTCTATATTGGTGAAACCAGCCCTACGTGCAAAGTGCAATGCAGCTGGTTTTGTAATCACTTACGTATGTATGTATGTATGTATGTATGTATGTATGTATGTATGTATGTATGTATGTATGTATGTCCGTTCTTCTTTCCATCGTCGCCCTCCGCGCCCTCTTTGTCTTCTTCCCCCTCGATCAGCCGCCAGCGGGCCCTGCCCGACCCCCCAACGTGGTGCTGGTCAATCGGCGGCAGCAAGGCAACCCCGTCCTCAAACACATCCGCAACGTGCGCTGGCAGTTCGCCGACATCGTACCGGACTACCAACTAGGGCAAAACACGGCGGCCCTGTTCCTCAGCCTTAGGTGGGGCGAGGAGGGGCGAATAGGGGTGGGCTGGGAAGTGTTGGTACCCGTAAGGACCTGGTAAGTGTGAGGGCAGAAATAGGAAAAAAGTATGAAATGTGAGTTATCTGACATGGTTTCGGAGCAACCTATGTGGGAATTTTCGGGGGTTGGAGAAGGTAAGGGCAAGTCGTGGCTCGTGAGGGGGAAGCGCTCGGGGAGATGGATGGCCCGGAGGCGTCCTGAGAAGCTGAGAGGCGACCGGGCCCCCTGGAGTAGAAGCCGAAGAAGGGGCGGCTGGTGGAACTTGGGGGGCCCCCTAGGGCTTAAGGTCGGATAATACACCCACTTGCCGCATGTCCTCCCTAACCAGCATCACCCGACCACGCTTGGCGACATCAACTTGGCAGTTTTCCAACTTCTCATTCCACAGGGTCCGTCACCGCCTGCACCCCATCACTGTCATTGTTCTCGCTCTCGCTGTCCTCAACCCCCGGAAGGTACCACCTCCTGCGTCCCGACTACATCCTCCACCGCATCAAGGAGCAGCAGCGCATGTTCCGACTGACGGTGCTGCTGGTCCATGTTGACGTGGATGACGTGGTGAAGCCGCTGGGGGAGGTCACTCGGGCGGCAGTGGTGGGGGACTGCACGCTGGTGTGCGGGTGGACTCCGGAAGTAAGTGGGCTGTGTGGTGGGCGTGTAAGCGAGGAGGATTTGCCCAGGTGGGCTGTGTGCGTGGAGTGGTGGCTGCGGTGCTTTGTGGTGAGAGGCTAGCCTTTCGGGTGGGCCTCGCATGGCGCGGGAAGGGGATGGAAGAGGAGCACGGAAATGGCTGGCCAGGCAAGGAGAGAAAAGGGGACGGAAGCAACAGAGGACCGTCTCTAGACGGATACCGCTTATAAGGAGGCCGGGAGGGAGCCGGCCGGGCGGCTGGCTGGCTGGAGAAGATGTGGGAGGCTGCTGGCGATTGATGGGTTTAAAAGCTGAGGCGAATGAGAAAGTGTGTGTGGGAAGGCAATATTGTATCTCTTTCCCATCATCACTATCATTACTACTACCACCATAACGAGTCTAAGATGAACTGACGACGTCATCTCCACAAACCTCGTCAGGAGTGCGCTCGCTGGTTGGAGACGTACAAGAGCTACGAGTCCAAGCCCGCCTCCTCCATTCAGGAGCGCGTGGAGCCCGACTACGTGAGCCGTCTGGCCGCAGTGCTGGCGGGCTCAGTGCGGGGGATCAACCGTACGGACGCACACACGCTGGGCACCAGCTTCGGGTCCTTGGCGGCTATGATGCGCTGCAACGACCCGGATGCCTTCTCGGCGTGTCCGGGGATAGGGCCCACCAAGGTATGCTGGGTTTTGGGGTTGTTAATGTGGGCTGGGGTGGGTTGCAGGTGGTTATGGGGGTTGGGATACCTGCCGCTTATGTTCGCTTATCTCCCCGACTATATCAGTTAAGCGGGGACCTTATCCCTCCCATTACCTTCCTGGGGGGTATGGGACGAGCCCTGTTTAGGGCCTCTTGCCCTAGCCTGGTACGACCCGACCCTACGTCACTTGCCGGTCTATTACCTGCCTGACCCAAATGTGTGTCTGTGTGTTGCGCGTTAATTTGCGTTGCTCTCTTAACGTGTATGCCTGACTCAAAAGTGCCTGACCCAACCAACATAACACTTCCACATACAACCTCAGGTTCGCCGCCTGATGGAAGCCTTCCACGAGCCCTTTCGGAAACAGCTACGAATGACCGGGGTTGGAGCAGGACAAGGAGGAGGAATGGGAGGTCCATCACCGTCAGCGGCGACGGCGGCTGCAGCGACAACGACGGCCGCAGCGGCGGCGGCCCCGGCTGGCATAAGCGCAGAAACACCCAAGCCGTCTGCTGCTCCTACAACGTCTGCACCTGTGGCTGCGGTTGCTACCATGGGTGCGAGTGCGGCCTTAGTGCCCGGCCAGGGGCCTCATGTGGACGATGGGGCAGGGCCCAACGGGCAGGTGGGGCGGCCATCCGGGTGGCCAGAGTCAGAGGGGGTTGCAGCAAACGCCACCGCCGAAAAAAAGACGAATGAAGCGGGTGGATCCGATGAGGATCTTTCCGCACTGGATGGCGATGAGGCATTCGAGGACGAGCGAGGTTCTGCAGGTGGAGAGCTGGAAGGAGTCCGCCGGGATCAACAAACGCAGCAGCAGCACCTCGGCGAGGAAGTCGTGGATGTGGACGTGGCGTCTACAGGTTCGGAGGCTCAGCGGCAGCGCCTCCTGGAGCTGCTCATGTCGCAGATGCCGGCGGGGGACGACGACGTGACGGACAGCGACGAAGACTACCGACTGTGACACCGCCCTTAAGGATTATAGTTGATAGCGCTTCCACTCCCTGATGGCCGAATTCGCAGAATGAGCATGCAGCGGGCTATGTGACGTTTGCAGCTGTGAGCGGCTTTGCGTGCGTAAGGAAGGGACTGCAGCGGCGATAAGTTTGTGCTTGCGGCGTTTCTGGGGTTTCGGGGGATGGCGGTGGCTGGCGGATAGCCTGACGCCTATTCCCCATGGCACAGCCTCTCGAGATGTTGGATTATTGCGCAGGGAGCCGTACAGATAGCAGATGTGGGCAAACGGACAAGCAAAAAAAGAAAGACGCAGTTTGGCTCAATGTACTGTAGGAAAGGAAAGGCCACCGTCAGTTGCCAAGCGCAAGGACTTACCTTTGGCACATGTATAATTCGGGTAAAGCAATTAAGACTCCTGGGGCCCGGCTGCAACAATTACAAGCTATCTGGGTAACTTGACACATATCTACTCTTAATGCCTTGGGAGCAGTCCAACTAATCCCTAACTCCGGCTCCAGCAGATAAGTCGAGGCGGGTATCGAGGTATCGCTCCAGCTATCCAGCGGAAAGATCATCATTCTCAACATTAACGGCAACAGCAACAGCAGGAATAGCTACTGTCCCGACCTTGCGTGCACTCCTGGCTTAACCCTCAATCGGGTCCTCGTCCTCAATGCCCAGCTGCTCTAACATGCCTTCTACCGCCCCATCTCCACCGCCACCAGCCCCCGGCTGGACACTTCCTCCTCGCCAACCATCTCTTCCTCCAGCCACACCCCCAACCCCACCGCCACTTTCCCACCTTCCAACTTGCTGCTGGCATTGCTGCTGCTGCAGCGGTGGCGGCAGTGTTGTTACGTGCCGAAGGAATGCGCCCTCCGTCACGGCGCCATTCCAATAATAGCTCCAATTGCAGGGCAGCAGCGGCGCAATCCATACTGCGTGGTACGGCGATATCTGGACCAACGCGCGTAGCCATGGTATCACCGCTGAGACCAGCTGCGAGGCGCTGCTGCCGCCAAATAACGCCGAGCCAGACGTGGCGGAGCCGAAGTCGGCGCCGGCGGGGCCAGCAGTTGCCGCCGCCAAGCGGCACGCCGCGGCGCGCAGCTGCAGTCGGTTGGCGGCTGCGGCCTGGTCGATGGCAGAGCTGGCCGGGGCCCGTATGGGATTGAACTTGTGTGCTACTGGGTGCGTATTGCCGTACATCAGGCCGCGTGCAGCGACGGAGGCAGCAATCGCGGAGGAGAGGTTGGCGGCAGCGGGCGAGTCCTCAAGCCACAGGCTGGTGCCGCCGCCGGCGGTGGTAGCGGCAGTAGCGGAGGCGGAGCGGGACTGGCCGCACAGGACAGCTGTGTACGGCAGGGACGACGGGGGGCCGCATTGACACTGTCCCCTCCGCTGACCACGCACCCTGACTCTTGCCTGGTTTCGTGTGCTGCCAGATTACCCTCACACCTACTACACCGCCCCCACACCACCGTCATGTAGTCCCGTCCGCCTCACCACAACCCAAAGCCCCCCTCACTCATCCCTACGCCCCCCTCTACCCCTCTACCTTAACCCCCACAATTCGCCCAAGCAACACACCAACCAACCTACCACTGTCGCTGAGGAAGGTCGCCACCGTCGTCATGTCCTCAACCGCGCCCTTCGCCTCCCCGCCCACAAAGCCCAGGTAGTTCTCGTGGAGGAAGGACAGCAGTACGGGCGCCTCCAGGCCGCAACGCAGCAAAATGGCCTCCGGATCGTAGCGCATGGGCGGACGGAGCAGCCTGTAGCGGACCAGGCAGGTGACGCGAAGCTGAGAACCGAAAAGACATTTGCCCAAACCCAGCCACCACATGGCCACTCCTTCGCCAACAGTATAACTCCGCTTGGCCCAAGCATCAGCGCACTCTGGTCCTTCTCGCTCGGGTCGGCATGCTTCCCTAACCACTTGCAATTCTTTGCCCCGCACGTCCCGCGCCCGCAGCAATCAGAATGTAAGGTCATATAAGCGCGCGCCCTGCTTCTCGCCCTCTCCTCCCCAGGCCAGGTCCTAGAAAACCCATGCCCTTATTTCCACCAGCTTTAGCTGCCCCGGCAGTTGGATGTTTTTTCGTCGCCAGCCATGTGGTATGTACGGGCTCAAATGGGCCCGTTGCACCTTTTAAAAGGTGCAACGTATCTCAAGGCTTAATGCAAAGGGTGTTACTGACGCAGGTTTCGGAGCTTACCGTGCAGGTAGCTGAACCGGGTGCTGCAGCTTCCACTGACGCCCCATCGTGAGGGAATAGGCGTTGAGCTGCCGCAAAGCCATGCTGTCCTTATCCTTATTGCCCTTGCTCCCGCCGCCGCCGCCACCTTCATAAACGCCATCGCTGTCGCCGTCACCATCGCCGGCCCCGCCGCCGGCCCCGCCTTGCGTTGCATTCCCGCCGGCGGAGCGCTTGTTGTGCAGAAATTTGCCCAACGCATGGAACAGCGGCAACCCCAGGTCGCGCTGCGCCGCCGCCAACCGCGCCACCTCACCTGGCGTCAGCGCCTGCTGCCGCCCCACACGCAGCTGCGCCGTCGCACTGGCGGCTGTCACCTTGCCGTTGCCTTTCTTGCTGCGACGGCTGCCGCTAGTGCCACCTCTGCCGCCGCTGGCCGCAGTTGCGCCGCGCCGCGCGGCCTTCTGCAGCATGGCATTCATCTGCAGCGCCTGCAGCGCGCTGCGCACGTCGCCATCCGCAGCCTCCGCCAGGCCCATCGCTGTGGCCGGCATCAGTTCATGTCCCTCGGCAGCTGCCACGCGCATGAGCAGCTTGGCAATGTTGTTGGCAGTGACAGGATTAAAGCTGATGGCGGTCGCGCCCGCAGCTTGAAGTGCCGCCAAAATATCCTTTGTGTCATAGGTCATCGGTTAGGAGGTTGAGGAGGGCCAGAGAGGGAGGGGATTGGTATACAGGATGGAGGTTGCGACCTACGTACCTGTTTACTTTAGCTATATGTGTATGCCATACCAACGGGGATCCCAAGACATGCACACACCTTGTGAAGTCCCTTGGCGCCGCCCATGGAACCCCCGCCGTCCGGGGCGCCGCCGCCGCCGCCGCCGCGCTCGCCGCCGCCAGTGGCCTGGCCCTCCACCTCCGTCGCCACCAGCACCACCGGCCCCCGCGCCGTCGCCGCCAGGTCCCGAAGCGCAGATGCCAATCGCAGCCGCCGCTCCGTGTCGTGGGTGTGCGGTAGGTCCTCCACAAGCAGTAGCTTGGGCCGCGGCGCGCCGCCACAGGAACCGGGCGCTGTGGCCGACCGGTGGGTCGTAACAGCACCCGTTTGCTGGCTTCCGCCTGGCGCTGCTGCCGGCAGCACCCGGAGAGGAGCAGAGGATACGAGGGCATGAATATCAATGGATAACAGGACGTAGACCCGACTTTCGACATTTCGAACTGACGTTACACACGGCGTAAGGATTCATTCCTTAAAGGACGCCTTATGATATTCATCCCTGGTAAGACGCGACCCTCATCGTCGCTCAGAGCATTACGATGTTGCATGATGATGGCATACACATGGCGATAGCAGCGCTGACACAGATAGCTGCGTCGTTCCCCGCCGCAAGGATCCACAAATGCCCCCACGCCGTTGCCGTAGCCGTCGTACCTCTCCCCGACGCGCTTTCTCCGGAAACCAACGCTGCTGCCCCCGTTGATGTCAGCGCCAGGGAGGGGTACTTGGAGCGGCTGACGAAGGACTCAAAATCGTCCAGTTTGGATTGGTATGACGCCGGCGGACCGCCGCCGTACTCTGGACCTGCTGCGGACCGCTGCCGGAAGGGCGGCCGAAGCGCCGCCGGGTAACGGAAGGTAACCCGCCAGGAAGAAGCTAATTGCTAGAGCATCTGGCGAGAACCACATGTCGTACAGCACAGCACGGCGAAGCAGCACTACGCAAAAAAAGCTTCCATGTGGCCCAGACAGAACGCCTAAGCGCATCCACGCCGAGGCTACGTTGTAACTCAGACACACGCAGGAACCTGTTCCCTTTTCCTGCACCTCCCAACATTCCGCATTGGCATTCTTTTTCCGTTGCATTTCATTTGCTTGTTATGTATTCTTTCTGGCCTTTTCTAGACACGGCTAAGTCGTTGTTTTCCCCTGTATTCTCACACCCAAACAAATCTTATTACCCACAACCATACGCCCCGCCCCACTCACCTGGTACTGGTACTCGTTCCACATCATGGGGGCCGGCGGCGTCCACTCCACCACCTCAAAGCCCGTCGCCTCCGCAAGGACCCTCAGACAGGTGCTCTTGCCGCATCCCGCCGGCCCGCTCAGCACTGCCAGGCCGCATGGCAGAGCCCGCGACCCCTGCCACAACCTAGATCCTACTGTACCAGCTGCCGCTCCGAAACCCCCAACAGGCCAAGTCTGACTAAACTGGCGCGACTGCCAAGAGGGCCCTGCATGTTGCTGCGTTCCATATGCAAAAGACTGCTGCTGCTGCGTTGGTATCGTAGGTCCCTGGGACGACCCATGGGTCGTCAGCATGTGGTGCTGTCGTTCCAGCCACTCCTTGACCTCCGAGACCTTTTTACGGTGCAGCACCTGCACCAGGTCCTCCTCGGTCCGAGGCGTGTGACGCTCGTGCCACATCTCCGCAAGCGGTTTGGCGGCTGCAACGGCAGCAGCGCAGGAGGGGGGTGAGGAGCGGAACGCGGACGTGGAGGGCAGCGCTGCCGACGAAAATGGTGCTGACCCAGATGGCACCCGTAAAGCTCGCCCAACTGGCGCAGCGATCTGAGCTGAGGGCTGCTCCGCAGCCGCCGTGCCATCGCCGCCGCCGCTCCCCTCGAAGCCATGTTTCGTTGCCGTTGGTGGTTTGGTGCCTCGTTTGCCAGCAGCAGCAGCAGCGGCGGCGGCGGCGGCGGCGGAGTCACCGCTGTTCCGAGCCGGCGCGAATATGAGCTGTCTCAGCTGCGGCCGCAACGGTTCCGGCTGCCTTTGAGACGAGGGCTGGAAGGTTCCACCCTGCGATTGTGGCTGCGATGGGTGCATGGGCATGAAGTCGGGTTCCTCAGACAGGCGAGAGGACCGCCGCGAGAAGGAAGGAGACGGCGACGGCGCTGGACTAGCCTCAGCGCCCCCGCCGGCGCCGCCACGGCCAGCGTTGGCAAATACCCCTGCCAGCGCGCTGTCGCCGGAAGCGGTGGGAGTCGCCACGCTGGCGGCGCGTGGCCGACTCACGTTTAGCGTCTGCAGCGGCAGCGCCGTGGTGCGGGGACGCAGGGTGGCTATGGGTCGGGTGCCTTGGCGCAGTGGCTTGGGGGCGGCAGGCTCTGAGGCGGGTGGTTCCTCAGCAGGCAGCTTCCGGCGAGCGGCCTTGGGTCCGACTGGTAGGGCGGATGCTTGGCCGGCCCTGGCAGCAACTGAGTCACGCTGCAGCTGCTGGATCGGCTTGTCCTGTGCGTCCATGCGCCGTAGGCGCTTGGTTGGGCGCACTGTCGCCCTGGTCGCCGGCGGAGGCTGCGCCTGCTGCACAGCTGCATCGTCGGGGTCGTCCTCCGATTGTGACGAGTCCCTCAGCAGGTTGATCACTTCTACCGGCTCGGGCACCGCCGCAGTCCTTTTCCCGGCGCTGGTCCCGGCCGCGGCTCGAGGTCGCTTCGACATTGTCTGCTCCCGTCAGGATGGCGACGACCAGGACTATCTGGGTATTTCGGTTATCGTTTGCCGGGAAGAGAGCGTATAGCTCTCAGGAACCGTCTGGGTGCATGATGTTATAGACGTGAAGGTCCAAACACCAATATTCTCACCATGCTGACCCTGACACCCCAAAAGGCACAAGCAATTGTGCCACCTTCCTGATCAATATCAGGATTACTTTTGTCTCTAAGCCATGCATTCCATATCAAGTCCGCGCCACATGCTATATTCCAGACCCGGCTTGCCTTTATAACTCTAATGCTTATTCACATGTCAGCAGAAATTGTTAAATATTGAGCTATATTCCCTCCTCAAGAGAACTCAAGGGGAATCCTAATCTAGTATCTCGTCATGGACTATGGCCCCCGCCAAATAAGCGCAGCACGGATCGCACGACGGGGCAAGCAGTAAGGCGCAACCATTGCCATCTCCATCCTGATCTTGATATTACTACCTTTACAATTAACATGTTAATTGTTAAGCAACGTGCTTTGAGGAAAGCCATCTACAACCCAACTGCTGCTCCTGGCCGTGTGATCAGAGCGTGTCCCTTGACAGCAGGACGGAGGGAAATGGCAACTGATGGAAAGGCAAGCAACTTGCCGTCAAATAGCAATCTAACAGGCGCGATACACGGAAGAGGTTTCCATTGTCTACGAGCGCTGCTACACTGTGTTTTGTAAATTTCAGGTGTACATTGTGCTTGTTAAGGGAAAGTTGAAGGAAGGACAGGCTTCGCTGTTCGAGAAATGCTTTGCACCGTTGGCGCAGCATGTAACTGCCAATGAGACTGGCTGCTTCACTTATAAGCTCAGCTGGAGTGACAAAGATCCTGACAGCTTCATTATCTTTGAGCGCTATGCCAGCAAGGAGTATCTCGAAGACGTTCACTGTGAGTTCTTGCACGGCCACCTTGCCCTGAAAGCTATCGTGGAAACGTTGCCTGCTTTCATTTGTTTAATGTCACAATATCTATGGGTTCCGCGCCCTGAGGATTGCCTCATCAGGGAGATTGTCTTGGCCCATGGGCCTTTCTGGTACCAAGAATGCGTCACAGCAGGCAATTACTTTCATCAACTGTATGGCATCTAAATCCGCCATAGCCTTCTGTTTCCCTTCCGCCTGTATCTTGAGCGACGTAGGGATGGCCATCGAACTTTGAAGGTTGGAAGTTGCGGGCATAGTCCCAATAGTCCCAACCCCAGCCCTGGGTTCCGAACCGGGGGGTTACTGTTAGTTCACCTTACCTCGCTGGACTCTGACGAAGAACCCTTGCACACATGATACAATTGCCGACTTGATTAGGCATGTGATCGCGTGCGGCCGTTTAGTCGATTGGCGCATGCCGTACGGCCGAAAAACCTTTCGTACTCCGCTGCTATTACTGCTTACTGCCGTCTATCGCATCGGTTGTCTTGAACGGCGATCAATCGCTCCTTCAACCCTTATGCTGTCACTGCATATGCACCTCGCAGGGAAGTCCGAGCCATTCCTACAGTTCCGCAAGGACCTCGAAGACAGTGGCATCGAGTGGGTCACGAAGGATGTGACCACGTACTATGAGACTGGTCCAGGCTTCACAACGCGCTAGTAGGGCCGAGCGAGAATGAGTTGCTTGCTGGGAGGGCGTCTTCCTGAAAGGGCGGAGGATGGCTAGTGGTCAGGTCTGCTCACTGGTCGTCTCGAGGGCGCGCCAACGTGAAGCTGATGTTCAAATTGCGTGCAGCCGTACTCACGGCTAGCACGCATCCTACTCCACCCACGCTCAGAGATAATATCCTGCTGCAAAGCAAGGACGTCCGGCTCCATGGTCGTAAGATAAATGGCTCCGGTGGGGTGATACATCCACGACGACGATTCCGAGTTTCGCTTTGTCCCATCATTTACGTTATTATGTTAGCTCACTTGTTGGGTTGAGTGTGGTATGGTTCCATCCACGGTATGGATTTACAAGACGGAAGCGATGCGGAACGCGCTCTACAGTCTTGACTGTCATTGTGTACGACAGCACGATGGAACATTCGTCCTTTAAGGGTGCCAGCGCTTGTTGACGGCGGCTGATTTATCAGCTAGTGGCCGGTCCAAAAGAGTACTATCGAGAGTCACGTTTGTAACAACGACGGTTCACGTGCGCACAGCAGAGCAGATTCCTTGGAGCCACCTACACACGTCCACATGTGGGAGGCCTCCAAGAAGACTAGTGCACGGAACGGAGCGCTAGATCCGAGGCTTCTTATTACAAGTCTGCCTGGTCCGCCACTCCGCCGTCCACTGCCTTTGGTTCCACTGCACATTCATACAGGTAAATCACTAGGTTGGTTAATCAAACACCACATATGTACCGTTTGTCACGACATAGCGTGCGCATCGCCATATAAAGTCATCCGCACCCACCTGGTACGACATTTGGCCCTCCATTTGGCGTGACACGTTCTCAACGACGCAGCCAGCCCTTCCGGCCCACCACAACGACACAACCCCTCCGGCACCGTTACAACGGCATGGCCCTCCTCACCTGTACAGCCCTTTCGGCACATCACAGCATCAAGACGCGGGATCCTGGCTCCAGGGGACAACTAGAAAACTAACCACTACTGTGCCGCGAGTACCTCAACAACATGCAGATATAGGTGTAACTGTAATATTTCACGGATGTTCACCGCTCGCACAAGCCAATCGCGCTCCCTCCCAATGCTTTGATAGCGCTCCTCCACTCACAGTGAGCTCCTCCCCATAACAGCCTCTCCCTCCTCCGACCCTTAGTCGCCGCCCCGTACAGCCTCCGCCGTCCTCTACCCGCCTACTCCCCAAACGTTACCTCTTAAGGGGCCATCGATGCCGTGGCCATCCTCTACCACCTCATCCTCTCCCGCGTCCTCATCCTCGACCTGTTCCGGCCAGTTGACCAACAATCGGCAAGTGGCCGCGCCGCAGTTGCACGGTAGCTCCTCTGAGGAGTTGAACCGGTAGTCATACGTAAGCTCCTCCCACGCCTCGATGTCCCGCTGTAATGGAGGGTGGGAGAGAAAACGGCTTTAGTGATACGAGTGAGTTGGAGCCTTACCAGGTAAATTGCATGGTTCGAACATGGAAACCGATGCCCATCCCTCCGATCCACATTTGCTGAAACAGAGCCGCGAAGGCTTTACAGATTGTTCACAAAACAAAAGCACAGGGAACCTGGGCTTCCGAGCCTGCACAGCTACTTTAGGGTGACACCGGTGAACGAGAGCTCGCCCGCCCGTTCCCTTTTCCCATCTTCCGCGGCACACGGAAAGGACCGCCGCCGTAACTGATCGAAAAGCAGGTTTGGTGCAGGATGCGGCAACGCCACTTGCACCAGCTTTCAGTTCGGCGAGTATAGAGCTCCAAATTCATCCCAACCCACCCAAAGCACGCATACCTTGGCGGTAATGATGACGTGGTCTGACGTGGCGCGGGTGACGGGGTCCGTCAGCGTTATGGTCCGACTGTAACAATTTGGGTCGCAACTGTGGTTGAGTAGGTGCGCCATGTTGCCTGCGGGGAAGCGGGTAGCGGGTGAAGTGAACACCGGCCCAACACAAATCCCTGCTTGACCAGGGCTACTGCGAGAGCTCGACCGGTAGCTCTGGTGTAACCCTTAAAGAATCTCAATCTACGGCGACTCTAGCGAAGAACTCGAACACCTTTGAGAACCCATAAAAACAATTGCCATACCACACAGTCCTCAAGCATACACATGCAGCGCTGCCGCTAGACTGACCGGCCAGCTTGCCGCCGCCGGTTTCAAAAGCCTTCTAAACTAGGACATCGCCCCTGGGTGTGCAGGATGGCATTGCCACGCAGGCACCATAAAAAAATGTTTGATCAAACCACAGTCAAGCCAGCCTCTCCAGAAGGTCCGCGTTGCGCACCTGCCCGCGTGGCGTCAATGTGTTGGTCGTCGTTCAGTGTGAAGATGTACGTCCCGCACCCAACGAGCTTGTTGTACATCCTTTTCTCGCGCACATCACTGACGGATGGCCGGATGAGCTCCCCGGCGTACTCGATCAGCATGTCACCTGCCACACACGGTGACGTCGGGAGGGAGCAGAAGAAAATTCAGCGCGCGTGGATACTTAAAAGGCGGGTTCGTTCTAGGTATCGAGAACTCCTGGAGAGATCCCCATGCCGCCATGCATGACACCGGACACCCCTACCCTTTGGTCCAGAGTTTCTTCAATCAACCAGCGGACAAGGATCCAGGAACAAAGCCGTGTGCCCGTTTTTTTTCGGTTGGACCCGCATGTTTTCCGTCCGGATCTTGAGGCACCAAACGGGGCTCGTGAAGGTGTTGCATCTCGCACCTGCTCGGACACGGCGCTGTGCAAGATGCTTATGTAGTTAAGGTTGCACATACAGCATTGACGAGGGCTCCTGTTGCCCCACCGCTCCAACCGCGCACAACCGCATACCTCGTTTGTGAGGCACCTTGGCAAAGGCTCCCCAGCCGTGGATGGCGCTCTTGCCGGCAGCCAGACGCTGCCCAACCGTAGCCCGCATCGCCGCATATCGCTCTGCCACAGACCGTGCACCCGCCGCCGCCGCCGCCTCCAGTAGCGGCTTCGGAAGCAGGCCGGCCGTGTCCTGCCCGCTGTAATTGCCCTGCTGGAGGTCTGAAGGCAGTGCCGTGATGTCCGTAGGCTCATTGCCGGCCCCATGCAGCTCGTCTTGCCCATCTCTACCCACCCGGCTGCCTACATCGCTGCGATGACCTGCTTTAACCTGGCCGCAGCTGCCGACTCTACCACTGCCACCGCTATCCGTGCCGCCAGCACCTGTGCCAATCCGAACACAACTCACGTGAAGTCCTTCCAGCGCTCGTACGTTCTGCTGCAGCCTGCCAGTCACCAAGTACGGCAACTGCCGTACAAAGGTACGTTTCTCCCGGGCGATGGCGACAGCCTCCGGCGCCCGGTGCCCCCTGCTGCGCCAGTCCGCAAAAGACATGCTCCGACCCGTCGCCAGCTCTCCATCTGCCGCAAATCCTGTACCACCCTGGCCCATTCGCTCAACCTCGTCATCACACCCTCGCTGCCGTGGTTGCTGCTTCTGGGGCTGCTGCGGTGTTGGCAGCGGCTGTGGGGCCGGACGGTTGGACTCGAGCTCTTGCACCAGCTGCCGCTGGCGGGCGTGCTGCTGCTCGCGGGTGAGCTCCGCCCGACGGTCTGCAAAGCGGCCGCCGGCGAAGCTGCAGCGGAAGGCGGTCTGGTGCAGCACGAGGTCTTCGTGGCGGGGGCAGAAGCAGGCCAAGGAGATGCCATTGCCCAGCGATATCCCACCCAAGCACGCGCCGCGGCCCCGGCCCAACGCCTCGCTTGCGCGGCATGCGGCGCGCCCGGGGTTGTTAGTTTTACGGGGCCGCCCCCGCCCGCGGCGTGGCGGCAGCGAAGTACCAGCCGCTGCCGCTGCCGCTGCGGTATCCGTAACCGGAGCCGCTGGCGGGAAGCTGTCTGTTGCACCCCCACCGAAGTGCTTGGATGGGGCATCCTGGTGCTGACCTCCCGGCGGTATGCAAAAGTGTGCCACGCAGGATGCAGGGCCGGGGTGCGCACCCCCGGAGAGCTTGGTTGCCAGCACATGCGTCGGCAGCTCCCCGCCGTGTTTGGATCTACCGCCAGAGGATACGTCAGCCGCGTTGACGCTGCCTTGCAGGTTCTCCTTACCGTCATCCTGCTCCGCGTGGTCTGCAGCAGCGGGACTGCAAAAGCCTGCTGCAGCCGCCGCAGGCGCTGCCGTCACCTCAGCTGATCCCGTTGTTCGGTTCCCGCGTGAAGCAGCCGCAGACACCGGCCGTTCATTGCGCGGCTGCTGCTGCTGCGGCGGTCCTCTAGCAGCACCAGCTCCCTGCCGCAGCTCGCACATGGCCAGCCCCGCCTCTCGCGCACACATGGGGTGAAAGGCAGTGTAGCAGCGCGCATCACCAGCGCACTGGATGCAGGCGCCGTGTTGCTGCTTACACAGGAAGCAACGCAGCGAGGCGCGGTTCTGGATTGCCTGCAGACACACACGAGGGTCACACGAGGGCCGTGCGGATCCACAGCATAGGCAACAGCCATCGTGGTTGGCTGCATTGGCGACACGAACACAAAAGAGGACGGACAATAACAACCCGCGTTTTCGAGCTGCCGCCAGCACATGCCTTATAACATAATATGTATCATGAGAATCATCATACGACGGAGAGGCTAACGTAGGTAGACAGCTAGGACAATCTTTGTGACGTATTTGCAAAGACTTGCGTCGCCCCAACAGTTCACAGGAGGCGGCGACTCGTCGTACCTTGGCGACACCCTCCACGGGCTCCAAGCTGTCCAAGTCTCCGAACGTGACCCCCGGTGTCCATACGGCGCACAGCACGTGCACGTATCCGCCCGCGTCCGTTTGCTTCATGGGACCACTGGCCACGGGACACAGCTCGCAAGGCGGAGACCGGTCACGCGGGAGACCAGCAGCGTGCAGCTACGGCAGGGGTAATGAACAACGCAGGCACAGAAGTGGTAAGTGGTAAGAGAGCAGAGTGGAAACCCGGAGTTTGGGTGTGCTTTAAACAATAAGGTGCCGGCCTCACGACTATTCATGCAGGGGCTCTGCTAGCGGTGATGTTGGGTGATTGGGCTCCCAAGTCACGTGGCAATTTTCAATTTTGCTGTAGGATTGTGGATTATGCAGCGTCAGGGCTTTCAGTGAACATGCTGCTAAACGCCAGGGGACTGCGGGTCAGAGCCAAGCCACGGAACGCACGCCCCGGTGTGCAAGAGAGAGAGTGTGTGTGTGTGTGTGTGTTACACCTTGAGTTGCGTTGCCCTCCGCAAAAGATGTAACGAGCTCTTTCGAGCCCTGAGAGGGCCCAAGCGCCAAACCGCAAGAACATGGACGTGAGTCCCTCACTGCTTTCCGCCGCCTCAAAATGATGGTGCATTAAAGGCGTTTATTTCCCGGCATCTTCCCCCATATGTCCCCCTGTCCCTGAATGCCAGGGTTCCAGCACCGCGTGGCTGCAGCTGCTATCCCGCACGTGACTTCACCAGAGAGATAGAGCTCCCCGCTTTCCCCTCGACATGTCACGTTTACTTTCCCTCAAAGCCAAGACGGAAAGCGACGCTAGCAGTAGCACGCGCAAAGGCCTGCAGATCCCCTGGTACGGGTTCAGAATTCCTTTCCTTTCCCTTCACTCCCACCACCACCACCAGCATAACAACATTTGCATTAACAACAACCGCAACCGCAACAGACTCACCTGGCACACGTCACACAGCCAGAGCGCCCCGTGCGGAGGCTGCTTCACGCCATAGCAACGCGAGTGAACCACGCAGCGGCACAGGTCGCACTCGAACTTAAGGTTGTCCGGCGACTCCATATCCTGCAGCGGTGCGAGGCGATATGCGGGTAGATATCAGCCAGATGGGCAACTGGGTTTCCTCGACCAGCAGCTCTCTTTTTTGTAACGGCTGCCAGGTCTCCATGCCTTACTTTTTAGGCTAAGGTCGTTGGGCTTCTCCCTGTTGGAAAGTGACCGACACTCATATACCAGAGAATGATGACAGCAGTAATAGGACCTGGGAGGGGTCCGGTGCTTTACTGTGTTTGACACTCCCAGGTGCCATGAAGCAGTAGTAGTACAGCGAAACCCAGACCCCAAGGAAAAGACTCCAAGGTAGGGCCATCGGGCCACAACGGATCGCATACTGCACTGGGAAAGCTTAGATAAAGAAGAGGCAGGTGATGAAACAGAGAAACTCAAGACAATACCCAACCGTGATCGGCCCTCGCGGTGGGTGATGCCATTGTATGTAAATAAGCGATTGGCATGATCTGACCGGAACGTAGAGGATGAAGTGCACGTTAGGCGAAAGGTAGGGCAAGCAAGATAGGAAGGATTGAAGCCGCATGCTGCGCGCCACATGTGCCCGCCCAGCCCGTGTCGTGCCTACCTCACCGCACACCTCACATTCGAAGCACATGCCTGTCTTGACCTCCGGTATTGCGTGCACACCCGACGGCAGATGCAGCGCACGGGCGTACATGGCGCGCCGTTGTACCTCCTCGAGATGTGTCTGTATGTATGAAGGAATGGCATTCAAATGGGGAAAAGGAAGCTAACGGCAGCCATGTGTACGTCCCAACACAGGGAAGACAGGAAAAGGTTTCTGGTGTGCGCGCCTGGTGGCGGGCCAGGTTTGACGGTTAGTTGCTGCGCCGGCTTACCAGAATAGCGGTGCAAGTGATTGGTTACTCCTCCTGCCCGTCTTCGAAGATGCACACGGCAATGGACATGGGTTCGCCTTCATCCTGAAAAGATGACTTCGTACCAAGAATCTCTGAAATCCTTTTTCCTCACGCGTGTGTGAACTTCCCGCATACTAGCCTGCCCTGCTGCACACTGTCTGGCGAGTGTCAGAATGTTTATGTTGAGCAGGTGGCATTACCCCTGCATGGTATGACATGACGTGAGGCCCCCTACCCACCAGCGGTGGCAGCGGCGGCCGGTCCTGGTCGGGCCAGTTGGCGAAGCGCTCGCACCGCTCTGCGCCAGGGAGAGAGCGCAGCAGCGCGGCGACTCTCTGGTGGGTCAGTCCAAACAAGTCGGCGCCAGTCTTCGCGAAGGCCCTGAGCGCAGGTAGACGGGCAGAACGGCACACACGTACACACTGACAAGACAGGCGGGGTGGCTAGGATGCTGTGGGGGCTGAGTGAGGCAAGCCGTAGACCAAGACGGAAAATGAGCTCTAGGCGGAAACGACGACTCTAGCTCGTGTACCTGGGCTGTGAAAGCAACACACAGATCCACGGGAGCACGGAGATGTGCTGTCCTGTGCCGCGCGGTTTCCGGTTAGAAACAACCGTCCCACCAAATCGCCGCAAGACCCTACCTGCCGCGAACGCGATCGTCCTCTTCAAACAAGGCACGCATCGCCCTAGTGGCGGTGTCGGCGGACACTGGGAGCCGCCCCTCGGGGGTAATCCTGTCGGAACAGCGGTTTAGAGGAGAGGCATGCAACACACAGTGCCGTGCTTGCATAAGTCCTTCGCGATCTGCTGGTATTCCTTGCGCGCGCTTTTGCTGAGGAATTCAACACCTGTGCACATATGCCGGTATCAGCACGCAACCCACACCGCGGTCGTCAAAGTTGACCAGAACGACCGGGCTGTCTAGCCACGAGGTAACCAGCTCAACCAGCAGCCATTGCCAGGAGACGGGAAAACGCCCCGTCCTGGACAGCATGCCAGCTAGCAAGTCCCTACACACACCCCGCGCATATGCCTGCCATGATGACCGAGGTCGCAGGACATATTCCCCTTCCTTGCATTCAAACTAAAGCGTCACCCACCTGAACACTGGCCGCACACCGTCCGCAGACGCCACCACCTCCATCACGTGCCGTACCTCCCGGCCGCCGCTGGCGCCACTGACCATTAGCCGATCCGCCGTGTAGCCTAGTGGGTAGATGTACTTCTCGTCGTGGAACCAACGGCTCAGCCAGACGACCTCACCCAGCCGAAGCACCCTCAACTTGGAGCCTAGCTTTAGAGGCAGGGTGATGTCCTGTGCGGCAGCTGTAGTGCCGGCAGCTTCGTGTTGGGAGGCTCTACCCTCGCCGCCGAGAGCGCGGGCAACAGATAGGCGGCGAGTGCTGCGTGCGTCGCCGCAGCCGCGGCCACTTGCAGACCCCGCTCGGTGCTGCTGTTGTTCTTCATCATCATCCTCGCCTTCGTCGTCCTCATCGTAGTTTGGCGGGATCATGCCGCGAGGAAGTTCACCTTCCTATACCCAGGAAAGAATACAGATTGTACAGGTATGAGTGCGGATCAGCATTTAAGTCAGGCCTTGCTTGAGGAAAGCCGAGGACAATGCAGCGCGCGTCTATTAGATGTGTAATGGACATGGACATGCAGTTATTGGTCACCAGTAGGACCCGGCGTCGCTGGGTTCGCTCCGACAGCGGGGGTGTAATGAAATCTTCTTCCGCGGCAAACTTTCATGCTGCGAGCAGGTCAAATATATTTTGTCGCTATATATACTCAGCGAACCGAAGGCAACGAGAAGGCAACGAAATCGTCGGCGTGTATGGCTTGGCTGGTCAACTAGGTCACAACGCCGAAGACCGGGACCCGCAAACAAATGGCTTGAGCTTACTCCGTTCCGCAAAAGCAGCAACAGGCAAGTTTGTAGGTCCCGTACCGGCCTGGGTCGAGTCACCCCGTCACCCCGCGTCGCTGCGAAGCACTACGGCGCAGGACCCTCACCGTCATGTAGGTGCGCAGCTCAAACATGGCTCGAAGAAAGCGCTGTGTGTGGCTGCCGCCAGCACCTCCAGCCGCGGCACCCGCACCCGCAACCCCGCGCACGTGCCAGCCCAGCTCGAGGCCTGCCAAAAAGGGCAACACGCCGCCGCGGTCTGGAATGCGGGCGCCGGGCTGAACCACTGGAAGACCCAAGACCGTGTGGTCGCCAAAAAATCGCACAAAAGCGAACTGCAGGCAATCAGGCACGCAGGCAGACAGGTAAGCAGATGCCAAGCAACCAGCCATCAGGCAGTGTGAGAGTGTCGCTGTCATCAAACAGTTTCAGGGTGGCTTCGCGCCGCCGAGGCAGCACGCACGCGATTTTGAGATCCCTATCCCTGCCTTCCTCACAATTGTATACATCCGCTGCTTAAGAGGACGCTGAGACGGCATATTTACGGGATCCTGTGGCATATAGCTGCCCTACCATCCGCAAGAACCCGCTTTAAAACGTCTTCAAGCCCCAACTTTCTGCCGTTCTATGCTTGGGAGCGCTTCTAGTAATCCGAAGCCTTCGTGCTGCTCATATAGGGCGCCGATAGGCGTTGCGATCAAGCCCTTACTTCCACTGTGGCGCTACGACAGGCATGCAGACAGGCAGGCGCCAGAGGGCATGCCATGCAGCTCAATAATGTGCTGGTCTTCATGCGCATCACAATCCTTTGGCTGCGCAATCTGGGTCTGCACCTTTCACGTTGAGTGATACAAGCGGTCCGGAAGTGCGGCTGCTAATGTGTACCTATATGAAGTGGGTAAATCCTTCTCTCCAAGAAGACCGGGACACTGGACCAGAGAGAGTCTAGGCCACCTGTTCACCAGGCGGCTGAGAGCGGTGGCGTGCAAAGGTACAAGTCCTGGTGTGTGTCCCGCTGAAGCCGGCGAAATCCCTTCAGGAGAAGCATACCAAAGCCCAGGGCATTAAAACAGAGCACCCCGGCTGTACCGGCGCACCCCCCCCCTCGCAGCAGCACGCAGACAGGTGGCCCTGTGCATCATGTATATGAAGACCCAACTGCCATGCGCCAAGTGCACGGCCGGGTTCAAATCCCCAACGAGCGCCCCAGGCAAACAAGCGCGCACTAACCTGCCTCAAGCCAGCTGCCGCTGCGCCCGTGCGGTGGTGAACGTTGAGACCCTGCCGTTCCGCCTCCTCGCGCGTTATGATGATGGCAGGCCATGGCCTTGAGCGCCGCACCTGCGCCCACACCACCTCTCCAGGCCGCAGCACCTGCCACGAAGCCCAATCTCGGGGCAGCTGCGAAACGCTTTCCGACTCCGGAACCAAACCGGTGCCGCCCTCGTCGTCGCGTTCTGGGACGGGGTCCCGTCCCTCTTGCTCCCGCAGCCGGTCTTCCATATCGACACCTGCGATTTCTGCTCCTTTTGCGTTTGTCGCCGTTGTTAACGTTGGTAACGCTGCCGCTGATTCTGCGGCTTTATTTGATGCTGCTGGGCCAGAGCAGGTGGGTCGAGTTCCTTCGTCGTCTTTATCCACTTCCATAGCGTCTGCGGCTTTGTCCTCGCCGTCCGCTTCCGTGCGGTCCGCAGAGGTCCGTGCACAGTTGACTTTCCGGGCCTCCGATTTGGCGGCCCTCGCGGCCTGGGCTTCGGCTCGGCCGCCGGCTCGTGCAGGTGGCTGCCGCTGGCTAACCTGGTCGCAGGGAGGTACATCGCTGGAAACTTCGCTGGCCATGCGGGTCGCCAGGGCTTGCAGCTGGGCAGCCTGTGCGGACCAGCGCTCCGCTGCCGGGCAACAGTACGGACAGGACACCGACAAATAGTGGGTAAGATGAGAAAGACAGCACGTGAGTCCGGTCGGATATACGTAAAATAAATGCTGCAAGAATGCCCAGTGTAAATGAAAGAGCAGGGTTTTGGATGCGTGAGCACTTGCCGCCACTCAGAAAGCGGAAGGAGCCACATGGAAATCTGAACGGCCGTCAAGCATCCCAGCATTGCCACAGCGCTGCCGAGCTGAACCCCCAGACCGACACTGTCCGACACGGTTGCCTTTGCTCATCTAGGCGGGCGGGTGCGCATCGATGGATAGTCACTCCATTACGTGGAACGATCTCATTGGACTCCATGTTTGTATGATGGCTTGGGCTGTGGTAATGTTGTAGTAGTAGGTAAGGTATCACAGGAAGCCCCAGACACCAAGGGAATACCCAGGGTAGGGCCTAACATGACGCGCGTTCTATAAGCTCGGCGTGCACCAAGCGCACCTGTGTAAAGATACCAAAAACTTGTGTGGACAGACTCAAGGCTAGATAGAGGGATACAAAGGACCCTTACGCACCCTTGCTCGTCAGCTCCTGGGGGTCTTCATCTTCGCGGCTTCCCGGTACACCACCAGGTTCACTGATGTCCTTTCCGCGGTTCAAATGCGCAGCTGGAGGCTTTTGACGCACGCCTCTCCGGTGCTCCTGCTGGGTACTTGCCCGTGCACGCAGCTGGGCAGCACCTATCGCCAAACACGCTGCAACGCGTCGAAGCTCCTCCGGCGGCCGCGGTGCAAGGTTGCGCTCTGCCTGCCCTGGTACGACCTGCAGCCGGACTTCCTCCGCTGCGAGGTGCAGGTGTTCCACGTCACCATCGTCGTACTCTACCTGCCAGGGTCCTCCATTCGTCACAGGTGGAAACCCTTGTGCATGAACACCTGCCTTTTCACTGCATCAAACTCCGGTCTGACGCGACGAGCACGCAATCTTATGGAGGGCGCCGCGCCCGAGCATCACGACCTCTGAAACCCAAGCGCCGGAGGTTACCTTACATCCTTACATGCAAGCGAGTCCCAAGCTTAGCATTGAGGGCAACGCGGCAACGCGGCAACGCGGGCCGTAAGATTTTCACCACTTACGGTGTGCATGCCTGTGTCTGCAGAGTAAGAGGTCACTCGCCCACAGAACCAGGCGCCATCGTCAGGCCATAGTACCCGGATCTCACGCCCCACGAGCTGCTCCGGCGAAAGCCACAGCGCCACCTGTAGTGCAGGGAAGGCCCGGGAAGGATCATGGGCCGCAATCCAAGTGATAGGTGTGTTGATAAAAAAAATGGCTGGCTGACGCATGGCTGATTCAGCGTGCGGCTTGAACCTCGTCCATGGAATCTAAGCGACCGGCGGAAATGGATTCATATGCAGAAAGCTTTGCGATAACCAGGACCGCCTCTAGCGCTCTTCACCATTGCCCCGATTAAGCGGGCCGCACCTGTATTTCGTGGTATTGCTTAAAGCCAGAGCAATGTCCACGGAAATGCTTGTACGCCTCGCGCAGCTCCGCGGCTGCGACAGCTGCACGATGGCGCTCATCCGAGTCAGACACACGGCCCTTGGCAACACTCTCGCAACCCACTCTCGCAACGCCGCTCTCCTGATCCTCAACTGCGCTTGCCCGGAGAGGGCCTCCCACAGCACTCTCTAGTCCTCTTGCGTTCACAGGAATTATGGACTCTGGTGCCTGACCAGCCTCCGCAACGCCCTTCACGTTCCGCTTTCCTAAGCGGCCCACTGCCGGAGCTGGCCCAGCCATGCACGGCTCCCTGATTTCGCTGCCAGCTGCAGCGTCAGATACCGCTGGCAGGACTGGCCAAGCTCGCGGCACGTACAGCTTCCCGATATCGGCATCCACACAGCCTTGGCCGTTGCGTGGCGCCTGTCCCCGGTCCTCCGCCACAACCCTTCCGCACGACGGGCCGTTCCATTGGTGATCTGGGTCGAGGCCCCGCCGCGCCCCGACCAACTCCACAAGCTGTGCAGTGTCCTTCTGCTTGGAATGTGCAGATGGCAAGCCCTTTGTCTCGCAGCCCAAAGGGACGGCTGCTGTGTTCATATGGTCAGGCGGCCCGAGCCCTTCTGCTCGGTTGCATCCCCGTTGTTGTCCGAGCAAGTTTTGGCGCCGCCTGGCTGAGGCTGGGGAGCATACCCTATAGGGCACGGCGCCGGGGCCTTGCCCGGAGGTTTCCAGCTGCGGACGGTCCTCACGCTGCGCGTATGCCGCCGGGGGTTTATTGCCGGCGGTGATCTGCCGCCGCATGGATGCCTCCGGAGGTATAGAGCTGGGAGACAGTTGCTGCTGGTGCTGGGTTGCGCTTCGAGGGCTGTGTGCGCTGCTTATCATAGCCGCTGCTGAGCTGACAGCTACTGCACATTGCAATCGGCCAGGTGTGATCACCGCGGCTGGCGCCGCCTCTAAACGGGTACCTTTAATGCGCTCCTGATCCTCACACCGGTCTCTGGCGTTGCGAACGTCGGCAGCGCGTCGCCGAAGGAGCTCAACTAGGGACAAGGGGACCAAGGGCAATCAGCGCGAAATGCAGGATAGCAAGGGGCGTCAAAGACAGATGCCTGAACACAAATGTGCCACGCATGTTTCATCGACAGAGCTTGCTGAAATTCCGCTGGAGAACCATGGACCTTGCACTACTTTAGAGATCAACAGCTGGTCGCAAGACTGCAAGGCACGCGCTTGGACAGCCAAGCTCACGTTTTTGGCGGTCATCCTCTTTGAACGTGGCGCGACCCCGTGCTGTTCGATGCTGCACAGCTCTAGCTTCGAGCTCGTTGGCAAGACTGTCCAGGTGACGTGCCAGGGCATCCAACTGGCCTGGATTTGATGTCCGCATACTCCGCAAGCAGTCTGAAGGAAACTGCACTTTCTCAACGGCCAAAACCAGCATTTCTTCGTCACCTGCCGTCGTATGAGCGCAGGTTACTGTCAGGCCATGCAATCGCCGCACAGCAGGCTCAGCACTCCGAGAGCCGCACAGCACGCACCATCGTCGTAATGAATTTCGTGCTGAAAAGTCGTCACCAGGTACTTGAAAATTTTGCCATGAAAAAAGCGTCCTTCGCTTGGCCAGAAAATTCGGACTGGGGTCCCTACCAATGCGCTTGGGCACCATAAGGCTGCATCCACCCTGCACAAGGACATCATTTTCAGCAACTCCGTAAACAAACTTTGGAAGTATAGCTTAGCACGGGCATGGTGGCGAATGGATAGAAAGTTGAAAATAGACAAACTAGGCTAAAGCTTTACACATCCTAATGCCGCCATCACGTATCAGATGGCAGATTGTCGGAATACTATGGCAACCTACGTGATGCATCGCAGACCATGCCAAAGAAATGTGGGGACACTTACTGCTCCCATTCACGGCGTTCCACCTTTTGCTTCTTCGCTGGTCGTAGCATATTCATGGTTTACTGGTGAGGCCTCCTTACATACGCGGGTTTGTAAGCATCCTCGGGAGGCATCCACGGCTCATGGTTGAAGTTAGCGCCTCTCGCGTGGCATAGATGCTACAGCGATGACTGATGTTGTTATAGGTACTGATCCATTGTCCTCACCTCCAGGCTTATTCAAATTGGGAGTATAGGCCTGTAGGATGATCATTTGCAACGTTGACGGTTTGAATCCAGCCGTACGCATGGCCGCATGGTCCATCTTGTTGTTGTAATGTTATGCTGATCACGCACATTGTTTTATTTGGTTATTTCATTAGGACGGTGGAAGCTTATATCGCGTGCCATGGTCACGATGGCTTTGGCCAGCAGTGCATACAGTTCATTTGCGCAGTGCAACGGCCGGCGATGTGCAGCACGTCGTAATGTAGGTTATGTTTTATGGTGTGAGCACGCATTCCTAAAGCTTGTAACTTATCATTAGTAGCTTATTGGATAATAACTTCGACTGGCTTGGCGCATTTGCAGGTTGCATATTTGCAACGGCAACAAATTCCATCTGATACCCGACCTGTCCTGGCGCGGGCAGCAGCCTTCGACAGTGTCAGCTTTGATGACCTGCTGCCCACCAAGTTGGAGCTCTTGAAGAAGGTGGCCTGCCTTAACCGCGGAGCTATTGCCTCCAGCAATGACAATTACGAGGTGGGTTGCATCGGCTATTTAAGCTGCAGCCTGGACCCGGGGCTCTTCAGGTTCTCCCCAGACTCCTGCCGCACGGTATTCCAACGAGCCGCCGAGTACCCACAACCACCGTCCTTGACAGGTCTCCAGCTTCGTGGAGGTAATGGAGGACGCGGCCGGACAGCTCGTGCAACTCGATGCCGTTCAGGGAAAGTGGGAGCTAGTGTATAGCTCGGTCGAGCCCTTCCGCTCGTCGCCCTTCTTCTGGGCCTTCCAGGAGGGCCTTGTGCAGAGCCGCGAGGTGGCGACGCAGATTTTCGCGTTTACAGACTCAATCCCAGGCGCTCACATCGGCGCCGCCTACCAAACAATTAGCTTTGACACCGCCAAACTCATCAGCGAGGTGGATCTGGAGGTTTTCCCAGGCATTCGAGGAACGGTCGTGACCACCAGCATGCTGGTGCAAGAGCCACCGCGCAGCTTGGCAGTTACGGTGCAGAACACCCGCGTCGCCAACTCCAACGTGCTGCCCTTCGTGGACAACATCACGGTGCCAGTTCAGGAGATTGTGGAGGCGGTGCGGGGCCCGGGGTCCACGCGCGTGACGGTGGACATCACGTACCTGGACGCCGACCTGCGTATTGCACGCACACGGCCAGACAACGAGATTTTCATCTACCGACGCGTGTGACGATTGTATTGAGGGAAGGTGGTGTGAGGGTTGCTGATCTTGCGTGCCAGAGCGGAAGGGCGGCTCCCGGCTGTCTGTGAGTTGTCTTTTGAGCCGGAGGCGCGAGAGGGCTTACTTGGCCTTGCTGGACAATGCCTTGCTGGATGGAGAGATTGTAAGCTGTGAGCGTGTGCAGTGAGGCCTTGTAGGCTTCGTGTCTGAGGTTTTTGTCGTGACTACGGATTTTGTGGAGCCGCAGGGCAGATGTCTGGGTGCTTCTGCTGCTGTGCCAGAGCCTCATCTTGGGGAGCACCATGGACCTCATTAACGCGACCGACGTGTGAGCGTGAGAGATTGCGCCTCCGGTAGTCAAGTGTGCACGCTGGTGCTGGTGCTGGTCCTGCTGGTTGCTGGATGACGTGTGAGCCCTTGAATGCCTGATTGCCACGTCGCGAGGCCTGGGAGGGTCGTCCATTGGCGTGGCAGACGAATGCCTGGTGGGCAACGCTCACACCTCCGGCGGGCTGTAACACTTTGTGAGCTTTCCTTCTGTTCCGCAGCGGGCCGTAACATCCGTGGACTGTTACGGGGCAGGCACTTGCCAGCCCGTAAGGCATTGTGCGTGTCACGTTTAGTAATGACGTCCTCATCCCCAGATGCTGGGCCTTGTTTTGCCATTGGCAGCCTGGTATCCAGCGATGTGATTTTACAAGTACGGTATGCTGTGAAGCGCGCTAAATTACGTGCACCGCGCTGAGAGGCGCTGAGAGTGTGTGTGCGGGAGCTGAGAGTTAAGCGGCAGGCGTAGCTTGTATCACTGAAGTGGAGTGAACACGTGATTGGAGGGAGTAGTGAGCGTTGTAGATATAAGGAGATGGGATATTGCAGAGACCAGACACTGCAAGGTAGTACCGCGAACGCAGGTTATTAAGGAATATGTGGTACGTCTGATAGGAGTATGTGATGATGAAGCTTGCTGAGAACGAACACTGTCGCAGGATGGTTGGGGACAGGACGAGTTGCGTTAACAACCTTTTCCCGTATCAACTTTGCGCGGAAAGGGCATTACGCTTTGTCACATTCATGCTCGCGCATATTGCAACGCCAGCGAGGACCGGGCTTCGTATGGCTGACTACACAGCATAGCCTACAGGGCTTACATTACTAACCCATACACCGTCACAATGTCTTTCCCCTGTATGATTCCCTCCGCCACAGCCCAGCGCTTGGTCGGGCACATCAGTCAACATTACATACTGCAGGAAAATTGCCACATGGGCGCGGCTAACTGCGCCAAGCTGGGCATACTAAATACCACATGATAATATCCACGGTACAATGAAACCATTCGGACCGCCGCCGCCGTGTTAAACCCGGGCACTAAGCCGTCGCGCGCCGCTGCACGTCACGCACTTCAACGGCCGGCCGCTAGGCAACGCCGCAGGCTGCTGCCATGCCACCAGCTCCTCCACCGTAAGCGCGCCGCCCTGCGCAAAGGCCGGCTGGTGTTGCAACGGTTGCAGCCTAACGCCATCACCCTCACTTTCCAGGTGCGCCTCAATCACCCGGCTATTCAGCGTAATACTACAGGGCTCGGTCTCCATCGTTGCAGTGTAGCCTGAGGGCTGCAGCCTCGCCATCAGGACGCACAGCCGGCGTGCAGTCCAGGGAGGTAGGGGTCCGGACACTTGGAGCACATGCAACACGGACCCCCCCTCCGGGTCGCCGACGCTACCGGCTGCAGATAGTGGCGGCGCCGACACAGAGATGGGGTCGGCCGCGTCCGTCGCCAGCTTGCTGTTCAGGGTCAAGGCCTGCAGATAGAGACCGCCGGCCGATGGAGCCCGATGAGTTGGCGCTACGAAACAGGGAAGCGTATCAACCAGCCCCCTGGAAACGCAGTAATGTATAAGCTCAGAATCTTCCTGGGTACACAAGCAGAAGAACTGTGTAATCAGCTCCCTCTTATTTACTCCCGAGTTCCAGACGAAGCTACTGGTGGCGAAAAGCGCGCTGTGCTCGTCGGGCGCCGCTCAGGGGCTATAACCCGCGAAGTCCACGTACTTACTCCGACAGAGCATGGAGTTCCCACCTCCGACGGTGGCGGCGAGAGCTCTTTCGAGCCCAGGAAGCTCGACCCCCCTTTTCATGTGCCATCCCTTTGTCCCCTACCGTCCCAGGCACCGTGGCCTACCTTTATCGTCGGACGCCAAACCGCGCCCCCGTCGAAAGGCACTGGTGCGAGGAGCACCGGCAAGTCGCTTAGTTCGTCACCGGGCCATACGCCACCACCAGCGCCACCCGGGCCGCGGCCTCCAAGCCCTGGGTATGACATCTCATTCAGCAGGAAATCGTACAGCCCGTGAACGGCGCGAGGCCCACGTAACAGCAGCAGCGACTCCCGGCTGTTGTCAGCCACCGCGGATCCTGGCGGCGCTAACCCAGTCGATGACGGACCAGCCTGCGCGTCCAAATCGCCACAAGTGCAGTATAATCGTGTGGGAATGAGGGCGATACAGCGGGTCGCGTGGTTTGGGGTAGTAGAATGCCAGTGCGGCGTCTCATACCAGGGAGGTGACAAGACGTAACGACTGGGACGGCGCCGTTACACCCGAATCCGGATTTGCAGCGAACCGTTCCCGTGGCTATCACTAGGCCACGCAGACGGCCTCCGACGTCCAGCCATCCCCCCCCCAATAGGCCGAGCTGGGCAAGCAGAGAAACGTGGACTGTACGATGTACCACTCCATGTGCCATTTCAGCTTAAAATGCCGCGCACCTGCATACCCTCCGAATGCCGCGCACCTGAGGTCCCTCGTCGCACAGGCCTGCGTCCGCATCCTCGTCCTGTGGCTCCGGCCGCGACGGACCCGCCTCATACCCGGCCTTGTCAGGGCCACCGCCTGGCCCCGCGGCGGCTGCACCGGGGGAAACCCTTTCCAGAGGCATGGTGAAGGGCACACCCGCCGCCAGCATGCGGCCCCGCAACACCCGGCTGGACTGGGAGACGACGGCGCACAGCTCACTGCTGCCTCGCACGCCCTTGTTCGTAAACAGCGCCACAAAGGGGTTGCGCGCGGCCTGTGCGCGGGGGGAAGGAATAGATGGACAGGCAGGTAGGCAGGCAGGAGCAGAGGAGAGCGACGAGGGAAGCAGCGGGGGCCAGGCCACCTGCCAGGTCGCATGTAAGATCCCGGTTGTTTCGGCTGTGCGAACAAGTCGAAAGCAGTGCAGTGAGGAAGCACACGTCGCACGTTATCACACAAGCGTATTTCATCCTCCCAGTCCTCCCAAGAAAGCACCGAGGACGAGATGTGGGCGAAGCGAAGCAAAACCAATGTCGGGTAACTTGCTTAGCATTCATCGCATCGCTTGGCAGACGTGCCATGACTGCGGGGACGCAGATTTAGTTAGTGACCCGGTAGTGACCCCGATATGGACACCACCCGGGTGAAGGGAAGGTGCAGTCGATATTTAGGTTTTAGTTGGTCGCTCGGAAGCAGGAATGCGTGAAGGTGGTTGATGCGGCACAACCCATCCACCCATCGCTGCTGCCCACATGCACATACGCACTTGCAGCTGCAGTCATCATGTTCCTCACCAAATTGAGCATGTAAAACACGCTGCAGTCGCCTCCGCGGTACGTCCCGTACAGGCTGTGCAGAGCGTTACGCCATGCTGCCAGTCGCTGCACCAGTACGCTTCCCCCGCCTGGACCTCCTCCACTCGTAGCAGCCGCGCCGTTAGCGGAGCGCGCGGCAGTCAAGGCCGACGCGTCCATCAGCACTTCTGGATGGCGCCAGTTTAGTTGACAGGATAAGTACTGCACTACCTGAGGTGTACAGCGCGCGGTGCGGTATGTGGGGAGGCCCCCTTTAAGGGACGCATAAGGCCACATGGGAAATGGCGCCGGTCTGCTGGTAGCGCAGAAAGAAGGGCCAACATCGGTACATTAAAGAGCAAGGGCTGCGGATGACAGGGAGCCGCGCAGGCAATTCACCGTACGCAGCCAGTTGTCTCTCCCAGTCAACCCCAGGCAAGCCATGTCGCACGTGCCATGCTATACATCACCCACACTGCTTCTCATTAACGTCTCAAGGAGTCCACATCTTCGCTTCGTGCGTGCGAGGTGAGGTGAGGTGCGTCGGCATTGCCCCTGGAAGGCGTTGGGGCAGTTGACATAACGCAACCAACGCAACGGAACAACGTGCCGGCGCCTGCTGATCCTGCACGGCACGCGATTGCACACACGTTCCCTGCTGGCACACGTTGTGCACGGGTTGTATGGGATTGCCTATTCGGTGAAGGCTTCGCACAGAGGAATTGGCCAACCCGCCCACGCACCTCATCGTTGGCATCCATGTCATTGTTGACGACGCATTGCAGCGCGCGCCAACCTGCACGACATGCCCCCATGGGTAGGGGATGGCCGGCGTCGGCTGCTAGACCCTAGGTGGCAGCTGCTTGAGCCAAGCCAAGTTAAGGAAAAGCAGGCACCAAATCGAAGTTCCCATCCACAGCAAATCCCCACGCCAACGCAAAAAGCTGGGTCAAACTGGCCGGCCTAAGCCGGGTTGCACCGCCAGGCAAGACAAGATAAACTTAGGAACACCTATCATTTGCACCACCGCCGGCTCCCATCTCAATTTCCTTACGTCCTCAACTCATCGATACTATTTCTATGGCTTGCCGATGTAAGGTAAACAACCCTCGCAGCGGAACCCGCAGGTCAGCCGCTAAGACATAAGCAGCAAAACAAAGAACACCCCTTGAATCCAAACATCTTTTGATTTTTGCATGTCCAGTTCCAACACGCATGGCACTCACGGGTCCGGGGTTGCGCCTGTTGTGCTCTCTCATGAATACCGAACCGAGAGGAGCTCGTGAAGGTAAGGCCGCGTTTGATGCCCCAATCCAAAGGCAGCCGCTCCGGAACCAAGTCCTCCAGGGCGCTGCAGGCACTCGCTGCTGTGGCTGCTGCTGCAGCTGCGGCGGCATTGGTCATCCCCGTAGCGCCAGAAGGTCCAAACCCTGTAGCACCGCCGGCGGCGGCGCCGTTCAGCCCCGTTGCGTCTTGGAGCCCCGGCCAGGGGTACTGTGAGGCGCCGCGGCCCAGCGCAGACTGCGTGCAGGCGCCGGCCGAGTTGTAAGCAGCCCGAAGGGCGCCTAGCTGTGGCATTGGGTGAGACAGCAACGGGTCAGTGAATCGGTATGTACGGTTGTCACCACGTGGAGCAAAACGCGACAAAATGATGCGGAGGGGAAGTCCAAGATAAACCATAAGACCTCCCCGCTGTGCTTTCAACTGCTTTTGTTCAGCTTTAGATTCTAAAGTGCGCATGGTGGCAGCCCTGCGATTACGGGTAGACCCCGAAAGCGCCATAAATGTTATGGACCTTTGCGGATGTGGGGTCGGTTGGCGCTGAACCCACCAACGAGTGTGTCGCAGCGATTCACGCGCCCGTAATGTGTTGTTGTTTTGTTACTTTTGTTTTTGTTGTTGTCGTCAGCAGCCGGCAGACAATGGAGACATGCATACAGGCCACTGCAGGTGGCTGCCGCCGCAGGGCCCTAGAGGGCATGGCCTGTGTGCCCTTTCTCCCCCTTATTCACGCCATGGGAACAGCCCTGTCCATCACAGGGGGCCCCGCCCGAAGACTCACCACCTCCTGCCGCCCAAAATCCTCCGATGCTGCAGCCGGGCGGGAAGCCACGTCTGCAAACGTGCGCAGCCCTGTCGTCGCAGCGCTAGGAGCTCTGCAAGGCCATGGGCCCACAAACGAAGAGCCGATGAATGACCGCACGAGAATTATAACCGGCCCTTATTGTTACACAAGCATATGCGGAGCAAGCACATAGAAAGCATGTGTGTGGGGGGGGTGGGCCTCAGGGGCTTCTGGTTATCCCGGATACGTTCCCCTGACGGCAGGACTGCCTTCTGCACGTAGAAAGGTTCTACGGACGTGAAGTCACTGGCAATAACAAGGTGGCAATCGCGGCATCATATGGTTCGTTTAAAAATGTTCCCATCGTTACAAAGCATCCAGCAATCCCGGGTGTAGCGCCCCTAAGCGGAAATGGACAGGCTGTTTCCCGGAAGCCCGGCAGTGTAGAGTTCTCAATCCAGGAACGCACCGTTGGAAGCTTGGCTGCTGTTGAGCTGGCGGCCTAGCAAACAGCGCCCGAAAGTCAGTTGACCTGGACACCGGTGCAGGCAGGCGAGGAAGGGATGGAGAGGGGATTACGCCAAGACTGGACGGCTGTTTGTTCGCATGACCCCGCGCTCCATTATCGTAGTTCAATTTGCCAGGAACGGCCGGCGGCACAGCACGGACCTACCCATTCGATACCGCTCCGGTGCCCAGGGTTGACAGCGGCTCCTGGCTGCTGCTGCGCCAGCCCATCAGCTCTGAGACCAGAAGCTGCTCTCGAGGAGCATGCTGCTGCAGGACTTCCTCCACGCGGGGTCGCTTGGACGCTGGGCCAGCCAAGGAGGCATCTGTTGAAGTCGACCCCGGTTGCACGTGGTGCGGCGCGACGGAAGCGTATGGCGCCTACAAGCCCGTCACAGCGGGCGAAACATGCAGCACCCACAGTCTCAACTGAAGGGCGATGGGGGGAAACATATTGAGGCTGAGGAGAGTGCCCCGGTTCCCGGCCCCGTTACGCACCCCATCCACTTGGTCAGGGTTTCGGGGCATGCTCAGTTTGCCCGCCTGCCAGGCGCTTGCCACAGACGGAAATCCAAGCGACGAGGAGGTGTTGTGGACGCTTTTGAGTATACGGTCGTCGCTCATGTTTGCATGGGTTGTGGCTAACACCCGGGTCTCAATACCAGAGACAGTATTCACAATGTCCTGTATTCATGACAGTCAGAAGTTTCGTGCTCCTTTATGACGGCGAATTTAAGGAAAGCCGAGAAGCGAGATACAGCACCTTGAGGAAACCGCTGCGTTAATGAAATAAAACCTGTGTGTAGATTTAAGTATATTGATTTATAAGATATGCGAGGTGGCCGGTTTTTCGCCACTTGGAACGCTGCGCAGCATGGGCCTTGCTCAACTCCCGCCCAAATCAAATGCGCTCTAGAGCCTGGACAAGCAGAACCCCAAGCTCCCAGGGAAATCGATTACAAGTGGTTTCTATATCGGACTTTTAAAAGCCATGTAACACATTACACAAGCTAATTTGCGATTGCATGCTAAAGATGCCGCCGGCAGGAACGCGACCAGCTGCAGAACCGGAAGCTCTGAAATATAAACTAATAGGAGCCATTGCATGGCATGCGTGCACAATCGCTACATCAAACGTTGTCTTTGCCGCTGTCGTGCTGCCGCTCAGTTTAAGCAGCCTTTTCCAACCTACCGGAGTACTCGTACATGCATTTCTCTATGCGCTTCAACTGGCGTCGCTTTTAGGCCACCGATTGGTCCTGTCATCTAATGAGTTTGAGCCACTGACTTCTGCCAAATTGGGCATTCATGGCCGGACTTGGATATCGCTGTTTCTCACTCGTGTCATCGCCCGGGGACGATCCTGGAACTCCGTCATGGCAACTGCTGGATTCTTCGGGGCGAACATCCTGTCAGCTGTCGGTTACGCCGCGCTGTACGGGCGTCTGAAGGTCGGCCCTCACGCGGCGAACATGTGGACCCTGTGGTTCGGCCTGCTGCTGGCCATCTGCTATTCATGTAACCACTTGCTCAGGTCCGTCACTGGTAATGCCGGGGTATATCGTTTTTCTACATTATCATCGTTTGCTCTGACGGGGTTTTCCACAGCGGTGCCAAAGTAGGACATCAATAAGTTACCCACTGGCCTGCTGCAGGGGACATGACGTCTTGGCTTATCCCGTGCTTCAGAGGCATCGCTGGTTCCGCCTGAAGGAACGCGTGCCAGGAGGTGGGTCGACGGGGCATGTGAGGATTTCACGCTGCAGGCAGGCAGGAATGAACTCTATTCAAGTTCGTCGTCTTGTCCCTGAACCTGCTGCGGTACCTCAACCCATTCCAAACCGCATCTTCATGATACGATTGCGCTGTGACTTCGTGCTTAGGCCACAAGAATGAAACGCGGGGAATCCAGCATTCCCGGGAAACTTCCCAGCAACAAAATTTCCCTTTCCAGTCCTTCGCGGTGACGTGCGCGTGTGTACTCTGCATATGTGCTGCCAACCTCCCATTGGTGCTGCTCGTGCTGGCCACAACGATGCTCTCTCCTCCCCAACTGACCCATGGGCCGCGTACGTCTCCGGCAAAAACGCAGCGCTACTGGCGGCCGCCACGTCCACAGCTGTGGCGCTCGCTTTCTCCATTGCCATCCGGCATTCGCTACTGCTGCGCCCTAGTCTGCTGTACGGATGGGCGATCTCGGGGATGCTGTGTTCGTTGGGCTGGGTGCTTGGCGGCAGCCTGCTGCAAATCGTATTTAGCGAGCGACTGCATTTGGCCAAGTTCGGCGACCCGGACCCGAACGCGCCGCTGCTCTTGGAACTTGCGGGCAGCAACACGTTCATGCAGGTGCTCCACCCGGGGGACATCGGCTCGTTTGGGAAAAGCAATTTGTGTGGGGTTTACAGCGGCGGAGTAGCGAACATCTCCTGGAGAGAGGAAGCAGCCAAGGACGGGCTTCAGGCGGATATGTTACTAGCTAACGCTCACCTGCACCAGCCCTGTGCAAAGCGGAGCCCTTGTCACGTTGTGGCTGTGTTAGCTAAACGGATAGGGAGGTGACGCTAGCTGACAGACAAGCGAGCGAACAGCCGCGCTCTGGACAGCGCTCTGCCATTGATACGGAGCAGCCTCGGGGGGAACTTCTTCAGCTGGTGCCCTTTGCGTGTCCTTAGGACATCCGCGGCTGGGCGCGAGTATGTGCGTTGGGCGCGTTTGTGGCGGTTCGCGCCCTGAGCACTGGTGGCCCTGCTCTCGCTGCACAGGACTTAGCCCTGTTGGACTTAGCAATTACGGCGGAAGGCCAAGGAGGTGAGGCTGCATGGCGCCGTGCTGCCATCTTCGCGGATGAGAGCGGCCGCGCTGCATGGGGCCCGCTGGCATCCTACATGCTCGGAGAAGTCCGCGACTTCACAGCTGCGTTAGCTGCTGCGCTGCCTTCGGCTGCAGGTACGGCGTGGTGCTTTGGCCCTCTAATTTATTGGAGTTGTGGGTTTGGGAATTATGCTGTATCTCGCCGCTTATTGCTCACATCTCTTCGGTATTTGCCCAGCTTGGCAAGATAACCAATTGAGCAACCTTTCTTGTCCATTCCTGAGTTAGGTCAGTTTTTTAATTGCGTACGTCTCTGGCTCTCTGGCTTGATTTCAGCATGGAACGTCGGCATGCGCCCTTGGGCCCCTTGTCCGCCGCAGCTGAGGTTGCAGCAGCTTCGCGGCCGAAGGGGGCCGCGGCGCCGGCGGCGGCCTCTGCCGCGGCGGTGCGTTGGAACGTCTTGCGAATGTCTCCTAGTACGGGTCTGCGGGTGGTCAGTCGGGAGCAGGACCTTGCTTCTTGGAACGTGCGGAGCAAGTTCCATAGGTAGGCGCGCCGTGGTGGAACAACCAGCGCAATGGCGTTAGGTTGTGCGCTGCGACCGGTTGGGTCCCAGGGGGGTGGACACAAGGACTGCCCAACACAGGGCTATCACTGGGGTATTGGGGACTGCCCACTGGGGGACTTGGTATCGTTTCCTCGGCAAATCAAAGCATTGGTCGCACTGGTGATAATGCAAACATGGATGGATAGGGAAAGGACCTTCTGTATGAAAATGTTAAATGCAATGATCAGCTGCACACGTTTTAAAGGGGAGGAGGGAGGGGGCGCTCCGATGAGCTATCCCGGCGTGCAGGATTTACACACAAGCTATCATCCCAAAGGCCTGATCAGCCGAGGTCGCAAACGCCCGCTTAGCGCCACCCTATCACCCTACCCGGCCAGCCAGCTTGCAGAGAGATTCAGCAGGCCCGTTACCAGCCAGCTGCCGGATAGTACCGGATTTGCGTGGCTTTGAAAATGGAATGGGGATGGTAGGGAAGTGTAATGTTCGGCCAGGCAGCTATTGACGATTGATACCGGCAACTCGACGTCCTGCATGGGTTGCGCCGTGTTGCTGCCACACTGCCGTTCCTGTGCTGCATGTGCGCGCAGGATGGGTTGGTGCCTACGCGGCCTATGCGGGCTGACGGTGGCCGCTCAGCGGGGTGAGGACCGCTATGGTGTGGTGCTCCTGTGCGAGCCGGCGCTTCCGGACATTGCGCTCGGGCTGCTGTCGGCAGTATTGGCGCTGCAGCAATATACCAAGTTTGTGGTAAGATGCGGCTGTCCACACGTCCGCCTGAGCGCGGCGCACACAGGGGCCAACAACGGCTTTCCTTCCCTCTGCTTGCTGGTCGTTATTGTACTTGCGGACGCCGGTTACCATGAGCAGGTTGCGTTGTGTGTAGACGCGCGGAGCTACACGGAGTTTTATGCAAGACTATTACTTGCCGTAACCATATATGCCGTGTGGTTGCGCAGGTAGCGCCCTTCAAAGTCGCGTTTATATCCTCGTACATCCCACCCGCCCTCCCCCCTTCTTATCGTGTTTTTGGTAGACGGCCACACGGTCTCGACAGACATCCACCCTGGAGCGCTTGGCACGCCACGTGGGCCTTGTGAGTTCCATTGCGGGTCGGGTGACTAACGTGGCGATGCAGCCGGTGGAGGAGGTGGCGTTTGCGTTGGAGGTGGCCGCACGAAATGCGGTGAACCGGCTGGCAATTGCGTATGGCGATAGGCTGCGCGAGTGCGTGCTGCGGGAGGCACGCACCAAACCAGCGTACGGGTCTCCTGCTGACCTGGCCTCGCTGCTAGGGACCATGATGGGGTGATGTAACGTAGTGTGGTGTGAGGCTAAAATGTTTCCAGTGTTTGTGCATGGGTGTGCCGCAACTTCCATGGACGGGACGGGGACTGTTCGGGGACTGTTCGATAGACGGGGGAGTTGGTTACAGGGGAGCGCCATGGTCGGTAGCAAGTAAAAACTCTCCAAGTTCTCGGATCGGAATCAACCTGATGACAGCCAAGGAGCTAAGAAGCTGCCATACGTTTCCGCACCCTTTCGTCCGTTTGATCTGTACTTCCCGCAATCAAAGCCCCAAGGGCTAATGAATCGAAAGCTTTTATCACATATATTCACATGCGTCGTTGCGCTGGTCACTGATGTTGAAGTCTCAGACATGCCGGTGCCCAGTGCTCCTGCTGCTATTCGAGCATGGCCGACTGGTCCGGAAAGGAAGGGGTTCAGGAATCGCTAATACGTCAACACTTAAGGACACCAATGACCATGAGGGCGTGAATGAAACCTGTTGAATAGGGGCGTAGCGGTTGGTTCGGAGTGTCAGAGAGGTGAACGGCGCACACCGCTACTTCAGCAAATGCATTACTTCTGATGCGAAGGAAAGGCTTACCTGGAAGCCACATAAGGATAGTTAGCAGCAAATTGATGAAAAATGTTCGTGAGCACTTCTTTAGATGCAGGAAAACACCCAGTGGTGGAAGCAGAAAGCAAATGATAACCAATAAAACAGTATTCATGGTATCTAAGCCGTTCGTGAGCAAGTTAGTCGGGTGGCCTCCGACTCCGCCTTCTTTTCTCAATCCTTCAGCTAACCGCTAAGCTGAAATATTTCCATTGAACATCTTTTAACCTACTACTCTACAGCTTCCCTATGCTCTTCGCGTAAGCCATCATGCCGGACGCCGGCTTCTCAGGTTGCCATGTAAACAAGCTTAAAATTTTTATCATTATAACTTTTAACGGTGAATAATTGGTCTATAAGCCGCGGAGGTGTCGTGTGTCTGATGAAGAGCTGCTCTTCATTAATAATTCACATGTGCTCCGAAGCCTCCTAAACTCGCGCGTGCAGATGGATTGCGGTTCTTCTTTTGTGAACAGAATTACCTCTGATGTTCACGTCTCCGAACGTCTGGTCAGTTTTTATATTAGCTGGCGTTGTCGTCCCGAAATTATTTTTTTGCCGACACTGGGCGCCCTCTTTCCTATGTCGAGAGGCCTTGTTGGGACTTTGAATTGCTAGAATTTCTGTAAAAGTTTTACAAAGAAAGAACAAACACCTGTCGAACGCTCAGTTGTGTCCGTCAGCGGTAACTGGCGGCGTGGCAGCTTTCAGCTCGACGAAGTTTGGTTGTCGATTCCATTAACTTCAAGATATGCGTCAGCCATTAACACGTCCTGGCGCTGGACAGGTGTGCTGCGGTGTGATGGGCGTCGCGGGTGTCGGCATGACGTCTGGTGTCCGGTAGTATTCCGATTTCACGTGAGGTACTTCTTCCTCCAACATCATGACCTTGCTGTTACCAACTTTACAAATTATAACACCCTGCAACTTAGCTTTTTTCACCTGCCCCTTCCCACGACAGCTTGGTCAGTCGCGGTTGTCTTTGCCGCCGCCGCGTGCAATCTCTGGTGCCATCCCAGCTCAGAATCCTCATTCTGCGCCACAAGCTGCCCAGCCGGCGCCATTAGGTGTGAATCCAGCAGTCCAGGCGCCAACTTTTAATCCAGCCCTCCAGCCGCCGCCGCCCCAAACATTCCCCACCCTCCCGAGCACCCTCTACACACCCGGTACCGCACTAAGCGTCAACCTAGGCGCTGTGCACTCGGTCAACGGATCCGCCGAGGCGTCGTACAGCAATGCACCGCTGGTCAACGGAAATGCCTTGCCTGGCATGGCGCCCAATGACCTCAGCCAGCGGGTCCTCATGGACTACCTTGCGCTGGTGCAAAGCCAGGTAAGGAATGGGAAGCAGCAGGGGAAGCAGCTCTTTCGTTCTTACCACCGTTTTCCTCGGCCCATCGACCTGGGGCAGCATTGCAGTGCATACCTTAGGGTCCGCAGCAGTTATTCGCTGCTGCTGGTTCAATCCAGCTACAACCGCCGGCACCTTTGGTAGTCTTGCGTACCTCGGACGTATTATATTGCCACACACGTCTTGAGCCTGGTGATCTGGGTTGCAAGGGTAAAGCCTTGGGCTGACAGGTAGCTCGTAGTGCATATATATGTATGTATGATGCGTGGGACAGGGGGGCATATCTTCACCCGTGGCCGCTACCCGGCGAAACCCTGCCTTACCCGGTATTTCGGGGCACCCTCATGTATGTATGTATGTATGTATATATTTATCTACGTCGTATACTTGGGAACGTTGCGTACGTGTTGGGTGTGCATATACAGATTGGGCGCTGAGCAGGCATTCGGTGCATGCAGTGCATGTATGCTGGGTGGGGGCGTGGAGGCGTGCACATGCTGGCTGAGATCTCGTTTCCTCGGCTCTCGTGCGCACCGCCATCGCCTCCACCACTACCTGCTGCCGGACGTAACGGACCCTTCATTTCCGGTGTCCTCGGGCGAGCTGGCTTTAGAGTTGGACATGACCCCAATCAACCCAACCGGGCGACCCCCCTGACTGACTCACTGACTGTCTGAAAGGACCGGTACACACGCGTTGCCGTGGCAAATCGGCAA